GGACTCCGCCACATGTATGTTGGTCCGATTGCGTGCATTCATGATCTTAGTTACGGGCGCACGGAATATTCTGTTCATCCCAACCTTAAGCATATTAGTACATATTCAGGCTGCAAAGGGGCCCAAACCAAGGGAGTGGGAAATCAAAGTGGGAAGCTTCCTCTATCAAAGGGGGCCCCCCCCCCCTTTAATGGCGGGAAACCCCCGCCAGTGGCCCGCCCAAAGTGGCATTCGTTTTGGCAGTTGCAGTTAACTCTTTCACCCAAGTGGATCAGGGGGGGGGTTTCAGCCCCGAGAAAAAAAAAGAGAGAGAGAGGGACCCCGCACAAAGACACAAAGACAACCAAGCGGTTTATTTTTTCCCCCCCCCCCCCCCCCCAAATACTCAGAGAGAGGTGGCAGAGACAGACAGAGGGTATCCGGCGGCATCCCGGTATTATCCTGGTCCACTGGCTAGCCCCGGACGAGGCATGCCTGATTGGGTAGTGACTCCAGCTCGGCCCTGCAAGTGGGTGCCGCCATTGGTCGCTTCATCTACAATGCAGGAAACCCCTGTCACGTTTCTCCCATGCGCTGTCCCACACACCCTCCTGGGAGTACAATACGTACACAAACACAGGCGCACTCCACTCCCCATTTCACCCCATCCCACTCATGATATCCACACGCCCTCCCCCCCTCACAGCCTCCCATACCATTCCTTCACCTTCTCTTCATGAAGAGGAGGGTTCTCTGTAAGGAGAGACTCGGTGCCTTTCTAAGGTAAGACTCGCTAGCCTTACCCCCTCCATCTCAGTCTCCAGCCCCTCTTTCCCTCTTGTCCCATCTTCACCTCTTCTACAGAAAGCCAGACACACAGACGGACAGTTACGTCCTTTCCTCTCTCCTCGCCTTCCTTGCCCTCGTCCATGCCGCCATGCCATGCCATGCCTTACCCACCCTCCTTCCTGCCAATATGCACTCCCTCCCCGGTCGTTATATCCCCTGTCCTTCCTCTTTCCACGCGCCGCCTTCGTACTTTTGTGTCTCTGCAAGTTGCAGCAAGAAAAAGCATCGAGAAGCTCTTCTCTGTCGGGCTTGCTTGCCGTCCTGCATCAAACCTGCGTTCGCCAACTGACAAGATTTCACTCGGTGCCGCTCTCTATCTCTCTCTCTCTCTCTTAACTCTCTCTCAACGCTCTTCTGGTACGGTAACCAACTATTTGCTTTCCCTGTCCCTTTTCTTGCTTGCACAAGTCGCTGCGGAAACAACAGGGCGGAGAAGAAGAAAAAAAGGCAGCGCGCACACACACGCCCACACACACACACACACACATACATACATACCTACATACACATGTATGCTTGTTCATAACCCTGGCTGCATTTTTTTTTTCATACATTCTCTCTACCTGGCTTTTGTGTGGTACTTTTTATTTTTATTTCATCTTGCGCAACCCGCTGTTCGTATCTCTCTCATCTCGTTGGCTTGCTCGGCTTGTTTGACGTATTGCGATTACTATTCTCGTATTGATCCCGCACACCTCTTCACATCACTTCATTACACATCACCGTCTCATCAATATACATCACACACCGAACATGGCCTCTGGCTTGGGCGTGTGTACAACTAGCAGATGTCTGTTCGTTACCTTGCCTCCAATTTTTGCCCCACGGCCTCGGTAGCGCACTTGCAAGGACATTGCCGTTGACATGGTCGTCTCGGTTGATATCTCGCACTCCCTTATCCACACGCACACATACTCTCCGTCTCCTAATTCCTCCTTCCCCGTATGTGCCGCACCCTCGCATTGTGGTGGCCCAAGGTATCAAGGTACCGTGCCATTGCACACCCCCCTTCTCTCTTGTATTACCTTGCATTGCGCCTTCTCTGCCCCGAACAAGAAGCGACAGCGGTACTGTATCAAGCTCCACCGCGTTCGCACCCCCCTCCGGCACCTCTGGTCGTCTGCTTTTGGACTGGCTCTGGCTTTGGCTCTTGACATTTTCTCCTGTATTGTGGTGCGGGTTGGCTCCGGTCCTGGGTCTCTCCGCTGCTCTTCCGGCTCCATCTTGGGTAAGAAGAAGATACAACGCGATTCGGACGCGGCGAGTAAGATGGAGAACAGTTCTCGTCCCAAACCGCCTCCTGTCCCGACCCCGGCCCCGGCTCTCTCGCCTCCTCCCCCTCCCCTAGCACTTTGCACTATCTGCTCATCCTGTCCCAAATCATTATTCCCCATCTCCCCATCATTATTACCCACTCCAAATCCGACCTTGCTCCAATGTTCAAATAGCTACCCTGTTCCTCTCTTGTACCCTCACTCGCCCAATCCCCTCTCCTGCCCATATTCCTGCTGCACCCTCGCTCCGATCGCCATCTCTCCTCCATCCTTCATACTCCCTTGTCATCTCATTGCATCTTTTCCCGTCCCTCACGCTCTTGCTGGTGGTGTGTTCCTGTCGCCTTGTCCAACAACCGTTGGACACCCCCGGCATCACCCATTTTACCTACTCTCTCCCCCCGACTCTACCTGTACTCTCTACCTTACAATCCCTCCTCATCGTACTACCTTGTCTTTCCCCCTCTTCCCCCAGTCAAGAGATTCGCCAGAGCCAGCTAGGCTACCTACCTACCGCCTTCTCGAAACTCGACGGGTTCCGCTTCCGAGTCACCCTCGTCGTAGTAGTATCTACCTATCTACGCTCCTGCCCGACCTCTGCTCATTTTCCTTAACCGAAGCTTTTGCTTGATTATTCAGGGGTAAAGTAGAGCCAGAGTAATATCCTTCCACTCCTGATTCCTACCCTCGCCTCCGATCTGGCTACCGCGCTGTAGTATGCGTCTTAGCCTTGGGTCTGGGGCTGCCTCCTTCCCAAAGCAAAAATTCCACTTTATACCAGAAAAGGGGTCCCAAACTGGGTCTAGCACGCCTCGCCCGCGCGCAACCCTCGCCGACGAGCCAAGGAGGGGAGCAACAGGGGCAGGAAGGAACCACTTCTCAACATCCGCACCTGCCCTGGTACCTACCTGGACACCCCCCCCCCCCCCCCCCACCTTCCTCCCCCCCGTCCCCTGACAGTGTCAAGGTGCAAAAAATAAAAATACAGACGCGCCTCGCCCTGCCTTGCTTCACTTTGTTTTTTCTCCCTCCTCTTCTGCTTGTTAACATTCAACTTTAATACGTCGAAGCGTCTTTGGATGAGGGACTAATGGGTCTTTTCTCTATGCAGCATCACCCCCACCATCAGCCCCAGGGTCAAGCGCCTACTCAGCAGCAGCAACACCTGCAGCACCAGCAACATCCTCGACCCTCGAGCATCGTCCATCAACAGCATCATCCCCAGGCCCAGTCGCAGCAGCATCCCTCCTACGCCTCGGCCGGACATCCCATCGCGCCCGCCTACCAGCAGCAGAGCCAGGCCACCAGCGCACAGCACTCCCAGGACGCTCTTCCCTACTACACGCATCCGAGTCCCTACAGCACTCCAGGCGCGACAAGCGGATACACATCCGCCGGTGAGTCTCTCTGACCCTCAAACCAACCCATCCGAGACGCGTGTCCTGCGCGCGCGAACCGCAACGGGACGCGTCTTGGGATGGCTTCACTCGAGAGAGCGAGACGTGGCTGACGACGAACCGACAGATCAATCCGACATGATGGCCGCCGCTCAAATGCCGAGACCACCTTATCCTCCCATGTCCTACCACACGCCGCAGTCGAACTCGCCCGCGTCGGTGGCCTCTCCCTCCCAGCATGACCAGCACCGTAGCATCTACGGCCAGCCGCCGTCCCAGCCTCTCCAGCAGCACATGTACTACCAGACCCAGCAAGCGCACTACCCGTCGATGCAGGCGCAACCTCAGCAGTCGCCGTACGCGCAGCACGCCGCCCAGACGCACCAGTCCATGTCTTCGCAGCCCAACATGATGATGTCTGCGCAGTCTCAACAGCAGCAGCAGCAGCAGCAACAGCAACACATGCCCCAGCACGCGGCGCAACACAACCAGGCCCAGATGACCAACAGCCCGCGCGGTCAGATGAAGACGGAGCCCCAAGTGCCTCTGCAGCTCCAGAAGCCCCAGACGACCCCCATGCAGCACGCTCAGCATCCCCAGAATGGTGCCGCGCTCAACACCCCCACCGGGTCGACTCCGGGTGGCGTCAACCCCAACGCGGCGCCCGGTCCCATCCCGGCCACCACGCCTCTGGTCGTCAGGCAAGACCAGAACGGTGTTCAATGGATCGCGTTCGAGTACTCGCGCGACCGCGTCAAGATGGAGTACACCATCCGTTGCGACGTTGAGTCGGTCAACACGGATGAGCTGTCGGCCGAGTTCAAGACGGAGAACTGCGTTTACCCAAGAGCCTGCTGCCCCAAGGATCAATACCGAGGCAACCGGCAAGTGTACGAGACCGAGTGCAACACTGTCGGTTGGGCTCTCGCTCAGCTGAACCCCCCTCTGCGCGGCAAGCGAGGCCTCATCCAACGCGCCGTGGACAGCTGGCGGAACAGTAACCAAGATCCCCGGCTCCGAAGCCGAAGAGTTCGCCGCATGGCCAAGATGAACACCAGGAAGTCGGTTCAGGGAGGGCCTCACCCCGGTGGACACATGGGCGGCCCCAGTCCGCCAGGGATGCCTCAAGGTGCAGGTGGCATGGGACCCGCGGGTGCATCATCCAAGATGCCTGGTATGAACATGGGTCATATGTCGCACGCCAACGCTCCGGGTGGAGGGGATGAAGTCGGTATGTTCCACCAGATGTGATCAAGAAAGCCCCTCAGCATCTGCAGCGTTTGCGAGCCCCATCGTTGTTTGTTGAATGTTGTTGCATCGCACCGCACATACACACTGCCCGGCACAACCCCTCCCCAAAGATCGTTGATTATGTGATACCTTTCCCCCCTCTTCATCACCTGCCTGTCAGCCGTGCTCGAGAACGACACGAGCTTCATCACAAACACAATTTTTTTTATCATCTCTGTGCCTTTATTACATTATTCCTCTGCTAGTTGGTCAGATATCTCGGGTTTGGGTCCGTTGCGCTGTTGTCTTTTTTTTTTCTTGCGCTTCCTGATGTATAGCGCCCGGTTTTCGGCCGCCGCATCAAAGCAACTGCCACGATACAGCAAAGCTCGCCGCGGGTCGAGAGGGATTTCCTTTTCTCTACGGCACAGATCTGTACATTACCATAGTTGCTGCACGCAGTTGCTGCTGTTGCCGTCGTTAGTCACTTGTCCCGAACTTGTCGGGCAACATGCGGTATATCTCTTAGAAGAGATGCCGGCAAAAAGTCGCATTGCTTAGCGTTTTTTGGCATTCAACCCCATCCTTTCGCGTCCCTATCGCCTTGGCTTCTGTTGTCGTCTCGTAAGAGAAGACGTCGGAAAGAAAAAATGAGAAGGAAAATCAAAGCCCCAAAAGCTCATGCCATGGCACTCATGTACCTCCAAAAAAAAAAAAAAAATCGGAGCCCCTCCCCGAATACTCCCTTTTGTTATCTTGAGCGTTTCGCGTTGCCGTTGGTTCGTATTATCAGGGTTGTCGATCAAACATACTTACCCCTCTCGTACTCCGCTCGTCCGCATACGCCTTTCCAAAATACCGTTTCCATTATCGTTTTATTATAGCGTTGGCTGACTTATATCTGAACAGGAGATGGCGAGTACATGGATGAACACCATCACCATCACCAAGCCCCCGCAGGCCAGGCTGGCGGCGACGACGTGAGGCAGTCGCAGGTTTTCTCCAGCAGCTACGGCAGTCATAGCGGCTACCCGGCGCCCAGTTCCGGTTCGATGCCCCATATGGGCAGCGGCTCTCACGGCGGTGCCGTCACTGCGCGCCGCCACAGCCGCAGCGACAATGGCGAGCCCGAAGACCTGTTCCCTAACATCCCAGAGGCCAAGAAGCGCAAGTTCATTCTCGTCGAGGACAATGTCCGAGGCTCCCGTCTGCGTGTCAGAGTCACGCTCGACGGCGTCGACACCAAGGAGATTCCCGACTCCTTCCGCAAGGGTGCGTCCGTCTTCCCCCGGTCGTATTTCCCGCGCGAGATGCAGAGCCCGCCGCCGTCAGCCACTGGCTCCAAATTCTTCCAAGAAGATGCAGACGAGGAGGATGACGGCGTTGAGGAGACTGAAGGTCGCGGCTCCCGCAGAGGCGCCGGCAACAGCAAGTCCATGGTCAAGGTTCCCATCGGCGAGAACACCGAGGGCGAGGTTGCCATTCCGCGTATGAGGAAGAGTGTTCGAGGCAAGGAGGTTCGGCTGAACGACCTCGGGTATCGCATGGCGTGGCTGCAGAGCCGTGTCTTTGCGGGACGGACTGTGTTCCTCCAGAGAGCCCGTGAGTGTTCTGTCCCCAGTCGTTGAGTGAAGTGAGACGCTAACAGAAGCAGTGGACTGCTACCGTAACAAGACCCGTTCTGCCATCGAGTCCATCATGCAGGACGTTAAGACACTGGCACCTCACTACGAGACGCGCGTTGGCAAGCGGAAGTGGAACGAGAGAATGAGGAAGGGCGAGGCCGAGGAGTAAGCGGCTCACGCTCGACTCCCCGCTCAAGATTGCGAACACTACTATGCCCATCTGTGACGGGTTCTTCTCACTACGCACTTGGACTGACCGCATTGTCATCCACAAACCTCACCACATTCAGCATCATCCAAGCGTGTCGCACTCATCAAATCGGTTCATACATTTTCCAGTGCTTATTTCGACTTCATTCCGCGCGCATCGTCCATACCTACGTCTCACGACCACACACACACACAGAGACACGGACAACTAAAAAAGGGGAAAAAGTGAAAATATTTGTATTATACGTGCTTAATCAACCCCAGATAGGTCTAGAGAGGAGGCGAGGACAGGGGAAAGCGGAGAACCAATCTTCTCGGACGATGACGACATGACGATGACTGCTATTTCTTCTTCTTCTATACTCTCTCTCTTATCCTCTCGACCAATGGTGTGAACCGTCACTTTTTGAGGGACGGGATGGTCCAGACAGGTTTGGACAGAGGTGGCTCGGCGGAGGCTATCAATTTTTTCGTTCATGCAGCAAACAGCACACGAGCTTTGCTACGACGCCTTGGACCCACGACGAAAAGATATGAGGCGGATATCTGCTTTTTTTCCCTGCTCCAAAAAGAAAAACTTCGAGGCATTCGGTTCTATTTTTGTCATTTTTCATTTTGTTCTTCTTCAGTTGGGCTTTCTCATTTGGTTCGAGGCAGTCGAGGTTTTGTTTCCGGTGAAGGGGTGTGACGTCTGTCCGGTTTTTGTCAATTTCTCGGTACATTATTCTTCTTTCTCTTTCGTCTCATTCCTTCTCGTTTTCGGTTACTATGCGGGAAGGGGGGAGTCGTGTGCTGATTCCCGTCTTCTCCCCCCCCATCGTGGCCCGCGCGCGACATATTCTTGGCTGCCCAAACTTCGATTCTGCGAGGCGTCGGAGAGAGCGTACTTGCTGGCTTGAGATATGCTTCCCCCGCCTGGTGGCGGCGCATATGGAAGCCAAGAATGGAGGACTGACTGACAACGGGCATGGAGTGGATTTTTCTTTTTGCTCTTTTCTACTTTGGGGGGGGGGGGGGGGACGAACGGGGTTTTTATAGATTTGGCAGTTAAAGAATCACAATTTTTTTCCCGGGAGTTTTCTACATCAACAGCGCAGAGACTCCCTTGATGAGAAAGAAAAAAAAGCAAAGGTCGGTGCCATGTGACGTGTGATTTTTGACAGCGGGTCGAGGTTGATGTCGGGTTCCAAGAGGAGGGCGACCATAGTTTTGTTGCTTGGGGCTGTCGAAACCACTCACAGTAGCATGCATGCATGTCATGGCACGGTAGTGTGCAGCCGTTTGATACATTGTATACACATTAACCCGTGCTTTTGTTTTAATTCATATTTTGACTTCTCTGTTTCAACATGCGAGGCGTAAACGGCGCTAGGTCTTGGCCTCGCCCTGCACGACATGCTTGGGCGGGGCCCTCTCCCCCCTCTGGAAGACGAAGAGGGCCTCGTCCTTGCCGGCGAAGCTGGGCAGCGGGATCTGCAGGACCTTTGTCCATTCGGGCTGCTCGCGGTCCATGTACTCGTCGACGGTCATGTCGCGGAAGGCGGTGTAGCCGTTGCGGTTCTGGGTGCCGACGACGGCGAGGGTGTCGCCGCGGTAGGCGTCGACGAGGCGGCGGGTGAAGCCGCCCTCGGGGCCGCCGGCGACGGGGCCGCCGACGATGGGGTAGACGAGAGGAGGACGAGGTCGCGGCCGCCGTGAGGTTCGGTGGCTCCAAGGAAGGCGGCGCCGTCGGCGGCGACGGTGTCGGGGACCCAGGTGACGCGCCAGGCGGACTGCATGTTGTCGACGGGGTGGACGGCGGCGAGGCCGTAGGCGCGGAGCATGTGGGGACCAGTAGCCGTTGCCGGAGCCGACGTCGGCGACGGGGCCGGCCGGCGGCGAGGGTGCGGAGGGCGCAGAGGGCGTCGTGGGTCGGGGCGGCGCAGCCGAAGTGGTGCATGAGGACGGGGAAGGACGTGGTGGCTCTGCAGCCTGGCGCCGGGGCGGCCGGTGGCGGGGGTGGGCCCGCACCACTCGAGGTTCCGGCAGGACCAGGCCCAGAAGTCGAGGTAGGGGTTCGGCGGCAGGGCGGCGGCGGCGGCGGGCGACTTGACGCGGGGGACGGCGAGGGCGTCGGCGAGGGCCGGGTGGACGTGGCGGCGGGCGAGGAGGTGGGCGGCGGCGGCGGCGCGCACCGAGCCCTTCTTCGCGTTGGCGAGGAAGGACTTGAGCGCGGCCGGGGTCGAGGTGGTCGGGGAGAAGATCTGGATGTAGGCGTCGATGTCGGCGCGGGGCGGGGGGTCGAGCTGGCGGCGGGGTCAGCTGGGGGGACGACATGAAGTATATGTGACCTGAGATGAAAGAGAGAAAGAGAGAGAGAGAGAGGCTGGACGCACCGGCTTCCCGTCGTTTTCGTCGTCGCGGTACCACGCGTGCATGCCGTTGGCGGCGCCCATGGCGACGACGCGCTGGACCTCGGCGAGGCGGACGGCGGTCATGGCGTGGTAGACATAGTCGTCGCGCTCGGGGAGGCGGAAGGAGACGACGATGGCGCCGTAAAAGTCGTCCTTGGCGAGGAGCTCGTTGGCGCGCTCGCGGCGGGCGGCGTCCTTGGCGTACTCGTCCGGTGAGAAGGTCGGGCTGCCGACGCAGTAGGTGAACTTGCCGCCCTTGGCGGCCACGGTCGCGGGCATTGCGGAAGAGCGGGGGGCGGTTGTTGTTGTTGTTGTTGTTCTCTGAAACGCCATGTGAGTTTCGTGCCGAGGTTTTGTGTCAAGGTTGAGAGAGGTGTTTTTATTTTTATTTTTTACTTACCTAAGACGCTGTTGTCGCGTTGTGAGGGGGCAACTGATTGAGTGTAGAGAATGTCGTGCTCGGAAGAGGTGTGCGGGATGTCCGGGATGTCGTTGGACTTTGGCCGGGAGATCGGAGACGTCGGGAGGGCCGGAGGGGGGTTGATGTTCGGGGCCCTGGTCGTCCAGCGCTGGGAGCCCGAGTTTTCGGGGCCGTGTTTCTCGGAGCGGACGGATGTCGTCATAGCTTTTTCTTTTCTTTTTTTCTTTCCTTCTTTCTCATTCTTGGGTTAGCTCCCCTGTTACGTAAGCCCAAGGGCTAGATAAAGCGGCCACACATCCCCCGCACAAAGCTGTGCCAATCAAAACACACACGGTACGGAGCACCTCCCCGCCCCCGGAAATGAACGGTTGATTTTGTCCATGTATTCCACTTTCGTACCGATGCCCGCTTTCTGTGTGTAGAACCTTGCTCGTGCTAGGAGCTCGTTGATTCGTATTTCTCCCTCCGTGTTGGAAATTTGCACATGCCCTTTACCTTTACCCTTGGGTTCCTAGCACGCAGCCAGACACCGTTTGGCCGGGTTTCGGGGGCCAGATCTGCGTTCCGGGTTCCCCGCTGTGCTGATCTCCTGACCGACCGACCCCTGGCCATATCTGAATACCCATCCATCCCCTGTTAGCCGGAATTGTCCGCATCTTCAGAGGTCGGCCGCGATCCGACGGTGTAAGCCATTCGCGGCACGCCGTACCCTGTTTCCATGCCGCAATCTCATGCCGTAATGCCATAGTAGGGTCCATCCGCGTACGTAGGCCTTCTTCTTCTTGCTACTGCTCATGACTCGAACCCGGAGGCTAGCACAAGTCTTCCCAGCCCATCCATCCATGGCTTCTTCCTTGTCCAGAATAGGTAGCCGGCGTAACCATCTTCTCGGGAGTTGACCGTGTGCCAAGCAACACCAGCTTCCTCCTGGCCGCCATGGCCTTCTCTCTCTCCTTTATTCCCCAAAGCTGCCAGAGTAGGGCCGATTATGCACGACGACTGCGGGGTAGAACAACCCGAACCATTGCATCGGGCGGCGCGTTCGTTTTTTTCCCTTGTCAAGTACTGGATATTGTTTCCTTTCGACACACAGCAAGCTATCGAATATCTGCCCCGGCGGCGGTACGACCTCGCGGCGACCTCTTCGCGATGGACAAGTGACGTAACCTACACGCCTTGGCTTGGATGCCACCCCGGCCCAATCTGGGGTCTCGTGGTTCGATGCCGGGATCGCCGCCCTTGAGCCTCGGTGGGCTATCGTCTCCAGCATGGAGTCCAACCTAGGTAGATTGCCAATGTCCGGCCTTCGCTCAGGCGCCCCCACTGCTACCCCGGGTACATAACGCTCGCGACTCGCCGCCGTTGTGGCTGGCGAGAGAGGGTGAGATGCAGCGTACGCCAGTCAAGCACCGTCAGCACCCGCAGCTCACCTCCGGAACGCCATGGCTCGATTCAACCTGCTCGCGGCCCTCTCGGCGGCTTGTGCCACGGCCTCCGCCCTCGTCCCGAGACAGGCCGTCCCGGACAGCAACAACAACGCCGCCGCCGCCGCCTCCGCTCCCACCGTCGACCTCAAGAACGGCTCCTACTACGGCGTCTACAGCCCCTCCTACGACCAGGACTTCTTCCTCGGCATGCCCTATGCCCGCCCCCCCGTCGACGACCTCCGCTTCCGCGTGCCCCAGCCCCTGAACTCCTCCTGGGAGGGCACCCGCAACGCCACCGAGTACTCCCCGCTGTGCTTCGGCTACGGCAGCGACACCTGGGTCCTGGGCAACCACGTGTCCGAGGACTGCCTCACCATCAACGTCGTCCGCCCTCACGGCGTCGCCGCCGACGCCAAGCTCCCCGTCGCCCTCTGGATCCACGGCGGCGGCCTGACCAACGGCGGCAGCGCCGACCCCCGCTACAACCTCTCCTTCATCGTCGACCAGGGCGTGAGCATGGGCACCCCCTTCGTCGCCGCCAGCATAAACTACCGCCTGCACGCCTGGGGCTTCCTGTGGAGCGACGAGCTCAAGGCCGAGGGCGCCGGCAACCTCGGCTTCCGCGACCAGCGTCTCGCCCTGCACTGGGTCCGTGAGAACATCGCCGCCTTCGGCGGCGACCCGACCCAAGTCACCCTCTGGGGCGAGAGCGCCGGCGCCCGCAGCGTCTCCACGCAGATGCTTGCCTACGGCGGCCGCGACGACGGCCTCTACCGCGCCGCCATCCTGCAGAGCGGCACCGGCCTCGGCACCAACTTTGGCGAAGTCGAGTCCGCCGCCACCACCACCTGGCAGGACTACTACGACGGCATCGTGGCCAAGGTCAACTGCACCTCGGCCGCCAGCACCCTCGCGTGCCTCCGCCGCGTGCCGGCCTGGGACCTGAGCAACGTCATCAACGCCACCGCCGCGACCCCCGACTTCTCCGGCGTGGTCGACGGCGACTTCCTCGTCGCCGCGCGCCACGAGCTCGTCAACGAGGGCCGCTTCACCCACGTCCCGCTCATCATCGGCACCAACTCGGACGAGGGCACCCAGTTCGGCGTCAAGGGCGTCAACACCACCGAGCAGTGGTGCGCCTACCTCCGCTCCGGCGGCGCCGGCAACGTCACGACCGACGTCCTCTCGGCCCTTTACCCGGACATCCCGCGCCTCGGCAACCCGGCGGTCCTCGAGGGCCGCCCGACAGGCGCCGACGCCTGGTACGGCGCCATGTGGAAGCGCGTCAACGCCTTCGCCGGCGACCGGGCCCAGCACGCGCCCCGCCGCCTCTTCGCCCGCCGCTGGGCCGCCGCGAACCAGACCGTCTACTCGTACAACTTCAACGTGCTGGTCAACGGCCTGCCGCCCGTCCGGGGCGTCGACCACTTCCAGGAAGTCGCCTTCGTCTTCGACAACACGGGCGGCCTCGGCTACGAGACCGCCGTCGCCGTCGACCCCTTCCAGGGCAAGCCCGAGACCTACAAGCAGCTGGCCGGCCTCATGTCGCGCATGTGGGTCGCCTTCATCGCCAAGGGCGACCCGAACCGGAGCGGCGCGAGCAACGTCACCTGGCCGGCGTACCGCCCCGAGAGCCCCGAGATCATCAGCTTCGACGCCAACGTCACCTCGCTGGCGCGCGTCCTGCCCGACACCTACCGCACGGAGCAGATGGAGTACCTCATCCAGAAGCTGTGGTCGTGAGTCGAGCCGCCTGGAATGGGTGAGTCGAGGGGGCCTTTGCAGTGAAGAAATAGTAAAAAGTAAAATGAAATGAAATAAAAATCGAGATTTTCAGAGATTGTCACAGCCATCTTCTTCACTCGGGCGATGTTCTTCTTTTGTTTACCAAATCACTTTTGTATTAAAGCGCACTAGACTACGTCCCCCGGGCCTTTCGGCACACGCTCGTGTCAACCATTTTGTCTGTCTCCGTTACTCCGTCCCAGCAAGCGAACTGAACCCCCCCCTTTCGAAATTCGACGAACCTTGACGACTAGACGGATTTGCAACACCGATTCCGAAAGAAAAACAAAACAAAAACAACAACAAACGTATACTGGCGATCACACTTGGCTGCCGTCGATGGGCCCAAGAACCGACCTCCACGAAAAGGCGAGGGGGGAGGCCTTTCCCGTATGTGCCGTCCACCCTTGGACGGTCTTTGAGTAACCGTTCCTACTTACTTCTGGGTGTCGGCCGAGGTCTGGCCGAATGCGGGCCTGAACCCGGGAACCGGCCCCTCACGATCATCATGCCGCCCGGGCAACAGCATATGTGGGCGTGAGGGAATACAGTGTAAGGGCCGATCTCTGTTGGGATAGTAATCCGGAAGGGGGTGGGTGGGCAGCGGGAGATCATCCAGAGTCAGAAATTTGTGAGCGGGAGGTTCACAAGACGAATCTTGGGGGGTGACGGGGACAGGGGGCACGTCCAGGATGGGACGGGGCAGGGTCGGGATGATGGGCCTGAGTTCATTGTCCCGGGTGAGCTGCGGCTCCGCCTGGCTGCGCTTGATGACGGGTTCGGTGGGACGGGGGGGTACTTCCGGGTCACTCCCTAATCCCGCTGCGGGCATGGTGGGGTAGGGGTTGAGGATGTAGGTCGGGGTGTAGTCAGAGGTGGAGGCGGAGGCGGAGGCGGAGGAGGAGGAGGAAGTGGCGGAGGAGGAGGAGGAAGTGGCGGCGGAGGTGGTAGTGGTGGTAGTGGTCATCGGCTTCTGGGGCCACTTGGGCTTCTTAGGTGTCGTGGGCGTCGTGGCGCAGGGTTTAGTCGGGCCCCATTTCTGGCGGCACTTTTTGCCGCGCCAGTGGCCGGGGGCCTCGTTGCTAACCGCCTCCTGGCCGGGCGTCTCCCTCTTCTGGATCGTCTCCTTGGGGAGCGTCTGCTTGCGGAGCTGCTCTTCGCGGAGCTTCACTTCGCGGAGCCTCTCCTCGTGGGCCTTCTGCTCACGGAGCTTCTCTTCGCGGGCCTTCTCTTCCTCGCGGGACAGATACTTGAGGTGCCTGTCACAGCTGCCGCACAAGTTCTCGCACTTTTTGGAGCGGCACTTGAAGAAGAGTAAACCGGCCCCCTTGCCCGCGGCCCGCTCCTGTACGGGGGCGCCGGTGCTGGTCGCGGCGGTGGACGCCGTAGGTGTCTCCGCCGTGGGTGTCTTCGCCGAGGATCCGGAGCCGGAGCCGGTGGAGGTAGGGGCGGCGGACGCCGTGGGTGTCTCCGCCGTGGGTGTCTCCGCGGAGGATCCGGAGCCGGTGGAGGAGGCAGGGGCGGTGGTGACGACGACCGGGGTCGGAAGCTTGAGCTTGGCGAAGGACTTCATCTTCGCGACTTCGACGGACATGGTCCTCCTCGTCTGCAGGTCCCACCAGCCCTTAGGGCCCCATTTGGTCGGTTCCGCGCCGAAGGTCGTGGACACGGTGACTTGCGCGTCCCGCTTAGGCAAATTGACGCGGGTGGCGGTCGTGGTAGTAGACGCCGTGGGTGTTTCCGCCGAGAAGCCGGAGCCGGAGCCGGAGCCGGAGCTGGTGGAAGTGGGGGCGGTGGTGGCGTTGGCCGCGGTCAGAAGCTTGAACTTGGAAAGGGACTTCATCCTCGCGACTTCGACGGATATAGTCTTCTTCGTCTGCGTGCGGAACCACTCCTTAAGGGCGAGTCTGGTCTTGTCCGCGCCGATGGTCGGGGCCGCGGTGACTTGCGCGTCCCGCTTGGGCAAAATGACGCGGGTGGCAGTAGACGCCGGGGAGCCCGAGCCGGTGGTGGTGACGGTGGTGAAGGAGTTCAAGGCCGGAAGATTGGGCGGGACGTCGACCTTCTTGAGCTTCCGCTGCTGCCTGAGCCACTCAACGAAGCTGGGCTCGAGCTTGACTGTGCCGATCGTCGGGCTTACGTCCGGCTCGTCTCCGCCGCTCTGGGTCTGGGCGCCGACCAGGAAGGGGCCGACAGCGGCCAGGAGGCCGGTCAAGAAGACGACGTGTCTCATCTCGGGGTGTTGTTCTGTCTTTGTGGAGTTGCGGTGGTGTCCAAAGACGGGCGAGCGGTTGATGATGAGGAGGAAACGGGGAAGAGAGAGAGAGGGAGAGAGAGATGTCAGTCGATAGGGGGCAGCATTATATATGCACCTGGCTGGCGGATTCGGAGAAGGTAGGAGATGGCGAGAGGCGCAAAAGGTGGTGGTTCTGGGTTTGACTTTCGCTGGGGAGCCCCCCTCCCATACGGCACCATGAGAGGTGGGAGGATAGTGTGATGCGTCGCGAGGGAGGCCGCCCAGGAACCCTTTAGGAAACCATGGTATCTCTGGCGGAGGAGAGTTGAAGGCGGACACGGTTCTCGGAGACCTGGGGGGAGCTGGCGGACGAGACGCGACATATATGTCTTGTCTGGGTGAGGCTCTTGAGGTAGCGCGCCGTAGAGTGGCGGAACTCTCACCAGCCTCAAACGGCCAACCTCAACGGCCGGGGACATCAAGTCATCCGTATGCGAGAGGGATCCAAGCTTTAAAGTAACCCAGTCAGCCTCGGAACTCACTCCAGACTGAAGCTTCAAGGGTGATCAATACAACGCCATGTATCTGATAGCATCATCGCAAGATAGCACAATACTGACATGCTACACAATCGTTTCTACCTCCCCACGCCCCACACCACGAGAAAGTTGAGGCGAAGAGTGGGAGTACCAGACCACTCATCAGGGTGCCCAAGAGTTGACAGACAGACACCAGCACCTCTCTCCCTCTAGGACGTCCGACAACCAGAAACGTCAACCATCTCTCAACTCCGCCCCTCCGACCCGTCTTCTCATGCGAACAACACCATGGTTCCCGTATAGACTAAGAATCACAAAATCCGACACGCGCTTACCGCCGAGGCCGGAAAACGGATATCAAACTGCTGCTGCTTTCCCTAGCGCCGTCAAGGGCCCCCCTCTCCACCAAACCCACACGACCAACCAGCATTCTCTCCTCAAAACCCAAACCCCAAAAACCCTCATCCTCGCAAGCCAACACGTCATAGTGTTCGCGCGGACGCAAGACCAGTTCGTGCGAGCCGCCTCACGAGACCACTTACACTGGGTCCTTGGATGGCTGGCTTCTCCCTGTCGAACCTTGGCGCTACAGGTGGGCCCCCTTGAGCATTCGTCTTTGTCTCGAACCACATAAAACAAAAAGTTACGCCTTCGAATGCATGTGTTTATAGGGTTTTGCATTGCCTTCGTAGCCGCTATCCTTTTCTCTTCCTTTGTAGATAAAAACCATACATTCCCCCAAATCGTGATAAACATGACAAAAAGTTGGTTTTGTTCTTTTTAAATGAAAAAGTATACGATTCTCGCTTCATGGGCTCATCGCCAGATGCTGTCATGACCAAAACTGCTTCTCCACATGACCCTCCCCTCGTACATTGGTTTCATCACCTTCAGCCCTCAATGGCCAGAGGCTCGCGCTCGCGGTCCCGGTGGTGACGGTGGTAATCATCACGACGCCTTGGGTCATCGTAATCGTCGTCGTCTCGACGGTGTCTGCGGGAACGGTCCCTATCGCGATCGTCGTCGTAACGGTCATCGTCGTCTTCTTCTCTCCTATGGTAACGGTGCCTCCGCCTGTTATCGTCATCGCTATCCCGATCGCGGCCACGGTCGTAGTCCCGGTCGCGGTCTTTGCCAGACTCTTCACGCCTCCGCTCTGTACCATTTGTTAGTCCGGATCATGTAAAAGTCCAGGGCCGTTTACACACCTCTCAAGACCTGCGTTGCGGCAGCATAGGCCTGGATTTCCTCCTTGCTGAGAACGCGAAGGACGATGACGAAATCGTCGCGAACCTCAAAGCGCTCCTTGCCGATGGTCAACGCCTCCGGGTTGACAATCTTGCGACTGATCTTGGTCCATCGGGCACCGGGTGGGACCTCCTTTAACTTCTTGTCATCCTTGTGGGGCGCAACACCCTCACGGACGGGGTTGTCTTCTTCCGGGAACCGACTGGGTGCCTTCAGAATGCCCTTGAGAGGTTTGGCATCGGACTTGTCGCGGGGTGGTGACACGACGCGGACCTGCTTCTCGTCCGAACGAGGCGGCGTCGTATCACGGCCGCGGTGGTCATCTTTGGACGAGACAGTGACTGAATCGGCCGACGGGACAGAAACGGGCGATTCCCGCTTTGGAGGAGGTGATTCCTTCTTGGGCGAAGGCGTGCGTTCCTTCGTTTCTGGGATAGGGAGGTCGGCGTAGGTTTGCTGGTCCGACCTGTCATCCCTCTCCAACCGATCGGACCTGTCCAGTCGCTCAGATCGCTCCGATCGCTCGTATCTCTCGGGACGTTCCGATCGTTCCGATCGTTCAGGGCGTTCCAACCTTTCGGAACGTTCCGGGCGTTCGGCGCGATCCGACCTGTCTGCGAGTATGGGCACCTTCTCCTTGGGTTTGTCGTCCTTCATGGCCGCCAACTGCTCCTTCAACTCCCGGATATCATTCGTGTTGGTAGGGTTGAAGCCGATTGCCTGCCTCTTGGGCCGCCTGGACTTTTGTTCGTCGTCGTCTGGAGAGGCATCGCGTTGTGATGTAGGAAGGCTGTCGCCCGTGGGCCGAGCCTCGGCCTCCCGGCGGCTGCGGCTGCGGCTCCGTTCTCTGTCGCGGTCTCTGTCACGGTCTCTGTCACGGTCACGAGCCTCGTCATCTTGATCCGCAGTTGCTCTGCGTGTCTCGATGATGACAGGGGCACGGTCGCGGGGGTCTCGAGACTCGCCTCGAGGCCTATATCTTTCAGCAGTACGAGCTCCAACGTCTTCCTCGTCGCTACGGCGGCGAGACTCCCGCTCGAGCTTCTCGGGGCGTTCGTCCTTCTCCTTCTCCTTCGCCGTGGAGCCGAGGCCAATCGCGGTGGCTGCAAGGCCGAGTCCCGCAGTCAGCTTGTCGCGCAACCGTTTTCGCTCAGCTTCATCTTCAGTCGCCGTACTCGTGCGGCGCAGATGCCGGTCCTTATCATCCCGACGCTTGGACTCGTCATCCGAGCCCCTCTTGGCGTCCGAGGGGGAAGTTCGGTGGCCGCCGCGCGACTCGGGCCGGTATCCGGGTCGTGATTCAGAGTGGTACCCGTTCCGCGACTCAGGGCGTGCTTCTCTGCGCGGCTCACGCCGGTCTTCAAAGTCGCCGCCGACAGGGGCCGAGTCTGTACGAATGCCGAAACCTCGCGACGCTACACCATCGTCGTAGTAATCGCCGCTGCCATAGACAGGGTCGTATTTACGATCAACGTCCCTGGCCTGCCGCTGGGCACGGTCGTCTTCGCGGCTTCGGTAATATTCCTCGTGATGGCTGGACCGCGGGGGGCCTTCTTGGTACACCGAGACAGGACGTCGAGAGGCGGTGGCACCTGCGACTGTTGCGGCGGCTACAGACGGCGCAGCTACATCCAAAGACGATGGGCCACCGATGGAGCGTCGATCTTTCGGGCTGTGAGGCACCGGTAGATGAACAGGCGCTGCGGGAGCTGCGGGAGGGATGGTAGGGATCGCCGGGTCATAAACATTCGTGGCCGAGCGGTTGATCTTATCGAAACCCCGGGTGCTGGGCGGGGGGCCAGATCGCTTGTCGTATCGGCCAGCATCGTTGTAAGGGCGACTTGCGCTTTCGGTTGTCGTCACATTGACACTGGGACGGTAGTAGCCCCGGTCGATGCTCTCTCTCCGGCGAGATCGTGATGGGGGCCGGCTGTGGTCCAAGTCGTAGCGTGCGAGGTCGCTTGGTGTAGTATATTCGTAGCCGTCTCCGCCAATGTCGATGGGGGCACTGGCGTGTCGAGTGCTGCTGGGGTAGACGGTGGACGACCTCGGCGGGCGGTATGTGTCTAGTCTGATTGCGGCAGGATCGAGAGTTCGCTCGCGTAGACGAGTAAACTCTTCGTTGTCCATTGTGGCACTGTAAGAGCCACCTCGGTGATGGCTTCGGGAACGTATGGAGGAGGCGGGCTGGGTGTAGAAGGTCGAATCGCTGGAGCGATAGTCGTCACGAGTCGGGCTGGAGTGTCTATTGCTCGAAGAATGGTGGGATGACGAGCTCGCCTGCGGTCGGGCCTGGGTTGTTGTAACAATGACTGGACGAGCGGCGGTAGAGTCGAGGGTCGACGAGCGATGGTTACGGGTGCGGCTCGCTTCTCTCAGGCCTGTTCCACGAGTAAGAGGGTCCTTGGTAACGGCGTAGGTTGTTGTGGTAGTCGCCGGAGTGGCCGACTGGTGATGGTGGTGGCCCCGAGAGCTCGCTGGTGCGTATCTAGTCGAAGACGTGGGCATGACATGAATATCTCCTCCATACATGGAGCTGTAGCCGATGCTCGTCGGAAGCGAAGCCCTTGCGGGATTGAATGTGGGAGACCGCGGGCGGGCGGTTGTGTACCGCGAAGAGGAGTAGCGGTGATCCATGGTGACCTCTAGCGGCCGAGCCGGTGACAAGTCGTTTTGGTCGACGTCGTCGCTCTCGTCGCTGCGGTTATCACCGCCAAAGTATTGTGCAGGAAGACTACCAAGAGCCTCGGGAGGAGAGAACAGCGAGGGAAGTATATGAGGGGGCTGCTGGAATTGGGTTGGGCGCTGACTGGCTTGAATAGATAGCCCAGAGACGGAGAGGGACGGAGGTAGCGGGAAGATTCACGTCGCAACCACGTGAGGATTCTGCCCTAGTGAATTCCTTTTGGCCTTTTTTTTTCCCTCTTCCTCTTTTTTTTTTTTTTTTCTTTCCCTTGCACCTAGGTGTGCTTTGGCGTCCGGTGGCTTTCCAGGCCTATTGCTCGTTTGAGGGGGTGTTGTGGTGTCTCACTTTCTTGGTCGGTTTTCTGGACGAGACAATATACCAAACGGACGGGGCCCTTTTTTTTTCCCTCGGTCTTTTTCTTCTTGGAGGAGGAAATGTATTGTAAGGCAGGGTGCGAGGGAGAGAAGAAGGAGGAGGAGGAGGAGGAGGAGGAGGAGGGGCAGTCGTTAGGAAGCCCACCGAAGCGGAATAGTCGCCAGTATGAGCTGTGAGAATGGCGGGGTCCGGTCTCCCCTCAGTTCACCTCAGTTTAATTCAATATCCAGTCTTGCTTGCGCTTATGAGGCCCCCCCGGTCAAATGGGACTGGGGCTAGGTGTCGTCGTCGGGTTCGGGTCAGGCCAGGTGGGCTAGGTCAGGCTAGAGTGGGTGGACTGGATTGGACTGGCTTCAGATCGCTGTCGAAACGTCCAAGCTCGCAATGAAGTTCTAGTGTACTGCACTGCACTGCTGCACTGCATGCACCTGCAGCTGTGGGAGAAAAGAGGGGCGAGTCAGCTTTCCGAGGAGCACGAGAATCGAGGGTGCAATCAAAGCAATGGGCAGAGTGGGCGAGGGTGTGGCCGGGGGCGTGGGCTCAAAAATAGGACGAAGACGTGAATCCATGCACCGTCCCCGTATGAGTTCCAGACAAAACAAGACAGATAGTGGATGGTGCCGAGTATGGATGATGCGCATGACATATGGTGTAGGGTTTATGGCATGTAGGAGGATATAGATGAGTATGGGAGAAGGGAGTTAGCATCACTCACCAGATGACAAAGATAACGTCACCGAGGCTGAGGCTGTTGGCGAATAAGAAAAAGAGAGAGTAAGACGAGGATGAGGGGCGAAAATTGGGCGATGATTGAAAGACACTGCAACGTCAAGTATTTTTTTGAGAGGACAAGGGGGGGGTTATCCTGGGCGCAATGACGACGCTACGAGTCGACTGATCCTTGCCGACACGGAGTAAGGATCGCGGGGAGGGGTTCGCTTTAATCATGGATGGCCCGGGGACACCCTCAAGTCAGCCAAGGGGAAGAAAGCACACTCGGCCAGCAAACGGTCAGCGAAACGGCCAGGCAACTTGACTGGTTGCCGAGAGCTTGTCTTCGGTGTACACCATCATCCGTAGTGCAATTACCTGCCGGTATGGTGTTGCGTGCCGCCGATGATGGTGTCCTGGTACGTATGTTGACGAAGCACAGAGGAGAGGACCAAGGACTTGGTTGATAAGGCCAAGGAATGTCACCGCGCCGACGTTGCGGCCGGCCTGCCGTCGCCAAAGGAATGTTCTTCTAGTACCGAGTAGGGGCCCTGGGAACACGACGAGGGGGCTGCCATTATCCGGGTTCGAAAAAACGGCTAGGTGCCACTCCCGCCTTGTCAAGGCTGCGTATAGGTAGCACAGATATAGGTATTCTTGTGAGGTATTGAAAAGATGGACGGAAGCCAACAGTTAGTTGGTTGTATACACACTCCCTCCCATCCGGGCTGACACAGAACGAAAAGGGTTGGCAGAAGATGGCCGGGCGTGCGTCAGCGTCAATGCCAACGCCAATGCCGTGCCGTAGCGCCCCCGCCCGTCAGCGACAAAACCACCCAGACTCTGACAAACTGCGACTGGGCTGGTCTATCTCGACTTCTGCAGTTTGGGTTTGCCCTTTCAGCCCACCTCAGGCAACGACCAAAACAGACAGGTCGCTACTTGGCCACAAAGAACCTAGTCAAAGTCGCTCAGACTCGAGATACAAGCGTCAGGCCGGTCAGAGGGTACATGCAGCGAAGCGGCTTGCTTTGCTAGAGCCGTTTCGTCTCTGCAGTCGAGGGAGGTAGTTCTTGCCGAGTTCAGACGAAAGAAAAGCGAGCAGACGGTTTGCATGCCATTGCCGTCCTTGTCTCGATATCTGCGCATCTGCGCACCTGCGCTCTCTTGTGTAAACTACGTGGGGCCTCGAGCAGGCACAGCAGCAGGAAAAGCCGGCTTCATCCTGCAGAGTCGTTCTTTGAGCTGCAAGTAGCCGCCCAAGGGAGTGTTTTCCAGTCGAGCGGCACCACAGCGCCGAAGAAGGCCATCAGGCGTGGGTGAAATATGATGTGATGACACGCAGGCTGTTGCTTTGCTGAGCGCTGACGTCTCGAGTCAGGAGACAGCAGGCATTCAGAAACAAAAATATCCCCCCCGAGTGGCGGGAAATACACCTGCGAAATTGGTGCGATTAGTTCGACCCGAGCATTCGATTGGCGGTGCTGATTCAGGAGAGGAGTGAAACCTTGGGGGACAGTGACAGGTGAAAGAGGCGAGGCAAGGTACCAAATTTGCCATCGATGTCGGTTTGCAGGCCGTTGGCAGGCTGGCAGGTTTGATGGCTTCTGGTAGGGTTTCGCGGGTGTGCGAAACGGTCGCTCCCTTGCCGTTTCGGGAAGCCGGTTGTCGTCCGTGTCGATCACGACGATGACGTCCTACCGGACGACCGCCCCAAGACAAGGCCCAGGACCCGGCGATCTTGTCTTTTCCAGGGCTTTTTTTTTTTTAAATTAACCGTACCGGTAGTAGTAGCTCGAGTTGGGAATTACCGTACAATACCTAGTTTAGAGGTCGAGTGGCACCAGACAGGTCTCGCCCAACAGACTCCACCACCGCCCCCTCCCGGCAAGGCACACATCAGATGGGGTCCATTGGGGTCTAGTGCCTGAGAACAAGCTCGGAGCTGTCGGTTTCTCGTGTTGCGTGGGCTGCTACTGGATACGGTGCCCTGATATTGTGCAGATGCAATGCGGCCGACATCTTGGAATGCGAAGAGGGAAACCCGGAACAAGGCACTTCAGCCCCCGCCGGAGCAGGTGAAGATTTCGAGTGCTGCTTCATTTATTCGTTCGTCAAATAGTACCCTGCCATCTTGAACGTCGCAGCTGTCCCTTGTGCTGTGCAGTGGCAGTGACGCCGTCTGAGTGGATGCTAGGATCAAGGGATCTAGGCCTAGGTAGGTAGGGGGGAGTTTCGGGTCCCTGACTACATACCTACCGGTAGGTAACCAATACACACGGTTGCTGTCAACAGAAGTAAAGGCTGGAATTGGGGCGACGTCAGTTGGATCGGTAATGATGATTGGTGGTCTCGGATGGGACCGGTGTTAGCGCGTGGTGACGATGGGAGTCTATGAACCTGGATTGAGGTGAATCAATGAGGAGCGTCAACATTCGTCCTTTGGATATGTATCTTACGTGCGAAGTTGGGCGGGCTGGATTGGTTTGGCGACGGTGGACTTGCCAGAGTTACGCTGACGGGATGTTTCCAGACGGTTCGGCTGACTAAGAAACGACAGTACCTGGATACACGTGCAAGTACGACATCTGTACAAGCATATTCCATTAGGCAGGTACGTACATCAGAAAGCCTACCGGTGCATCAGAGTCATAGGTATCTACTTGTGGCACGGAAGGGGAGTCCGGTCCAAGATACAGTTTCTAGGAAGGCGCGCACTGCAGGTCAATCTCGGAAGGGAAGGCAGGTGAGGTAGATACCTATCTAGGCAGGCAGGCAGACGTCTGCTCCTGCTGTTGCTGCTCCAGACGGAGAAAGAGACAACGACCGGAACAATCCAGCAACGCCAAAACACACCTGATGGGCGAAATGTTGTCATCTCCCGCCGTCAACCAGCAACATTCATCGGCAAAACACCACACCAGTGCCAACTTGTCCGTCCGTCCGTCCGTCCGTCCAGACATCCCGCCCAGCCTGCCAGGCCATCGCCCCTCGCCGCACAAGCGATATCGACTTCAGCCGAGTCCATTGGCCGCCTGGAGGCATTATTGTCCTATTCTCTGCCTGTCCTGCAATTCGCCGAACCCAAACGGCCACGATCCCCTCCTGTCGCGGACATCGATGCATCCAGTGTCAACCATTTTCTAAACCCCACCACCGAGCCGCCACCCCGATTTTAACCTAAACCATCTCCATGTCTGAGTGGATTTGCTGCTGTATGTGGGCTTGTCTCTCATCACTCGACATCCTGGTCTGTTGGGCTCCATTGCAACTTTGCACATCGATCCCGCGGCCGTCGGCACCACCAAACTCCATGCCCCATTTCGACCCAACCGCTGCCTCGTCCATCTTCGGCTTCAAGCCTGCTACGCCTGCCCGCTCCCTGCCCTGGCCTGACTGTCCCTCCCCGCCGGCACGGTAGCCCTACCACGCCCAACTGTGGGACGCACCGAAAAGCATTTCTGAAACCCTCTCCGCGGCGTCCTTTTCTTGATCTGAACCGGAATGTCATGGCACGCCCATCGACGGCAATTATCCCATGCAATTTTCAGGCCCATGTTGAAGAGCAACAATTGAGGACGAGACAGCCCCGCCCGCACTCCTACAGACCACCGTATCACGCCCAACGCTCTTGTACACTGCCATCACTACTACCATCACCAGGGGTTCCGCCTCGGACTAAGGACTTTGCTGTCCCTTTCCATTGCGCCTGCAGCATGTTGCCTTTCTGTGAGACGCATCCCCGAGGTTTCTGCATCTGTAGGCTAAGCCACTGTGCAAACACCCGGCCAAACAAGTGTTGCCTTGCATCTGTCCGCCGTGACTCGAAACCCTTTCTTTGACTCTTCCTCCACCTTAATCCGCACGCAACTGCCGCGTGGGGTCGTTGGGGCTGATCTTTGAGCCCCAAACATGCGATGCGACTTGAGAAATCTCCGTTGCCCTGCTCACCGCCACAACTCCCCTCCTCTTAATCGCCCGGTAATTTGCGCTATTTCTCTCGACATTACAGGACATGCAAAGAGCAACTAGTGTAACGTCCCCCAGGACGCCTCAGCTGTGTGTGTGTGCAATGTGACATGCGATAACTTAATACAAGGAATGGCTGTCTATCCATCCGCGCAAACCACCCGATGTATATGGTAGCCATGTGATGGCCCGTCGTTTTTTACCCCGACAAGGACCATCCCGTCTGAAAGGATTCGCCAAACAGCCCTGCCGAGAGACATGGCCGTGAGCAATGATCTCCCCAATGCTTTGTTTCGCCTAGCCTACAGCTCCTAAGATGGCCAGCTGGAAAATTTTCATCCACCAGCAGCGCATCTCTCGCAACTCTTCGGGACGCCTAATTCCACTCGAGCCATATCTCCGTCCGACAATGTTGGCAGTTGGGCTGGGACGGACCCGAGGGCGAGGGGGGCCATTCTATCGAAAGCCCATGCCGTAGAAGCCCAAGACGAGGACCCCCCGGCCTTGACAACCCTCAAGGAACTTAGGGATGTCGTTGGGTTCTCGCCCGCTCGGTCGGGCACATCCATCCAGAAGCCCCTTTCGCTGGCCGCCCACTCCATGTTTCTCGCGCTGCAGGCCCACGAGTAATCCCCCCCCCCTAGGGCATCATTGTTTGACTGGCGATTTTGTGAAAAATTGGAAGTCGCGGTGCTCGCATCTCGATCTCTTGACGTTTCACCCAGATCGACGGTTGATAGCGGGCCCTGAGGCGATACGTGCGCATGCTTGATACGCCGGCATGCTTTTTTCTCTGTGCTAACAGGATGCGTCAAGCCACCTAGGTAGTCTCGGTTGAGCTGTGGCCGCCGATACTTTGAGGCCTGGACTGGTCGTCTTCCCACGTGGGTTGCCATAGTGCCAAGGACAAACTGCAGTGCCATCTGAACTGAGGTTGCCGATGTCTTTCAGAAGCAAAACAGCAGTGCGACTGACCGATTAATAAGCCAGGGACGCCCACAACTCATGCATTCCTGGTTTCATGAAACCATCCAGCGCGAGTTAATAAAGGCGTGGCAGACCAGGCCTCGCTCTGAACAGTGTACAGGGCCTTGCATGTGCCGCCGCAATCACATCGAACCTAGCTCCGCGGGCCGGTCCAGCTCAGCCTCGGGAAGACCAAAAACATGCAGTCCTGGTCTCGAGCCTTGGCTCTCCTTCTCATCCCACACGGCTGTTGTTGGAAAACAAGAGACATGAAGGGCCCCCCTTGTTCTCGCACAAAGACGTTGAGCTTCGTAAGCACTTATAGTCCAGACCGGAATCAATGACAACCGACCGCGTACCGAAACTGCCACGTATGCCGGCCAAACTGTACCGGCACACCGGATTCCGCCATGAGTCGTCCCCCTCGCCTCACTTTGACTTCACCAGGGAGGCTAATAAGCCCGCTCATCCAAGCCCGAAAGAACCTTTCGGCACATCGAAGATTAGTTTTGCTTCACGGGCCGGGAGAACTATCACAAGCCAAAAAAAGGGGTAAAAAAAACCTAGATAACAAAAAGCTCAGTGGACCCTGAGTTGAGGGGAGTGCGAAACATATCCAGGTGAGAGATGCAGGGTCGTTGCAGACGGGATCCGTTGAGGCGGCAAACCCGGGGATCGTGGTCGGCGGGCCGGGGAAACGCATCCGGCCACCATAGGACTGTCTCCGTCCAGAAATAGCGTTTAGGTGAACGGCCGGTTCAACATGCTTGGCCGGAGTTGATGGGACACCCTTGGCCGATGCGTTGGCGGCGGTTCCACGTCGTCCGCTTCACCTGGCCACACAGTCTGAGGCCGGTCCGGCCCGAGTTGGGTAAAGGCTGTCGATAGCGCCGGACCAAAGGGTTGTTCTTGATGACCAGCCGATGCTGGACTGTCCTGAGGCTAATCTTTCAGAAACAACGGCCGTGAGAAAACCTTTTGTCATGTGAATAACGGTTGAAACTAGTAGATTGAAAACGCTACCCTGCTATAAGCCGAATCCCGAGAGTCGTCATCATCATCGGTCGTATCGTAACGACTGGGGGCTTGCAACGCCCTTCTCCAAGTGACGAACATCCGCCTACACCCACTCCCCCGTGTCAAGAGACGAGACGGTGGAGAGGGAATTCTACGCCAAACTGCCCATGGGATCCCACAGCGGCAACACGGTCGGCTCGGTGCCGATGACGGCGCGGACCTCCTTGCTCAGGAAGCGCGGGTCGACGACGGCCTGGTAGACGAACTCGTCCATCCAGGCGTCGGTCATGACGAACCAGCCCTTGTCGCCGGCGGTCTCTCCCCAGCTGTTCTGGACCCTCCACCTGACGCTGCGGCCGTCGGCGTCGAGGTGGACGGCCGTCAGCACCATGGCGTGCGTCATGGCGCTCTCCCCCGTGCGCAGGCGGCTCGCCTTGTCCATGCCGAGCAGGGAGACGCCGAAGCCGAGCTCGTAGTCGATGATGTCGAGGTCCATGACGCCGGCGGCGGTGGAGCTGAACTTGCCGACGTCGGAGCCGAAGAAGACGGGCAGGCCGGCCTTGATCATGGCGACGCAGGCGGCCTTGAGGGTGGCCATGTCGACGTTGACGTAGGTCACGCCGCGGCCGCCGACGACGTTGCCGAGGCGGTCGACGGTGAGGAGCGTCAGCGGCTCGTGGCGCGGGTCGTGGACGAGGGAGACCATGGAGTCGATGACGGAGGACGTGACGCGCAGCTCGGGCGAGTAGATGTCGCGGGCGAAGGCGGCGGGCGTGGTACGGAGCTCGTGCGGCTTGCCGTTCTTGTCGAGGTACGTCCACGTGAACTCGTCGCGCGGGCCGGGCGGCGGGCCGAGGGCGATGGTGAGGATGGAGAGGATCTCGCGCATCATCTTGTCCTTGGCCGAGGACAGCGTCTGGGCCGTGGCGGAGCCGGAGCGGACCTGGCGGCGGAGGGCGAGGGCGTACTCGCGCAGCTTGGTCTTGACGATGGTGTTGAGCACGCCCGAGTTCATGGCGTTCCACGAGTCCGGGTACAGCGCCTGCGGGACGAGGCCGTACTTCTGGACGAGGTTATACACCATGTCCCACTGACCCCCGTCGCTGACGATGTCGCCGAGCAGGGCCTGGACGAGGCGGCCGTCGAGGTCCTCGCCGGCCGTGTCGATGACCTGCTCGAGGAAGTAGTTTGCCTTCTCGAGCTTGTCCCAGAAGAAGAGGTAGGACTGGGAGAGCTCGAAGGCGTCAAGGTTGTAGCGCCGCATGAGGGCGACGCGGAAGACGTTGGTCGATGCGAAGAGCCAGCACCGTCCGGACGAGCGCTGGTTCGTGATGGGCGCGCCCTCGAACGGGATCCGCGTGTTGAAGACGTGCGGGTCGGCGAGCTTCGCGGGCGTCGACGCCAGCACGGCGCGGGGGTCGGCCGTGCTGAGGGCCGTGAGGGCGAGCCTTTTTGCACGTTGTGTCAGTCTTTGTAGCGTGGCCCGGTCTAGATGCTCTTTTCGCACAGCTAACGGGGAGGAGGGCCTACTTGTTCTTGGGGTCTTGGAGGAAGCGCGACTGCCAGGACTGCGTCAGGTGCACGGGGAGGCCCTCAGGCTCGCGGGTGAGCCTGACGTCGCCCTTCTCGTTGCTCTCGCTGCCGGGGTCGCCTCCGGCGTCGATGGAGGAGGCGCCGTCGTCTCCGTCGGCGGCCATCTGGAAGCGGCGGAGGCGCTCGATGAGGGCCTTTTCGTTGGCCGCGTCGGTGGCGGGCTTGGACGGCTGGGAGCCCATCTTTTGTGTCTTTGCAGGCGGGTGTTGCTTTTTTGTATATTGGTTCACTTGGCTCGAAGCGATACGCGGAGCTATAAGTCGAGGTCGTTGCCGTCGTCGAACCGAACGATGGGGAATATAACGGTGTTGCGTGAGAGTCTCTGACAGGCTGTGAGGCAAGACACACGATCATGCAATTGACGACCAAGCAGTGCAGATTCGAGAGAGGAAGATAGAGAGACAGAGAAGAGGGGAAGAGCAGGTCAGCTTTAGCTCGGGAGTTGTTTCAAGTGACATGTGTTGAAGTCGTGGCATCCAAGAAACAGGTTACACGCGAGTCGTAACCTCCTCCCAGATCCGGACCACCCCCCCTCCCCCTCGTTCCTTGTCTGTCTCTGCCCATCCTTCGGTAACCGCTCCGCCTGATACCAATGCCGATAACAAATGCAGAAGAAACCTAGGCTGCGTTGCCTTTTGCCAGCAAAGGTCGGGAAGGTCAAGCTTTCCCCAAGAAGGGTTAGTGGGGGTGCCGGCCACTTGCGTTGTCTCTCTTATCAGTTGGAGTTGGGAGGTCGAAGTCCGGGGGCGGGCGGGGGAGTAGTGGGGGATCTGGCCATACAGCGAAGGGCATTCGAGAGGGTTTGGAGGGGGGAGGACAAGTGAACAGGGATCGCTACAATCGGATTGGAGAGAGAGCCACGCACGCGATACAGGAAACCATCAAGGTCCCCCGAGGAGCTCGAAGATGGGTCTCAAAGGATCCTCACATGATGCAGGCCGAGTGGCACCGAGGGCGCCGGGCCGGTTATGCGTGCGTGCGTGTGTGCCGGTTGCGGAAGATGGGACGGGACGGAGCACGCAATGATGGGGGGAGGGGGATCCAAGATGACAAACCAAGCCGTTGATCAACGGCTTGGTTCCGCTAGTCGGTTAACCACGCATTCCTCGCATCCTTTCTGTCTTGTTTAGTAGCCGGCAATTTCGCCATGGCCGACTTTGCCTGCTCACCCGACGACAGGGCAAATGCTGGCGTGTAGGGTTAGTTGGGATTGCGTGTCTGCGAAATACTTTCCAAATATCCGGCTGCAGGCATATTGATAAAAACACGGGCTAATTTGAACACGCTTGAGCGGTATCGAACGTGCCGTTGTTCACACAATAGACGAGAACCCCGTTGAGGGTTCCGAAGCTCTGGACCCACAACGGCGCCGACCGGTGGCACCGAAGCCGAGCCGATTCGTGTCGTAGACTCACTGCCCGTAGAAGGTAGGAATGAACATCTGCACCGGGTTTGCATGTGGTCGGCCGCTATAAAAGTAGGACTTGACAAACCAGGACGATGGGATTGACTCCAGTCGTCTGAAAGACTTGTCCGAGGCAGGATCTGTGAACCCCGGCACCACGTCGGTCGAGTTGTCATGTCACCTACTGATTGAATTCAGTGCAGGAGTACCCGGATGAGCTCGGGAATGAAACCCGGCGAAGCAATCGCCAAGGTGCCCCAGCTGGCCGATGCTGATTTTACCGTCTTTCTGAACCTGGGTGAGCAGAACTAGCTTTGCGGGACCCTTGCATGTATGCGGCGGCGTTCATCAAAGTCTCGGCGTGTTCGGTCTGAGAAGGTGGCACGGGCGGCGTAGGCAACTCGTCCCGAGGCAGATCAACCTCTCGGGTACTCCAACGGAGCTGCTGCTGTTGCACCACCTGGTGAGCCCTCCGCTGCGCAAGGACGCTTAGGATCTGGTTTTTGGCCTCCATCTGCTCCGGCGGGATGTTCTCTACAGCACCGCCCCATTTTGCCGCGAGATTTTCAATATGCTTGTTGTACATCGCTTGTCCTTGGATTTTGACCTGGTTCGTAATCGCATTGTTGTTGTTCATTGCCTGCGTGTTCATGTTTTGACCACCGGCCATCTGGCGCTGCATCGGGTTGCCCATCTGCGCCTGGGGCCGAGTCACACTATCTTCGCCGTTAGTATCGGACGATGGAGACGCTCGCATGGAACCGCTCGCTGGTAGAGGAATGGTGTGGGTCTTCTCAGGGGTGGAAGGCATCAAGTCTTCGTCGGGGTCACTGCGTTCCCATGGCCATGGTAGGTCGAGCTCGCTCTCCGTTTCCGCGCCCTCGGGAGGCAGGTCTTGGAAACGGAAACCAAGCCGGTCTCCGACTCGTCGCCGAAGTCTACGGCTGCTAGTGCCGACGGTGTCAGGATCTACAGCTGTCCCGTCTTCGTGGTCGGATTCACTATGCTCCGAGATGGTGCGCATGCCAATGCCTCCGCGGAGCTTCCGCATGCGCAACCTCTCCTGTCGCCTGCGAATGAGTTCGGCCTCCGTATCATCATCCCATTTCTCGTCTGAATCCTCAGAGCTGGAGAGCACTTGAAGCGCTGGGGCCGGCGAACGAGAGCGGGCCGAGGCTGGTGAGGAGGAGCCTGGGGGTTCGATGGCGTCTTCATAGTCCTGATTCATAGGATTGAATTCGGAAGCTTCTTCGATGGTGAAATTGGCCGATGTGCTAGTGGCGGCAACCTCGGGCTCACCTGGTGAGAGTCAGAATGAGTCACACAATAGCCGGACAACATAAATGCTTACTTTGCTTGTATTCCTCACTGAGCTTCAGCAGCTTGTCAAGGCTATCGTGGTCAAGACTCTTTCCATGATTGTTGACGATAGCAGTGTTAGCCTGCGCCATAAAATTAGTGCAATTCTAATGAGGACGTAGTAATGGGGTTCGCACTCTAATCCTGCAGGAATATCCTAGGTCGATGAGAGCTCTCTTGTCGATCATATGGGCTGGGATTCGGGTCTCGCCTCTCCTGACGTATTCGCTGCGAACTGGTTTGGTCTCATCCTCGTCGGAGCCTTCAATAACGACCGGTGCAGGCTTGACGCTAGAGGACGGCTGCCCTTGTGGTTCTGAAGAGGCCAAGTTGCCAGACCCCGATGGTTCCGTGTGTCCGTCGTGGGCTATCTCTATCCAATGCTCGTCATCACGACTGACTAGCGAAGGACTTTTCCCGTCACTAGAAGAACTCATCGCTTCTGCCCTCAGATGCGCCTCAGCTTCTGCTATCAACCTTTGATATGCTTCAGCTTCCTTATGGGCCTCTAGGCGAATTTCCAGGTAACTTCTGGATTGGGTATGAGAACCTGGTTTGTATGCAATAGCCCACTCTCCATCATTACCGATTGCGTCGCCACAGCCACAGCGGTCTTCACCGCGTATTCGGCCACATGAACCACATACAGTATACAATAACAAATCAAGATCGAGCTGTTGATGATCTTCGTGAAAATGCTTAAATAAATGGTTGCGGACATGATATGTAGCAGGACAGGGACGGTCCCCGCCGACTTCTCTCTGAACACACCTCCACATCTTGTCTTCTGTGATGTATCTGCCAACTAGTTTTGTTTGCGCGCCATTCACGTCATCACCCGTCGTGCTATGGTCATCGTCGTCGCTGGGTGCGGAATCATCATCGGTGTCGTCGGCAGCTTTAATCTCGAGGCCTTCAATAGCCAAAGGTATCGCTTCGCAGGCGAGGTCTTGGTAGTGTTTGGCTAGATGAGAGCGAAATTTGTTAGAGTTCCCACCAGTCTCTGATGACGGGAGCCAGTTATCGCAGAGCGGACACGAGTCTGTGTCGAAGTGGTTGAGGGGCTTTTCGCAAGCCTTCAGCATCACCTTCCTCTGCGTGGCAGATGCGACCGATGGGTGCCGAGAGTCGAAATGAGATTCTAGGGCCGAGGCGGAATTGCACCTTGCATGACACAAGACGCATTTCCACTGCCGTCTGTGTTTGTCGATTTCGTGCTGAAACCATTCATGGGAAGTCTGGAATGGCCCCTCTGAACAATGCTCGAACGAGCAAACGTAGGTCTGGAGATCGCGATATACGTGGTGTCTAAACATAGGGTTAGCTTCAGCCTCCGCCCCTTTGGTCGGTCACAAGAGGTTCGAGAGACCCACTTCCAATGGTATCGATCCTTGATGGTTTGAATTGTGCGACAATAAGGGCATTCCACGGGTTCGCCGTAACCGAGCTGCCGTCCGTCCAGCCACATATCCGTCAGCTGTGGGATAATTCGGCCCGAGTGAGTCTCCCCAACGGCTGTTTGGGCGAAGGACGTGGCCACAGTGTATATACTTTCCTCTCGAGAAGAACCCGAAGCAGGTTGTTTGATACTGTCGGGTGCAGCAATGGTGTCATGGAAAGAAGTCGCCTTTGTCGTAGCTCTTTCAGCAAGCACGTCTTGTATGGGGGCGGCGTCAACACGAGCCAGCTTCGTACGATGGCTCTGTCGATATCGAATATAGTCCATTTGGCGAGCAGTCCGTTGCCCTATTCTCTCTGCTAACCAGGGATACTGCTTGAGTTTCGGAAACTTGTCCTTTGCATTGGTGACCAAGGGCCCGGGATCCGATTGCGAGCTTTGGGGCCCCTGCTGCGATGTGCGTCCGCGAGGGTGACTTCGACGAAGCAGTGTAGAGAGAGTAAACAGATACGTGATGCATGATTGGATGTTGCTGAATAATTCGTTGATTTCCGTGGTGAAGCCGCGATCCCTTTCATCAATGCTTCCAACCACGGTTCCCACCGAGTACTTGATGATTTCTTCAGCAGTGGCTGGGCTGGTTGTCCTGTTAGGTATGTTTCCCAGCGCGATCTCGTTAGCTGGAGAAAGCTGGTTAGCATTGGAAATAAACGCATGCCGATAGGGTCAAGATCTAACCTCTCTTAAGAGCAACCTCCAAACGTTGAAGACCCGAGACCACGTTGTTTTTCATACGCTCGGCTTTCTTCAGTCTCGAGTCAAGCGAGCTTGAAGACTGCGGCCTCTGCAGGGCGCCAATGTTCAAGGCCCATACGTTGAAGCGGCCAGCCTGGTCAGTTGCCTCGGGTTCCAAGCCATGGTACTCGTTTGATGGGAGGAGGAGGTCTTGACACAGTTTGGCAAAAGCGGTGCGGCAGCTATGAGCAAGTGAAGATATCGTCAAAAGGGGGGGAGCCAAAGGCTCATTGCCATCTCGGTTGTCCATTGCAGACCGCGCTTGCTAGAGTTTCTCGGTAATACCTGAGATGAGCTGAGGGAACAGATCATAAAGCGAGAGAGAAGATTGTGCATGGGAATAGATTGAGTGATCCAAGAAGGAGCAATCGGATACGGTCGAGGCTACGTAAATACGTAGTACTACCTAATCAGGAACGACCCCTCCTCTCGCCTGCCCCAGCCTGTAGCCACTTGGGCCAATGGAATAGGTCAGCTCATGCAGCCGGATAGGATAGGTGGTGGCTCAGCCCGTCACCAACCTCGTAGTCGCCGAGCCTGATCACCCCGCTGACAGTCGTGAAATTCGCAGTCGCAGCCGTTTCTACCACTTCATCGCTGATTCCCAGGTGCTTGTCATAATTCTGGTCTGGGGAGACAGCATGTCGGGCTTCGAGATCGCCGGCGTCGTCCTCGGGGCGTTTCCCATCCTCTGTGACACAGCCAAGGATCTCGGAACGGTATTCAAAAAGACAAAATCATGGTGGCAGTTTGAGACGTCTTTTGAGAACTTTGTCTCGACGATAGCCACCCAGGAGATTGCCTACATACAAGTCCTGGAGCGCTTGCTTGATCCCTTAGACATCACGGACGGAGAGTATGACGGCCTGCTGAGGAACCCGAGGTCGACCCTTTGGCATGAACCGCACATCCAAGAGGAGTTGCGGCACTGCCTGCCACAGAACAAGTTCCCATGGTTCATGTGGAATCTTTCGGAGCTCAACACGGCAATCGAAGGGCTGCAGAACCTGCTTCCCATTGGCAAGGCAAGAGACTGTGTTGCATTGCAGCCTTTGCCTGACAACTAATCCATGATTCAGTCCCCAAAACTGACCGAGTGCACAGGTATACTACATGGATTCTACCAATCTCGAAAGCGAGCTGTATCGTTTGCAGACGAGCTTCAGCAGCGAAAAGGACCGCCTTCTGAAGCGTATCACGGATATCAACGACGACCTGCACCAATTCTTCGACAGAGCTTCAACAGTGACCAGACCCCCTGCTGCGAAGCCGACGATACCTTTCCGCGACCTGCATAACCAGGCCGTCACATTCTACGAATGCCTGGCGCGCTGTTGGAAATGCTGCTGCTCGGCTGCGCACACAGTCGGCATCACGACTCACCCAGCGATTCAAAAGCCGCCTCGGGCGGCCGAACGCGGGTACTTCAATGTCCTGTTCGAAGCTAAAGCTAATCCCAAGCAACTACGACTGCAAGTTGAGACAGTTACAACCGTCAATTGTATGGTAGCCCTCGACCCCGCGCCGGCTGCACCAACCATCAAGATTGACGCGGCCATTGAACTGAAGAGTCAGATGCTTGTCAAGAGCCATCTCAAGTCGGCCTCGAGCGCAGCAAGCGAAAACAGTATCTCCGCTCTGGCGCTCACATCTTTGTCGATATCGGGACAGGCACGCAAGGCGCCGCAGAAGTCCATACTCAAGAGCGCGGCGAACAAGTTGAGAAAGCTTCAACATCGGAAAAGTGCCGACAGCACCCAGGGACTCAAGACCTCGACCGAGCCAGCGTCGCTCTCCAGTCTCAGTACGTCTAGCTTGTCAACCAGTACCACCACACTCACGAGTGGCGCGAGTCTAAAAGAACCCCCAAAGAAGTAAGTTCAACGCGCATTCTCCCTTTCCCCCTCATGATTGAGGTTGACCCTGGTCCAGAAACGGGTTATCGCGTTCTCGAAGTAGCGGCTCGTCGACGGCGGTACGATTCGTCGACGCAGAAACCCCGCCATCTTCGGCCCAGACAGACGAAGGTCGGAACAGAGAGGTCAAGAGCCTCTGCGACTTCGTCATGGGCGCCGACACTCCCCACGGTGACAAACGCAACACGCTGTCGTTCGACGAGGGCCGGCGGGTGATACTGGAACCCGAGCCATTGGACCAGAGCACCCTCAAGGCGGCGACTACGCAATCTATCGACCATTTCCTCCAGACCACCAAGGTGAGACACAGCCGTCTCTCCGTCGGCCTCAGCTTCGCTCTCACCCTTCTCTGCCTGGCCACGTCGTCGTGGATACCGGTGCAGCCGTCCAAGGACGATGTTTTCCTCGTCTGCTGCGAGTCGGGCGGCAAGATGCCGCAGCGACTGGGGCCCTACTTCTCGCGGACCTCGCGCGAAATATGCTCGTCGTCGCCGTCCGACTCCACAGACAGCGGCCGGGTGTGGGACGCCAAGGCTTCTCTGCTCCTCCTCGGCGTCGTGCTCCTCGAGCTCTTTCACGGCCAGACGCTCGAGCAGCAGGCGTCCTGGGCCGAGTCGCTCGACGATGACGGCCAGCCGAACGAGAGCACGAGGTTCTGCGGCGCGTTCCTGTGGGTGTGCAGGGCGGAGGAGTCGCTCAAGGAGCACTTTGGCAGAGAGCTCGGCGGGGCGCTGTCCGAGGCGATCCGCAAGTGCATCTGCTTCGACTTTGGCCGGGACGACGACCGCGGCGACCTGCGACTCGCAGAGGTGGTGTACAAGGAGGTCGTGGTGCCGCTGGAGAGGTGTTGCCCGCAAATGTGAGCGGCCGGCGGGGGATGATGTATGTAGTAGGCAGGGAGCAAACGACTCTTGCTAGAATAACACCGTCCCTTATTGCAATAGCTGACACTCCCCCCATGTAGTAGTAGCCTCATGCTCTATACAACATAACTGCACAACTGTCATCGAGAATGGGAGGGATTGCAAGTAGTCAGTTCTATGCATTCCGTGTTGGCCGTTGACACAAAAGGGCCACCCGTCTATCATGTGTTCCGTTATGTCGTCAGACATATATGGCACGGGTCTAGGTTGCACCTCGTGTCAGCGGTCGTTCCGAAAGACGGCATCAAAACCTTGGATGTTGCTTATAATCATGGTTAGCCATTGCACAAGATTACGAGTTCAAGAGACACACGAGCAGCGATAGTGGCACCAGCAAATGGATGATGGATCATATACAGAGCTATATATCTACGCGAAAGACTCCGAGGATCCTGTATCCGGCATGTTTTTTTGTCCATAAAAAAAGTCATCTTCAAATTCTCCATTACCCCTTGATCATCTGTAATTCGTACATGACATATAAGCTAGATACCCAGACGTAACACGATGCGCGTTTACAGACGAGAGCCGTGGACGACCTTGACGTCGACGACGAGCTCGCGGCCGCTGTCTTGAAGGACAAGGGCGCGAACGCTGCCGCGGCCGGACTCGAAGGCATTGGTGAGGCGGGTCCAGAGGTTGGACTGGTCAATGACGGGCAGGCCCTGCTTGACGTCACCGGTCTCGGTCATGGCGGTGACTTGGCCGTCAGAGACATCGAGGACGCGGTACTGCTTGAAGATAGGGCCGAGCATGGTCTGGACGACGACGCTGGGGGCGGGGTTGGCGATGAAGGAGGACTCCTCGTGGAGCTGCTTGGTGAAGAGGTCGACACCGAGGTAGCGGTACTGGCCGGTGGCAGCCGAGGTGGAGATCTTGATGACCTGGCAGGGGCGGCCCTGGAGCATCAAGAAGTCGCCGAGGCGGATGTGGTGGCAGGGGATGGTGACGGTGTTGGGGAGGAGGGGGGGACCGCCGGCGGCGGCGGGGGCCGGAGAAGGGGAGCGGCGGGAGACGGAGGAGCGCATCTCAGCAACCTCGTAGCGATCAGGGCCTTTATGATGATGATGATGAGCAATCTTGTCAGCCAGCTTGTGCAGGCCTTGGCGGAAAGAATGATAGTGGCCTGGTGGTGCGAACACCTTTCAGTCTCGGTCCACGTGAAATGGGGGAGCGAACTGCGCAACCGAAACACAAAACGAGCCAAAGCAAAGCACTGCACTGGGGGAGGAGTGAGTACTCGGGGGGGAGGGATGAAAGCTTACCCTCTTCGTCGTAGTAACCCATCTTGGACTTGTGTTGGGGGCGGGAGACGTGAGCGGTCTCGACGGTCTCTTCGGTAACCTTTACGGTTTCCTGGTACTGAGGGCGGGGGCGCTCAGAGTGGGAGTCGACGGTGAGCTCGTCGACGTGAGAGTGGTGAGAGTGGTGAGAGTGACCCGAGTGGTGAGAGGGGGCAGGAAAGTGCTCAACGGTGACTTCCTCACGGTGGTAGGTAGGCTGGAAGCGTTGGCGGTACTGGCGTTCGATCTTATCAATCGGGTTTACCAGGTGCTCGTGGCGGCGGGTGTCAACCTCAACACGAGTGTCGTTGTGGATATGAGTGTCGTGGAACTCTTGAGTAACGTGCTGGACGGGAGGAGGGGCAGGGCTGGACAGGAAGAAAAGAAGAGAGAGGTCAGTCGATGTTTTGATGATGGGGGAGCTCGAAGGGGAAGCCTTTTCGTTCCGGGGGACATATTTGATGTGGCATGCGGTTACTTGGCCAACTAGGGACTAGGGTGCCGGGGGAGGAGACGTCCAGGGTCCATGACTGGCGGCTCGTAAAGGACAAGGAGGGAAATTTGGTGAAAGACCGGGGGGCGTGAGCTGAGGCGGTCCCGAGGCCGGGGGGTAGGGGAGGGGGGGAGGGAAGAAGCGAGGTGTGAGAGACAGACAGGTTGCCAAGGGGAGGCGGAGGATGGGGTGAGGAGGAGAAGGCGGTGACGCGTGTAGGTGTGTGTTGTTTGTTTTGGGGCTGCATGGGGAGGGGGTTGGGGGGCTGGCTGGACGAATCGATGGATGCCGTGCCAATACCGTAGCCGCCATTGCTGCCCATCGAAGGGCAAGCAGCACACGGCTGACGGGGGAGAGGACACACAAAAGCATCTGATGATTCCCGGCCACCCCCAGAGGGAAGAGACAAGAAATAAATGATGGGGCAGACAGAGGCCGAGAGAGAGAGAGAGAGAGATAGAGAGGGACAGAAGACACAAGAGGAAAAAGAGCTCGACATACCGGTACTCCTCACGGTAGTGGTGGGACTCGTGGTGGACACCGGGACGGTGGTAATGTTCTTCGATACGGACCTCTTCTTCGCTGAAGCGCTGTTCTTTCCGAGGAGGAAGGTGCTGTTCGGCGGCGGTGGCAGTGAAGGAAGAGTATTGACCTTCCCGTCCGGGCTTTTGAGGCTTCTTCTCGGGGAGCTTGATCTCAAGCTGCTCGTGAGTCTGAGTGACGGTCTGGGTCTGGGTTTGTGTCTCACTCTCCTTGTAGGTGGAGGGAAAGACGCTGAAGGGGACGGGGATGCGGGCTTCAAAATCCAGATTGGCGGCCTAGGGGCGCAGAGAGGAGAATCTTCTAAGCGTTCCCGGAGTGAGGAAGGCAAAGAAGAGTATCCTCTTGCTTTGTTTTCCTAAAAAAACAAAGGGGAAGGGAAAGGTGGAAGAAGCCGGTCGTTCAAGTGACGCGCGCTTCTTGTGCTTTTCTCTTCTCTTTTGGATTTTGGAGGAAAGAGGGGATTGCGAGATGGGCAGAAAAGGCGGTTTGAAGCTTTGAAGATGGATGGGGGAGGAGGGAAGAAGGAGGGAGAAGAGGGTCGGTCAAGATGTGCGATGCGGATTGGGTTTTGAAGACGGGGGGGCTGGGGAGGAGAGCACCGATGGTTGGACGGAGCAGTAGGCCAGAAGCAGGTGAGCAGAAGTGATATGCAGCAAGACGAGGATAGCCAGGGTTGCCAGGGCAAAGGACTGGGCTGGACTGGGTGAATGCTGTGTGTCTGGAGTTTCTGCGTGGATGTGGGACTAGAAGTGGGATAGGCGGATGGATGGATGGATGGATGGACGGCTGCGAGTGGGTGGATGCCGAGGCCGTCAGGGACTTGGACTGTCTCGTCTTGTTTTTGGCGTGAGATATCGAGATGAGATGGGGGAGGGTCTGGCTTGTCTTGTCTCGGTGGGGTGATGCGAAGGACTGATTGTGCGAGCGAGAGGGTATGGAATCCGAGAGTACTGGACTAGTAAGTGGGTATCGTACCTGTGAAAACAAACTGGGTTAGAGAAAGCTACCGAAGCGAGCGTGTGTTGGGTGGGAATGTTTACATTGTGGTTCGAGCAGCTGTGGATGGATGTTGCATTGTTTATTCCGTCCTGAACAGGATTGGTCTGGGGATTGAGAGGCGAGGGTGGAGATTGGACATGGGTTGGCAAGGAACGCAACTCCAAGCTCCATCCAAGCTTTGATGCTAATCCAACTGTGGGAGAGAGAAAAACCTTGGACTGCGGGATGGAAATGTGGAGGCCTTGCATCTGAGGTCTCCGCAGGTTTGTCAAGCCAGGCATCTTTTTTGGTGGTTTTTTTTTCTTTTTCCTCTGGCGTGGCAGGTATAGTGCGATGTATGTGGTAGCTTCTTTCCGTCCGTCCCCCCTCTTGATGTAACCTGGGAAGGTACGAGTAATACATCGTACGGAGTACTACCTATGCACTTCTTGCCTGACTGGACTGAACTGTCTATCTGGGGTGGGGCCTGTCAGAATATGAGCGTGAGCATTGGCGGTACGTACCTCTGTCTTTTTCCATTTCTTCCTGCCCTCCAACCTCGAATACACACACATACACATACCTAGGACACAGCACAGCGCCTAGCGGCGACACCAATTGACAGCTTAACAACAGAGATACGTCGCCAATTGACCCAATGGTTTGTCTTTACCTCAAGATTCAGCTAGCCAAGTCAGTCGCAGTGAACCTGGCTATCTCTCGACGCGTGCAGCATAGCTGTCAGGTTGGCGGGAGGCGCAACGACGGGCTGCCCTAGAGCTTTTTTTTTGTTGTGGGTAGCAGACACTAAACCAAGGTACAGGCAGGTACGAATAGTGAACAGAGCTCGCGCACGCACCTCGGGTACACACTATTTTAGGCACATCGCGGCGCACCGGGCAAGGCCGGCTAGCTAGCCATCCCACCCCATCCCACCTCCAACTTTCCAAGTCCACCCCCGATTGTGCAGGTTCCGACAGTGGGCCGTTCAGCACAGCTTGACCACGGCTTTTGAGAACTCTGATAGACCAACCGACCGACCGACCATCAGCCTGACCTTCGCTCTGCCTTGTTCTGGGTTCTTCCCTCCATCCAAGATTGCACCTATTGCGGTCCATGAGAAGCTGAGAACCTTCCATCGACCGTCGTCGGGCTGGCCCGGCCATGCCCTTAACGCCCAACGAACGGAAGAGGACCAATTTCCTGTCTCACGGCCTCGTCCAGTCAGATGTCGTGACGGACGCGCCATAAGCTCTAGCTTCCGCCAATTAACCCACTGTCGCTTGTCTTCCCTTTTGACTGGCACCTCGACCACGAGGCAAAGAACAGACACTAGCGAAACCGCCACGGACTGGTGCTGGTTGGTGTCTCTTGCTGCACCGCTGACGGCTGTCGTGGATTGCTTACCTACTGAAACTTGTCTGAACCGACTAATCGCATTGCGACCTTACGAATATCTTCTGTGATTACGTGTCGCAGACCCCGTCCGTCACATTTGCCGACTTGACTTGTCAACCCGTCCGTCGCAACCAACAAACACGACCTGGGGTGGCTGGGTACGACGATCTTCGTTTCGCCCACGGCCCAAATGCCCGCTATCGACTGTCTGCATGGTCCGGATAACCTGGTCGTAACAGCCCCGACACCCAATTGGCCAGTCTTGGGGTTTCCCCAACCACCCTTCAGCTCCCATCGCTTTCCCGACCAGGCGCCTGCTGCTGAGGCCCGGGCGAGAACCACCAATTGACCGCTTCTCGCACCTATACGGGCATCGAACAATGGGTCATTTACATCGTGGAATCCCTCCATTGGACTGTCCGTCTGCAACCGCCGCACAACTCATGCAAGTTTACGGTCGCACATGCAAAACGAGGCTGGCTGGGCTGGCTGCCATCTTGCTTCTTTTCCCAGTAACCATTGGGGGGGACCAGCGACGTGGCCAAGACAAAGTACCCTACCTACCTATCTTGCCCACCTTACCCTGACTTGGGTGCCTGGCGGATCCCGCCCGCAGCGCCCGGATGGGGTCCTTGTCAAACCATATCCGTCCATCAATGGATCCATCCAGAGTCATGGAGCAACGTCTCCGACCCAGATTTGCCCTCGCTCGAAAAGAACCTGGTACGAAGGAGGCTGGAGTTGTTGATAACCGCCAGCCTCCCAGCCCTGAGTTGTCCCGAACTCCCGATTGAGTCTTGCTTTCTTTCGATGCCTTTCAATGGCACCAAACCAGGCGAACCGGCCAGGCATGGAGCTCCCCTGGAGAGAGGCCCTCGTTGCCGTGACAACGACAGGACCCTGGCTCTTGCTCTAACCGCATAAGGAAAGCGTCTTTTCGTCGCCGGCAATATCGCGGAAAGGATGAGGATTTGGTTGTGTTGTGCTGACGGATCACATGAAAGCTTCCCTGGCCCTCAGTTTTGTTGCCGCGCCGCTGCTTGCTGTTGTCGGCTCAACGAACACGATGTGCACAAATGGCAATTTGCGGAGAGGCTTGTTTCGGACTCGAACAAGCAAAAAAGAAAAATTAGGGACCCGTTGTATTGCAATTTGAAACGGCTGGTGTACATTCGGATATGCCAGGTCGACTATTGACACCCGCAAGCGCAAAGCCTTGCCTAGTCATCAACTATCGGTTTCCGTTTCCCCTGGGCCCTCGCAATCCACTAGAGTCAATACGAGCGATGGTGGAGGTCTCTCTGAGCGACCGCCGAAACCACTCATTCCAATTTGAAAGAACTCCATGTTGAAACTTCAGTGGCCATATAATGGGCCAGCTGAAAGGGATTGAGGTCTGCTGACCAGTGAGATAACATGGCGATAGACGAATCGTCCTAGACTTGAAGGAAATGAGCCGTCGTTCGGTGCCATCGCACGGAATACAACAATAGACTGGTTTTGACAGCTCGCCTGTCCATCAAGATGCTTGCCACTTAACTCAACATCGCAGTTGGCTCTGAAGACTGTTGAAGACAATTATATGCATTTTGGCTTTGATTTAATGCAAACTTTTGAGAACCGTAGACCTAATTCCTTGTATACGTGGTTGATGGAACAGGTATGCCGACAGGATTGGATCAGTCGGTTGGTGTCTTTACTCGACTATCCGTAGTATGGCGTCTTAAAGAGCCAAACGGGCAGGCCCGGCCCGAGTCCTTATTTCTCTTTTTCTTTGACTTGTGAGCTGTCAGTCTTGGAGGTGGCGTTTGAAGCTCACTACCAAGAGTGAAATCGAAGGTCTTTGATGGAGCTCGAAATGTGGCGTTACCAATTCGGTGATGCGTCATTACCGAAGGCCCAGGAATCAGCGTTGAGCCAGCATTGTAATATTTGTCTGTCATCCAATTCAGCCATTTTAGGGGTATAAACTTTCGTAAGTCTCTCATCTCGACACACTCATCCTATAGTTGAAATATATTCGCTTCCCATCAACATCTTGCTGAGGTGACAAAGACAAGTTCAACAGCAGAGAACCGCGCACGTGACGTCATCGTGGCGCACCCATATTTCCAAAGCTCTTCAGCCACGAGTGCCCCGCCATTATTCATTCGCATCACAGATTCTGTGCCCCTCAGCTGATTCATTCCCATTACGAAAGCCGCCACGAGACACCCGGCGCATAACTGCCACACACATAGCCTACTGTACACAGCTCAATAAAGTCGCCAGAGAAGCAATGAAGCAGCGATTCTCCTCCATTGACGTCAAGGTCATCGCCCACGAGCTCCAAGAGAGCCTCACCACCTTGCGACTGGCCAACGTCTACGACCTCTCGTCCAAGATCCTGCTGTTCAAGTTTGCGAAACCCGACAACAAGAAGCAGCTCATCATCGACTCTGGCTTCCGATGCCATCTCACAGACTTCACGCGTACCACGGCCGCGGCGCCCTCCGGCTTCGTCGCACGACTGCGCAAGTATCTGAAGACGAGACGTCTGACGTCAGTCAAACAGATCGGAACCGATAGGATTTTGGAGTTTCAGTTCAGCGACGGCCAGTACCGACTCTTCCTCGAGTTTTTTGCTGTAAGTACCCATTACCCGTGCCGGAGTCGCCGGGACACGTTAATGACCTTGCCTCGTTGCAGAGCGGAAACGTCATCTTGACCGATACCGATCTCAGGATTCTCACACTATTGCGAAATGTTCCCGAAGGCGAAGGACAGGAACCTCAGAGAGTGGGACTGAAATACTCCCTCGATAACCGACAAAACTACAACGGCGTTCCGGACTTGACCAAGGAGAGAGTGAGGGCTGCGCTAGAATCGTCTGTCAAGAAGAGCGCGGCAACTGCGACGGCAGGCAAGAAAATCAAGGTGAAGCCAGGCGACGAACTGAGGCGCAGCCTAGCGACGACAATCACCGAGCTTCCCCCGATCTTGGTGGACCATTCGTTCCAGATCACCGGTTTCGACGGCAAGACGAAGCCCGCCGAGATTCTCGAGGACGACTCATTGTTGGATGCGCTGTTGAAGGCCTTGACTCGGGCACGAAGCATCGTGGAGGACGCGACCAGCTCGGCGACATCCAAGGGCTACATCTTTGCAAAGTACCGATCAAAGGCCGACGCCGCGTCAGACGCCGCGCCAACAGCCGAGGGAGAGGAAACAAAGAGGTCGGATCTCCTCTACGACGACTTCCACCCCTTCTTGCCCAAGAAGTTTGCCGACGACCCCACGGTTAAGGTTCTCGAGTTCGACGGCTACAACAAGACCGTGGACGAGTTCTTCTCGTCTCTAGAGGGTCAAAAGCTTGAGTCAAAACTGACGGAACGAGAAGCAGCTGCGCGGAGGAAGCTTGATGCCGCCCGATCCGACCAGGAGAAGCGGATAGAAGGTCTTCGCGGGGCACAATCCATCAACGTTCAAAAGGCGACAGCCATCGAGGCAAATGTGGAGCGCGTCCAGGAGGCAATGGACGCCATGAACGGTCTCCTCCAGCAGGGCATGGACTGGGTCGACATCAGCAAGCTCATCGAGCGCGAGCAGAAGCGCCACAACCCAGTTGCGGAGATCATCAAGCTGCCGCTGAACCTGGCCGAGAACACAATCACTCTGTTGCTGGGCGAGGAGGAAGATATCGAAGACGATGAATCCAACTACGAGACGGACTCGGACGCCTCTGACAGCGAGGACGAGGACAACGGCAACAGCAATAAGCAGAAATCGGACAAGCGGCTGGAGGTCGACGTCAACATCGCCTTGTCGCCTTGGGCGAACTCGAGAGAATACCACGAGCAGAAACGGAGCGCCGCGAAGAAGGCGGAAAAGACAGTCCAGCAGTCCGTGATAGCGCTGAAGAACGCCGAGCAGAAGATCCAGGCGGAACTGAAGAAGGGTCTGAAGACGGAGAAGGCCGTTCTGCAGCCTATCCGTAAGCAGATCTGGTTCGAGAAGTTCATCTGGTTCGTCTCGTCCGACGGGTACCTGGTGCTGGGCGGCAAGGATGCGCAGCAAAACGAGATGCTGTACAAGCGCTACCTCCGCAAGGGAGATGTCTATGTCCATGCCGACATGCACGGTGCCGCGACTGTCATCATCAAGAACAGCCCGAGCACCCCCGATGCGCCGATCCCACCTTCGACGCTCGCTCAGGCTGGGACCCTGGCTGTGTGCAGCTCGAGCGCCTGGGACTCCAAGGCCGGCATGGGCGCCTGGTGGGTGAACGCCGACCAGGTTTCCAAGTCCGCGCCTACAGGAGAGTATCTTCCCACGGGAAGCTTCATGGTCCGCGGCCAGAAGAACTTTCTGCCTCCGGCCCAGCTGCTTCTCGGCATCGGAATCATGTTCAAGATCAGCGAGGAGAGCAAGGCCAGGCATGTGAAGCACAGGCTGTACGACGGCGCTGGCCTTCAGGTTTCGGCTACCGACAAGGAACCCGGGGAGTCTGCGGCGGATGCTGCCGAGGCCAGGGATGAAGACTCGGACGACGCGTCGGACATTGGCTCGGAAAACGACGAAGACGAGAAGCCTCGAGGAAACCCCCTTCAGAACGTTGGGGCGGACGAGCAAAATGATTCGGAAGAGCATCTTACCTCCGGAGAGTCCCCTGCCGAGGAAATGGACAAGCTCAACCTTGAAGAGAAACAGACAAACGAGAACTCTGCCAACGAGGAGGACGAGCCAGCCGAGGGAGAGGAAGCAGAAGAGAAGGAAGATGAGGACAGCGACCAGGCAGCCACGGGGCAGACATCGACGCCAGCAGAGCCCAGCGGCGCGGCGCCAAGCTCCAAGGCCAGCGATACAGCAAAGGAGAAGCAGCGACCGGCCAAGCGAGGTCAGAAGGGCAAGGCCAAGAAGATCGCCGCCAAGTACAAAGACCAAGACGAAGAGGACAGGGAGGCGGCGGAGATGCTGTACGGCTCCGCCCGCGGCAAGAACCGAGCGGAAGCGGAGGCGAAAAGCAAGGCGGAGCGAGAGGCTCAGCTCGCCTTCCAGAAGGAACGGCGGCGGGCGCAACACGAACGGCAGCAAAAGGAGACGGCCGAGCACGAGGAGATCCGCCGCCTCATGAACGAGGAGGGTGTCGAGGTGCTCGACTCGGATGAGATGGGCAAGATGACGCTTCTCGACTCGCTCGTCGGCACGCCGCTGCCCGGCGACGAGATCCTCGAGGCGATCCCCGTGTGCGCGCCGTGGAACGCCATGGGCAAGTTCAAGTACAAGGCCAAGCTGCAGCCGGGCGCGGTCAAGAAGGGCAAGGCGGTCAAGGAGGTGTTTGAGAGGTGGAAGTCGGACTCGTCCAGGAAGGGGGCGCTCGACGAGCGCTCGCAGGACACGGAGAAGATGTGGCCGCGGGAGGTTGAGCTGATCAAGGGCCTCAAGGCTGAGGAGTCCATCAACGTCGTGCCGGTCGGCAAGGTCAGGGTCATGGTGTCTGGCGGGAGCGGCGGCGCCGGTGGCGCCAAGGGGCAGCAGCAGGGCAAAGGCGGGCGTGGCGGACGCGGATCCAAGAAGAAATAAGGACGGGTTGGAGGCCGAAGCGATGGGATCTAGTGATACATCATGTCCATAGAGAGCAGCGTCCTTCCTAGGCGCGCGCATGCAATCAGCGATTCTTGGAACACACTCCTCTCTCCATCGCTCTCCATCCATTCCGTGCAGACAAGACCAGGAACCCAACCCCACACACACACACTTAATTATACGCTCCCTCAACGCTTCCTGCTCGCGACCTCGAAAGCCCTCAACACGTCCAGCCTCTGGGCGTCCGAGGTCCACTCGAAGACGACGCGACCGCACCGGCCCGCGCGCACCTCCTCCTCCGTGGCCCAGACGAACGCGTCGTGCTCCTCGGGGTCGACGACGACCTCGGCGGCGGCGGCTCCTTCCTCGCCCGCCGGGGCCTCGACCTCGACGAGGTAAGTGTACTTGCGCCACGCGTCGCGGCCTGCTGCTCCTGCTGCTGTCGCGTCGGCTCCCTCCGCGGCGGCAGCCGCGGAAGAGGCCTCCACGACGCCCACACCCACGCCGCCGCCGGCCAGGCCCCAAGCCTGGTCTCCCGGGACGGCCGTCGCGGGGATGCCGGGCCCGGCACCTTCCCACTGGTAGCAGCCGACCAGGGCGACGAAGCGGGCGGCGCGCAGCCCCGTCTCCTCCCACAGCTCGCGGGCGGCGGCGGCGAGGGCGTCGCGGTCCGGGGCGTCGGCGCCGCCGCCGGGGAGCTCCCAGCGGTGCGGGAGGGACTTTTCGCGGGCGGAGCGGCGGAGGAGGAGGATCCTGGGAGTGGCGGCCGGGGCCGGGGCGAGAACGGCGGCGCCGACGCAGAGGCGGTGGGTGTGGTTGGGCGAGGAGGACGGGCGGTAGGGGTGGAAGCGGAGGGTGTAGGGGAGGACGGCGGGGGCCGTGGTGTAGGACAGGGGAGGGGACGGCGGTGCGGGCGGCATAATTGGTGGGCTTTTATTTTTTTCCCTTTGGAAATCGTGTTTGGTTGCGGTTCCGTCGGTTGAGTTCTCCCGGGTGGGTGTCGGAAAAGGAATCAAGGATGACGTTGTAAAAGTCGGTGGTCGTGCTCGGATTTATTTATACAGGGCGGGCGCCTGGTTTAAGTACCTGGTTGCTTGGTGGCTTTGGCCGAATGCCTAGCGTTTATGTTTCGGATGCCTGGGGGTCGGACATCAGACTCGGCGGGATTGGGCCGCTTCCGAACACGGGTGCGGGGTGACATCGGGGATCTGTGGACCCGGGTGTCGGACCGAGTGCGGGGACGCCCGTGGCCGATTTTGGCAGGAGCCCGGAGCGCCTCCGGAGCGACGCACCAATGTGTCTGATAGGGGTTTGTGCGTTTCATTTTTCTCTGGAGAGGTTGCGGGTTTCTTTGCAACGCGGAAATGACGGGGTTGGTATGGATAGGTATGGACCAATGCTCCCTATACTGGTTGTGCCATTGCTGGAGACAGGAGCTGGACGATGAACTTCTTACCCTTGAAAGATGGCTGGGTTCAGTAAGCCTTGACGAGACATACTTGGCATCTGAAAGGTTGGAATAGACATATATATGGGTTTTATGAAGTGTGTCTTTAACGTTCGGAACAAGCCTCTTCGCCTCTTCGTTCATGCCGGATGCGAAGCTATCTACTCGCCTTGGCCTCGGCGATGCTCCAGACTCTCAGAACTCTCTGCAGAGCTGACCAAGACATTGCCATAGTCCTCCCGTTCGCCGGCGGCATGGACCAGATCGCGAACCTCGTCCCCCGTCGCGTCCTTGCGCGCGTACCTGTACGACACCCGCCACCCGCGGTCGGTGGCGCGCGAGCGGACCGAGACCTTCTCGAACGCGTCGACGTACCGGTACCTGTAGTCATGCTCGCCGTCGTACGTGTAGGTCGCCTCGCGCTCGAACCTGTCGCCGTCCTTGAGCTCGAAGACGTACCCGCGGTCGTCTTGGTGGATGTACACGTAGTCGGGCACGTCTTCGTCTTCGTCGCCGTCATCCGTTTCGCCCGTCGTTTCCTCGCTGTCTGCGCTACCTGCATCATCCTCAGGACCCTCGCCTTCTTCGTCGTCCTCGTCGTGCTCATCGCCGTACTCGTCATCGTCCTCCTGCTCCAAATCGACATCATCCAAGTCGATATGGTCCAAATCGGCATCGTTTAAATCCTCATCGTCCCAATCCTCGTCGTCATCTTCGTGGTTTTCCGGATTGACCAACATGTCCATAAGGTCGATCACCCAGCTGATGAACCGGTATCGGGACAAATAATGAACACCCAAAACACAAACCGTGAACGGCAAGCGACGGGGGTTGAGAGGGAGCCAGTCCAGGAACTTCATGCCTGCCTGGAAGTACCAGCATTGAAGACAGCCCGACGCGTCGGCGACCAGCTCAAATGAGACGATGGCCGACAACCGCGCCAGAAGCGCCCAAAAAAGGAAGTGGGCTCTGTACGTCCAGATTCTGCGGGCTGTGAGCTCCGCTTCGGGGGCTTCATCGCCGTCGTCCTCTACTTGGTTCAGATGTTCATGGAACATGGCGTTCAACCTGCCAAAGAGGAAAACCAGGGTCGCGTAGTGGCTACAGGTCGTGTACAGAGAGACCGGCCCGGCCGACCTGCAAAGAAACGCAGGGTTGACCCGGGCGAGCTTGTGCCACCAGGACATGCCGTGGTAGTCGTCCAGGGCGCCGACCACGAGCGAAGCGACGGACGAAAGAACGTCCCAGGCGGCAACGTGACGCGGGTCCGGTACCGGCTGGCCTGGCGACCGCCAGAAGTGCAGCGGAAAGACGAGCAACATGAGTGCCAGCTCGACGGCGAAATCGGCGCTCGACTGCAGGGCGGCGAGGCCGAGCTTGGTGCCGACCTCGCGCTCTGCGAACAGCGTCAGGGCGAGGGTGCCGAGCAGCCAGCGGCTCTCCAAGCGCTGCCCCTGCCAGGCGAAGAACAGCGCCCTGAGGAACACGTTGCGGAAGAAAAAGCACTCGAAGACGCTGATGATGATCAGCGCGGAGGCAAGGGCAGCCGCGTCGTGATAGATTTTCCGCTGCCATCGGGGCAAGGAGTCGATCTCCCGCTGATTGCGGGCTAGTATCTTTTCAAGGGGACCAAGGTTGTCTTCGTTCTCCATTGGGGCGTCCGGGAGTCGTAAGCTGGCGAATTTTCGCAGTATATGGAATGCCGATGATGAGCTCGAGTGGTCTCTGTTTGCCTAGAAGTCGCGTGCATCATGGTTTTTCCATGCTCGGCCAGATAAAACTTGCATCACTTACTTCTGCTACATGACAGGCTGCCTTTCTCCGATGTCACTGTGTGTGATGCGAGATGACTTGCGAGAGCCCAAGTGTAGGAAACGACCCGGACGGACGCATGGCCGCAGTAGCTGCAAATTTTGATCTTGTGATCCTTGGCTCCGGACAACTCTGTTCGCCGGAGTTGCTGGTATGATTCCACCAGAAGAGACATAGGCGAAGGATAAAGACAAAACAAATGACATCTCGGTTTTATGTAATCTTCATCAATAATGCACCATTTAAGACCTGTTTCGTACTGATTGCACATACTTCTTGAGGAAAGCAATCAAGACTGCAGCCTGCTCAATAATGATGGCTATAGGTAAGTCAAGAAAAGTAGACACAGGCGGGTCCATTCTTGGAAACGGACCGACGTCTGCATGGACAACCCGATCCGCGGGTTCAGCCAACCTTCATCTCCGTTACACCGTGCCGGCTGCTTCGGTTGTCCCAAGGGCGTGGCGGCCATGAGGTGTCTGTCCGCGCAGGGAGTTCGTGAGATGTGAGGAAGTTTAAGAGTCTTTCACTATAAGGTATCCCCAGGTGTTTAGGGTGTCCCATGAGTGTAGTCAGGTGTCTTGTCAGCAAGAGGACTCATGAAGGCCCGTTGATCAAAGCATCGGAAGCGATTGGATAGAAACCCAGGATCGAATCTATGTGTCCTGTCTGAAGAATACCTAAAGCTATGTTTCTAAAACAGGAAGTCCTGCCAATTGAGTTTACCGCCATCATTGTTCTTGCCTTTTCCCTAGCGACGCGAAACATCGGACACTGAAACCTCAGCGAGACTGAATCCTTCCTTATTTTTCGCAAACTTGGAATCCAACCGACCCTCGATCATTCTCGACAGTTGGCCACTACCATAGTGGTACGAGCTTCTATAGGGGTCATAAGTAGTGGAGTCGAAGCCGCGTACGGTAGTCTCGAGGCTAGTCACTCCATGACCTAGGTATGGCTCACTCAATCCCAGCAGTCCCTCTTTGTACATTGCTCTGTCCAGAGCACCCAGAGTCATACAGGTGGACATATCATTGTATGCCCCTGGGCTCTTGCGTAAGGTTACAAGCAAGTCGCCGAGAGTGTTCAAAATGAACGCGATCGCATGTTGTCTACGCCAGTCGATTAAATCTACCACAGTTAGTGACGATTCTACGCAGAAACGCAGATGCTACTCACCGATCACAGTCGGTGGGATCGGAAGGTCCATGGTAGGCATTGGGCCCTGGCCCTTCAGAACTGCTGTCTTGGTAATACTCGCGAAGACGTCGTCTACTCGGAAGACATATGCGATCAGGAGCCATAGCACGAGGTCTCTGGTGCATTCGGAAGGGAGTTGATTCTTCAGCGCATCAATCCAGATTGAAGAGTAGACCTCAACGACTTCGTGGCATTTGTAATAATCAACGAGAACGGCAATCTTGGCTAGCATCTCGCAGTCAACGTGGCGGGGAACACTCCTCGTTCGACCATGAATGACGTTCATCAAAATGAGCAGCGCATCGGAATCCCAGTCTGAAGCCTCCAGGTGGTAGCGTCCGTCAGTGGGATGAGGTGTAGCCTCTTTCCAGGTTCCATTGAGTTTCTTGTCGAAGTAATGCGAGGCCAAGATCAGGTGCCGAGATGAGAGGAGTAATTTGGTTTCGGATTCTTGGTGGACATTGGTGTTATGAGATAATAGTGCTGGCTCTTCTGGGTGCACCTTTTTCGTGCTCTTATCCTCGCCAGTCTTGGACTGTGGGACCCAGCCAGTGTCTTCCCAGACTGCGAAGGGTGCGTTGGGGTTGCGGAGAACGAGCACAACATCACCCTTCGGGTCGACGGCTTGTACGATTTCGTCAGCCATGGTGGAACAAGATGATGAAGGGCATGTTTTCTGGCGGAAGTGAATCTTGTCTTGAGCCTGCCTCTTTATGAATATGGATCACGTGACTGCCGGCCGGCTGGATCCATATATCCAGGCAGCCAGCAAACAGCAGTAACTTCACTTATTGTTTTCCCTTCTTCACTCATCAATTCAACAAGCACCATTTTCACCCACGTCGTGAATGTTGCTATGGATCGATCCATCTGTGAAACTAACAATACCTGCCAGCATGCAGTCCGGTTTTCATGTTGGGACGGCCGGCGGCTAAAATGACCGCAAGGCGGTTCGGGAGACAGGGCATGCGTAGAGTTGCAGGATAGGTATGGTTGGCCTCCCGCAGATTCGCAGCCAATCAAAGGCAGTGCATCCGTTTGCCGCCTGTGTTGGCTGGTCGGTTTGATTGCAGCTTCTCCAAATAGCAAGCATTAAACAGTCAGTAGAGTTGAAAGTGAGTGTAAGAAGAAAAAGAGAAAGACAGCGGCAAGGAACATGCATGGTAAACCGATGTTGCCACAAAGGTGTTCTTTGCCAGCACCACTGGTCGCAGCGACATGCTGTAAATGGGTACTTCATGCAGTCAGGCTCAATTTACAATTTTCCGAAATTGGCCACGTCTGCGGCCACTTTTGCCTGGGGCAAGTCCGTTGCCCCAAGACACCCTCGTGCTCATTATCATGGAGAGACAAATGAAGACAAATGTAAGAAGGCCCCCAGATGGGCAGAAGCCAGCGGGGCCGCGAAGGCGCAGCCACGGCCGGCGCGCCGGCAGACTCCTCGGGAAGGGTGGGTCTTATTCGGATGAGAGATCCTGGGGCAGTAGGCGGGCGTGCCCTGTATGGGGTTCCCCACGCCAGGACAGATCTGAGAGTAGCAACGCTTCGCTTGTTTGGCCTCGCCGTTCGAAACATCAAGATGCCCCCGTCACGATAGGCAGTACTCGCATGCTGGGCTGCAGAATTCCCCGTCTCGGCTCAAGGGCTAGAGTGGCATGCTCGTTAGCGGTGCTGGTCTAGCCTTGTCCAGAGGAGCTAGTGGCGCATCTAGTGTCCGAGCTTGCACGGCCCACGGTTCGTCATGATGCCGCGCGCTGTCGCAGTTTTCTCCGAGCCTGTTGGTACATCATAGCCAAGGGCCGGGCAACGTGGTATTTGATGTCATCTGCAAGTGCACTGCACTGCATGGCTTCGAATCCTATGACAGGGGGTCTGTTAGTAAGACACACACCACAGAGGAACCGGCAACAGCTGCACGCCGATATTCAGGCGCTGGCAAGTCTGGAAATAAAAGCCGAGCGCAACCCCGGCCGCCTCCATCAGTCAACAATCATCGCAACGCCACAATGGCATGGCCGACGGAATCTTTGAGACACACTTCGGCCGTAGCAAGCATGGCAGGTGACGCGACACAGAGAAGGGAAGGGCTTGCGGGTGGCTCCGAGACACTGCCTGGTCGCGGACATGAGCTCAACGTGCCTCGTGCGATGGGAGGAAATGATGACATCCCTCGACAGGCCCGGAGCCTGGAAAAGCAACAGGCGACACGTGTCGATCAACCAACCTTGCCGCAAGATGGTCCAGAAGCTGCTCAGTCTTCGCATCCTACACACAACATGCCCCAGACGATAGAGCGACGAGCACCAGAAATGGGGGCAGACGCGGTCGGAACAACACTCGAGACCAAAAATGTGCCCGCAACCACGTCAAAATTGGACGGTGGCGACTCGCCAGAAAACACCGGGGCTGCTCCTGAACGACTTGAAGCCGCCAACCTCAACTCGTACGATGCAAACCGAAACCTGTCTCTTGGGCCTTTCGCGGCGGCCCCGTCGCTTCTGACGCACCCCAATGGCGTTCCCATCTTCCCAGGCATGTCTGCCGAGCAGCAAGTGTCGGAATCCACCGAGGCCACGACGCAAGCTGAGGGGTCCATCGAGGCAGACAGCGATGAGCTGGCGTCAATCTTTGACTTTGACGAGGCGAGCTCGTCCGATGGAGGCTACGTAACCGACAGCGCGACGAACGCCAGCACGTCGATCGAGTCGTCGGTCCGAGACTACTTGTACGAGAACGGGCGACGATACCATCGGTTTCGAGAAGGGCAGTACAACTTCCCCAACGACGAGATAGAACAGGAGCGGGAGGACATGAAGCATGCAATGGTGAAGCTGCTGTGCAACCAGAAACTGAGCTTTGCGCCGTTGGGCGAATGGCCGCAGCAGATACTTGACATGGGAACTGGGACAGGTGCATGGGCCATTGAGAGTATGTTGCCAAGTCCCGCACGAGAAGGTTTCGTGATGCTGACGAGGGTGCAGTGGGCGACCGGTACCCCAGCGCAACAGTGCTCGGTGTCGACCTCAGTCCAATCCAGCCAGAGTGGGTTCCGCCCAACGTCAAGTTCGAGGTGGACGACGTTGAAAGCCCGTGGTTGTATCCGGCGAACCACTTCGACTACATCCACTCTCGGCACACGGTCATGGCCATTAAGGACTGGGAGGTCCTTTTCCAGCGAGCATTCGAGTAAGTACCTATCGGGATTCCGAATCGACGGTCGGGCTGTCTAACGACGTGGGCGGCAGGCATCTCAAAGCTGGTGGCTGGATCGAGCTCCAGGAAATCCACCACTGCCCCATGTCAGCAAGCAACTCGCTTTCGGCGACTCATCCAGTGGCACGGTATTGGGGTAATGTGGTGCAAGGGCTTTCGAACCTTGGTATTGACCTGAACGCGGCGGCGGGCGAGCGATTGCCCAATATGATGCGAGAGGCGGGGTTCATCAACGTGACAGAAAGGGTATTCCACGTGCCGATTGGGACATGGCCGCGGAACAGAGTGCTCAAGACGGTGGGCATGTACTGGAGAACCATCCTCCTCGACGGGCTACAGGCCATCGCTCTCGGGCCCTTCACCAGGGGGCTGCAATGGTCGGCGGAGGAGACGGAGCTGTTTCTCGTCGACGTAAGGAAGGCGTACCACGATACGTCGGCGTTGATGTACATGCCGCTGAGAATCATGTACGCGCAGAAGCCGACGGGTGTGTAGGAGGACGGCAAACAACAGATCAGGGTGGGACATTCCTCAAGTGTTCCACGCAGGCTTCAAGACGACGGCTAAGAGATGCCGGTGACGGTGACGACGATGGCTCTGCAGACGGATTAGCGATTGTCGTGTGGCTCTTACAGACGAACGTACAGTACCTACAACCTCGGCGACGGACGCTCGTCTCGCACGCGCGCCAAAGGCGGGAAACGCTCTCTTCGTCAAGGAGAGATTACTACGCAGTAGACTAGGCTACATCGATGGAAGGGTGCATGGCATTGTGTCCATTGTGATGGGACGTAAGGCGGGTCGGCGTCGGACGGGATTGGGTGAAGCATGTTATCATTGGCATTGGCAGTTGCAGTTGCATGGGCAGGAGCAATGCAGGGGGTTTGAATTACCCTTTCTGGTACTAGGATACCCGTACCGCTGGGAAGTACGTGCCTCCCTAGGTAGTTTACCGGTACTACAGGTACACGGATATCCTGTAGGTGGCGGGATTCCGCTTCAATCACGTAATACTCACAGATGATTGGTTCGTATCCGCGCCATCTCACTAAGTGTCGATGCTCACTCACTGTATCCGTACCTTGGTTAGTACCTAGGCAGGTAGGTGGTTTTGCATTAGTACAAACACTTTACCAATTCTCTCCACTATCCTCTATCCGGATCCATCAACTTCTGTGCTGCACCCATGTTTTTTTGCCGACAACCTATGTGCGTATCGGACGAGACGAATGCCGACTACCGGTACCAAGAGACCAGCATTGCCTGCCTACCCAGCTACAGAACCACGCGGCAGGGCAGGGTACCATTGGCGAATCGATACGAATCCTGCAACCATCCATCGCATTACGCTTGGTTTGTTTGTTTACCCATTATCGGCCCGCCGTCACCTGTTCCACGCCTTCGGAGCTGTCTCCTCCTCCTCCTCCTCCTCCTCCTCCTCCTCCTCCTTCACCAGCGCCGCGGGATTTATGGTCTAGCCACCGCTAATAGCTCCGGATCGGCGCATGAATTGCTAAATTCAAGGGAGAACAATGGGACGGACGAAGAGCAAGGCACAGACGGTAGGCAATCCTAGCCCATGGCGTAGGGCCAAAGCAAGGACCGCTGCTACGCTAGTCAATATCGTCGCAACGATCCAGCACCTATGCCAGTTCCGTCATGCCCGCCATCAGCGAGCCAGAAACACTGGCCACTTGCCTGGGGTTCCATCCCATTTTTAAGTACCTATTAAACCGGAACATATCCCTCCTTCCCAGTCCCTCGGGTCGCTGTGTCTCGGATGCTTCTCGTTCCCCTTTGGAAAATCTCCAATCTGGCACCCTCATCGGCACCCCGTGCATTCCGCCCTCTGTTTCTTGCTGCGTGACAGCCCGTAACGATCTACCTACCGGGTACGTGAATTAACCCGAGCCCGTGTCCGTGGGACGTGTCTGTATTGCAACGGTTCTGTGTGTCGCCGCTGCCGTGTCACATTCTGCCCCGTCGACTCATCATTCGTGTTAACGACGCGACGCTGCGAGCTACTGAGAAACCAAGAAGCACACACCCCGACTTACATGCAAGGTGTGTGATGCCCCGACATCCTCCTCGCCAACAATGGTCCTTCTAGTTTTCCAGGAACGGTTCGCCTTGGGGGGTGGTTTTGTTTTTATTCTATTCTAATTTTTCCACAACACGACCGTATACACTACACTTGCTCAAACTCAAATCACGCTGACCTGAGAAGCACCTAGCTTGACGGCTTGCATGCAACCGAAAGACTAAGCTGCTCCAACTGTCGCAAATATGGACAAATTCAAGCTCGGCACATGGCTTGGCGCCGGCTCGTCTCTCAATGCTGTCGAGGGGGAGGGGGAGAAGAAGCCAGAGAGCCCCGCCTCGTCGCCGTCAAGACTGACGCAACTTGCCAAAAAGATAGCGTCGGAAACTGAAAAGCTCGAAAAGTACATGATGGAAAACAACCTGCCGATGCCCACCTTGGACCCCAGCGGGCCCGGCGATTTCCCCAAGCTCCCGGACGACATTCAGAAAAGCCGCATGGAAATAATCTACGCCACTAGAGAGCTTGAGGCTCTGGCCCACGGACCTAGAGAGGATGTCAGATGGAAGACCTGGAGTGTGAGTGATCCCACGCCCTTTCCTGGATTGCAGACTCTAACCTGCCCGCAGTATCAAGACAGTCTCAGTCTTCAACTTGTGAACCACTTTGGCTTGGGTAAGTGGTGTCTTGACGTTAGCGAGACTCGGTACTGATGCCAGACAGCGAAGCTTGTGCCCGTTGACGGCACCATCACACTCGCCGAACTCCAGTCCAAGACTTCACTAGATCCCGTCAACGTAGCCCGCGTACTTCGTCATGTCATGACGAACCACATATTCTGCGAGCCCGCGCCTGGTGTTATCGCTCATACGGCGGCGTCACGGCTCCTGGCCGAAGACCAAGCGTTACAGGACTGGGTTGGCTACAATCTCGAGGACAACTTCCCGGCTTCTGGGCATGTCCTGCAGGCTCTCAAAACATACCCGGAAGCGACGTCGCTCACGCGCACTGGTTTCAACTTCGCGTTCGACACGGTGGACAAGGAGCCGATGTTCGTCACATTCGGCAAGGATCCCGCCCGCGCCAAGCGTTTTGGCGGCGCCATGCTCAGTCTCACGGGCGGCGAAGGCTACGAAATCAAACACCTGGTTGACAACTACGACTTTGGCGATATCGACGCCAGGGGGGGGACTTTTGTGGACGTCGGTGGCAGCCACGGCTTCGTGTGCGTCGACCTCGCAAAGAAGTGGAGGAACATGACGTTTGTCGTGCAGGATCTCCCGAAGACGGTCGAGTCGGCGCCGAAGCCGATATCCGACGACGCCCAGGTCGCCGAGCGTATCAAGCTTGTGGCGCACGACTTCTTCAAGGAGCAGACCGTCAAAGACGCCGATGGTGAGTCCGAGGCCGCCCCGCGTTGTACGGGCAATGACACTGACCGCAGACAGTCTACTTCTTCCGCTGGATCATCCACAACTACTCGACGCCCTGCGCGGTTTCCATCCTCAAGAACCTCGTTCCGGCGCTGAAGCCGGGTGCCAAGGTCGTCATCAATGACCACTGTCTTCGCGAGGCCGGACAGGAGACGCCGTGGGACGAGAGGGTCATCCGCAGTATGGACATGGTCATGCTGGCTGTGCTGAACGCGCAGGAGCGCAACGAGGCCGAGTATCGAGAGCTGTTCAAGGCGGCAGACGGGCGATACGCCTTCAAGGGGGTGACGCGGCCGGCGGGTTGCAGGATGAGCATCATCGAAGCGGTGTGGGATCCGGAGGGCAGCGAACAAGGGGCGGACACGGAGGCAGGGCCGAAGGTGGTAGAGGAGGACTAACAGCCAGAGGAGAGCAGTCGGTCCCTGGCATGCGACGAAGCCTGATAGACGGCTTAGGAACCCGAGCTGCCGCACCTAATGTATATACCATTACAAGCAATGCCGTTCTAGACCATCGTCAATGATCAATGTTGTGCCTAGGTTGGGTGAGGTCTAGTGGCCGAGATCAAGCCCAAACTCCACATCTTGAGGTGGGACAACCCGGTCGCTTGCGCTAACAGAGCACAGTACATGAGCAAGATTACTCCGCATCCAAAGCATCCACTTATGGCACCCACACCCCCAATAAGGCCTGCTGGCGAAATGGCATCGCGTCAGATTTCGGCTGCTCCAAGTCATACTCTGAAGATTCTAGGTTCGATCCCTAGGTAGGTCGCAAGCTATCAATTTTTGTTTTTCCCCTCCTATTCTCTTTTGCACCCCTCTTCTGGGGTTATTCCATGGAAGCCAGTAGTTTTTTGTTTGTATACCTTGGTTTCGTGCTGTGCCGGACACGTGCTTGATACTGTGGATCCCTTCTTGGCTGCGATAGTTATTTATTTCCTCTGTCGGAAAAGTGTATGTACACAAGGTTGACTTGCGGATGATATCGAGAGTTTGCACAGGCTTGGCGGCGAGAGAGTTTCTGTGCTCCCTGCTTACCGCCGGTTGCAGGGATTCACTCGCCGTGACTGGGGCGCGCCCATTCAAGCTTGTCGTCGTCTGGCCCCCGATGAACTCCCATGCTAGCAGCTCGTTGCCACGACAGTTTTGTGACAAGCGGGAAGTGAACCCCAGAGGCTCGAACGCAGACGTATGCAATCCATTTACCCCTTCTCATACATACAGTCCACAATATACCTATACCACAAGCAACGCCGTGAACGCCGGGAACGCCTTGAGCGTCGACGCCGCCGCCACATGCTCGAAATGGCACCCAAGAAGTCCGCCGATTGGAAGGCGCTCTTTGAAGACAAGGGCACCAAGAATAAACCCAAGATCCAGAAAAGATGGATTCGGTTCGCGGGAGGCGTGATCCACAAGCCCGACGCGTGGGGCTACAACTAAAGCAGCTTAAGACCCTAATCATCGCCAAACTCAACGCACGTGTTACTGCATTAACGCTTAACCCCACCAACTTCTCCGACTATCGAAAGGTCAAGAAGGCCCTAACAGTAGGTCGGGAAATTGACTACGCTGATGCGTGGTCTGTTGTCTTCAGGATCTGCTGCGACAAGCGCTAACTCGTTAAGGATGACACAAACGGCAATGTCATACGCGCGATGGCGGCAGTGGTCGTAAACATCTTCAACGACCAAGATCCACGACTACCAAGGACACACCAAGACGAATCATCGCTACAAGGAATACACGATCTGGCGAAAAACAATACTTGGTGGAAATAGTTGGACTCGGCAGTGAACATCAACGTTGGTTGACTACTTCACAAATGACACCCCAGATTCGCGACCTTCTTAAAGAACGAACTGACCAGACGCTCTTACCTCAAGAGAGCGTGCCTTCCATCTGAAATCCTTCTCCATAACAATATCTTCCCATCCACCCTCCACTAAGAACTTTTCTTCTCTTCTTCCCTCACTACAACCATCATCATCACTTTACCCTTTTCTTACCCTACCAGAATCACTACACATTACACCTTCACAACAATGGCTAAGACCGACTACGACCCCGTCACTAAGGCTAAGAGAGATGAGATCCTCGAACTGAGGGACTGAGGCTGCTCCATGTTCGGTCCCAACCTTTGCCCGGCAAATTTCCCCAGCGATGGGACGACAGGCAGAAGAAGCAGGGCAGCAGACGGGACGAACAGGGGGCTGTCTGATCCAGATGATATCACAACTCGGCTGAAATATATCAAAAAATGATCCAGATAACTGATAACTGTCGGGATTAAAGGAAATATCGCCTATTTATCTGTGCAGTGTTTGGTCTCAGATAAGTACTAGTTGGATATAATCGTGGTAGACCACATAAGCGGTCTGGCCTAGTTCACCCAGCACATGAATATCATGATATAACGTGATACGCAGCACTTCTGAATTTGTCTCCTACAAAATATGATATGTTTTTTTTTTTTTTAATTCGTCCAGATGAATTTATATTCCATCCAATTTCAAGCAGGATGAAACGAAACAAAGCGGCCCTGTATAGGGTTATCTGGCATCTTCCCCATCGCACTTGCCCTTTCTCGCCTGCTCTTCCCTCCCATCTGAACTACCTTTGCCTGTCCTCTTTCCTCCTTCCTTTTACTATTTCATCTATTTTCTTTAATATAGATGGGAGAAGTATTTCTTGCCCACAGCTTCCTCTCTTCTACTCAATCACACACAACTTCAGCCCTGTGAAAAACCATTCATTCACAGGCAATAAGAACAAAAGCAGCACGCTTTTGCTGGGACATACCCTTATCCCTGTGTGCAGCCCTTCTCTATCACTCCTCATCATTCTTTTGTATACTAATTGAATATTCCAGAAACAGGGGCAAAGAGGACAACGCCATGTTCATACACTATAAAAAGCTCCCGCCAGAGATTCGCGCCGCAATCTGGAAGCTGGCCTTTGGTGGCGGCCGCATTGTCAGCACAGAGGCACTCAGACACACCCCACCAGCTGCCGCCTTGGCAAACAGGGAATCTTGGGCAGAGTACACGAAACTGGAGTTTATGGTGACACCTGGCGGTGGGCGCGTCTACTTTGACCCAGAGATCGACATTGTTGTCTATTCGCGACTTACAGATTACCCCCCCTGCCAAGGCGAGCCTCGACTGCAGAATGACATCCACCGAGAGTACCGCGGACACGTCGCAAAAACCAGCGGGAGCGGGCGCATGCAACCCCCTCTCCTGCCCCAGCCCATTGCGAACCCCCACCCGGGGCTCAGAACTGCCATGATGGTTACAGAGACATCGTATTCCGAAGGCCACACCCTGATGACATGGGATCCTCTTACGCGCACACTTAAGGATCTGATCGAGAACCATAAGCGAGACCCTATAATGAAGTTGCCCAAGATTCTCATAAAAATTTTTCCGAATTTGAGGACGTTGTGGCGCGCGGGAAGCTGCCCGTGGAGTTGTCAATACGCCCGCGACCCTTCCACGGCCGGTTGGCACCTCAAGTTTGTCCAATTCCGATACTACAGCGCGTCACAGCGCGTCATGATCAGGGACATGCCAAAGCCTGCCAGACGCGAATTCTGGAGGATCCAGAGGCACGTCACGCAAAGCCGCATCGAACAACCGTCGGCTTACAGAGTCGTGGCGGCCATCGACATCATCCGTGAGAGGGATATCGCACCTGCCGACATGACGGATGGTTGGAGAATCGTGCGGACGTTCGAAGAGGAAACGGCGGGAGGTCAGGATAAGCTACAGTATGACCTCCTTCCTGACAGGCTTTGGTGGATGATCCTCGGGGGAGAGATTGATCGTTACATTGGCTAGGACGATTTGGAATTCATTTCATCCGAGGAAGAATTCATAACGGAAGGAAGGCAGGCAGGCAGGAAAGCCGACTGTAACAAGCAGGATACCTCACGACGCGGGAAATATCGGCTTTTATAGCGTCGATCGAGGGTTGCCATGTCGTGAATCAAGCAGGCCCATCTCACGACTACGTCGAATTTGGTCTCATTTCCAAGGGTCAGACGAACATGGGATCAAAACCTCCATCTAGTGACGTATGTCATTTGCCAGTTCGGAGTGCCAAATATCCTTGCCATTAAGACTAAAAGCAGACACCCCCCCCCTCCCCCTCCAAACTCGTCGAGCGAACCGTGCTACTATCGAACTACTACCGATGACCCGTTAGCTTCCCCACGCTTCCTCGTATGGTGGCACCATCGAACTCACTTCCTCCAAAAAAAAGGACCTCATCAGGAGCTCTTCCCGGTTCGCAGAAACCGCGTGGTCCGTCCGGCACGCTCAGTCGTCGGCGGGGCCCGTCATGAGCTTGAGGTTGCCGATCACGATGGGCGGGCGGCGGGCGGAGGACTTCCAGAGGGCCTCCTCGACGGTCGTCTGGGCCATCTCCCAGACGAGGCGGTGGTGGAACTCGGGGCTCGCCGAGTAGGCGTCCTCGCACTCGACGGCCTCCTTGGGGAGGACGGGCATCCAGTCGAGCTTGTCGCGCCGGTCGTCGACGGCGGCGGCGGGGTCGATGTCGATGCGGACGACGAGGTCTCGCTTTCCGCCGTTGTTGTTGTCCGCGGCGGCCGCGGCGGCCGCGGCGGCGGCGTTGGGGTTGTCGCGGTCCTCCACGACGGCGATGTAGACCGTGTCGGTGTCGGTGCGGTAGTCGACGACGAAGGTGGCGGGCGCGGCGGCGGGGAGGAAGGCCTCGTCGACGCCCATGAGGGTGACGTGGACGGTCTTGAGGTTGGGGTACATGCAACAGCGGGGGTAGATGGCCGAGACCTCGTCCTCGAGCTGGGCCCAGAAGTGCTCGGCGTCGGCGAAGCGGCCGCCGGCGGACAAGCCCTGGGCGGCGATGCGGACCGTCTTGACCGTTGCGTTCCTCTGGACGCCCAGGTCGGGGGCGGACAGAGTCTCCTGCTCGGCCTGGCCCTGCGCGACGGCGGCGGCGGGGGAGGCCTGCTGGTGGTAATGGCCGATATAGACCTCGTCGGCGGGCCGCGAGACGGCCTGCTCTCCCGAGACGGGGGGAGACTCGGTGCCACTCATGGTGACGGAGGCCTGAGTGGTAGTGGGGATGGGGGAGCTGGTCTGAGACATGGTTTGCTTGTGTTGAGCTTTTCGTGGGTTTGCAGGCTATGTGAGCAAAGTTTCGCGTCTGTCCTCGAGGGAAGAGAAGAGCAGGTGGGGGGGGGAGGGGGGAGAAGAAGAAGGTCGAGAAGTCCTCGAGGATTTTAAATATCTGAAAGCAAAAGGAGGTCACATGATTGGAGCACGCTCAGTTGTGGGTTGCTCTCGCCTGGTTGAGGCCATAGAGATGCGGGCTTTGCTTAGTCGCAAGTCGATGTCGTGTGGTGAACAGGACGACAGAAACTTTGGAGTTTGCTTTGGTTGCGGGGGATGCTCACGTCTGGTGGGAGGAAACGAGTCACTGAACATGTTCAGTCGCAAGAAGCTTCCGTCTGGTGACAGACAAAGAAACGGGTCAGAGGTATTGCTTTGGTTAGTTAAACAGGAAGGCGGGCTGGCTGTCGTTGGTTGTGAGCCGCTTTTGTCTGGTGATTTTGATAGATAGATAGTTGAGGCGCTGCTTTGTGTCTGTTTGCCAAACGAGATGCCATGCTTTAGTCAACGGCGGGATGCTTTCAACAGCTTTTCAACGTGCATTTGGGCGGTTTCTTGGTGATGGGACTTTGTTCAGTAGTTGAGAGCAGACTTGGGCTTTGCTTAGTTCCCAAATGAGTGTGCTGAGTGCTTGAACAGAAAGTTAAAGGTTGCTTGGCCACAAGGATAGACTCATGGGTGAAGGGAATTAAAAGGTTGAAGTTGGTGTGCTCTCGCCGAATGATCACAACAACAACGATGGGGGTTCCTCGAGTTGTATCTTTGAGCCTTTGGAACAACCATATGTGCTTCATGGCGGAACATGACTGTTTTGGTGCGACTTTGAACTTGTAGCGTGCTCTTGCCCCCTGTGGACAAACCATTGCACGACTTGCTTGGTTTTGGTCGTGGGGGCGCTCTTTTCTTATAATTGAACACTTTGCCGTACTGGAGCGTTGCTCTCGAGAAGTCTGTCAATAGAACGCACCGCTCTGTCGGACTGATCTTGCCAGGGATGGCTGGGGTCTGCCGAGTTTGTATTCTTGACCAAGTGAATAGGGGCTCTGTCTTCTTCAACTCAGAGCTTGCAGCTGGAGCCGAGCTCTCCCTTAGCAGCCAACCACCTAGAGGCCCTGTCCTGGACAGATTTTGGATATCGTAAACTCAGGGCGTTATGGCGTCGCTTCTTGAATGGAGAGCTTAGGGTCAGACCGGAATGCTCATCTCCGGCTTCCATGCGTCGGAACATGTCTCGTCCTCGTTACTCCCCTCCCTGCTCATAGAGGACAAGAAAGCAACGTTGGATCCGGGGATAATAAGATAACAGTACTTTAACGAATCAGCGATTGTGGACCAGTGGTGAGTCAAGAAAATGCCCGTTGAATGTTAAACATCATACGGCATACAAGCAATGGACTTACCGTGTATCAAGTACATGTACGTGGCTGGCTGCCGTATCCCACTCAAGTTGTTGGTAGTCTCAGTCTCGGCAGGTTTCGTCCCGAGCCCCTAAAAAGATTACTCGTCTTCCTTTCCCAGGCGTATCGCGATGTACTCGACGACCATATGCCAGGTCTCGTGGCAGAAATCGTCGGCGTTGCAGATGGCGTGCCAGCCTTCGGTGACCCAGTCGAGGTCGTCGGAGTGGATGATGTCGACGCGCACAGCCCTGGTCTGGCCCGGCGTGGGCTTGAGGCATTCGTCCGGGATCCTGGACGCGGGCCGTATCCCCCCGAAGCACTCCCCGTAGTCCATCTCCGTCACCTGGTAGTAGACCTGGTTGCTGGGCACGACGTACCTGAAGTGCCTCCCCCGTCTCCCGTGGCTCTTGAAGTTGCCGACCCAGAACGAGGCGTGCAGGGTGACGATGAAGACGGTGTCGAGCCGCGGGAACCGGAGGCCGGGGAGGGGGATCGGCCCGGGTCGCTCCGGGCCCCATCTGAGCCTGCGGTTCCTCAGGGAAGGGTCCATCTCCATCCGGCGGGAGGGGTTGAGGTCGTAGAGGTGCACTTTTCGGACCTTCTCTCTGGCCGGCCGGGGCAACGCGGGCGCGTCGACGAGGGTCCCGACGGGGCAGCGGGCGAACAGGAGCATCCCTCCCAGCCCGCCCGAGGACTTCAACGCCGACCCCGTCTTGGTGGCGGAGCCGATGAGGAGGGCGTCGACCCGGGGGTTGAAGTAGACGTGGTCCTCAACCGTGTCTGTACCGGATCGGGTACTGCCGGGACGGGCCCCGGAGTCGTCGTGGAGGCGGATGTAGAGCCGGAGGAACTCGTGGCGGCTCTCGCGGTTGACTGCCGAGATGACGGGCAACCCGCTCCGGCAGGCGAGGAGTTCCCGGTTCGGGGCCACCGTGACGAGCCGGCCCTGGCCCGCGAGGGTTGTGCGCCATATCGTGAGCCGCAGCTCTTTCGGGAGCGAAGAGAAGAGTTCAAATCTTGCCATTGTTCCACGCGCCGACATTGTCGATTCGTTTCTCTCTCTTTCTCTCTCTCTCTCTTTCTCTCTCTCTCTCTCTCTCTCTCGGACGTGATGCAAAGGTGCCGGGCAAGTCGCGACCGGACAAGTCGACGCAAGACCGGGGCGGCTGTGAGGCGAAGAACGAGGCACAGGGTCCGCAGGTTGTGGGATGGAAAAAGGGGCGAGACGAGAGACGAATAGAGGCGGACTCACTCCTCCTCTCTCCTCCTCCCCCAGAATGGTCCTTTCTTCCTGAGTATTAGTCAAGCCGTCCTATGATGAAAAGGTTTCCGATGTCGCCTCTGCCATGTTGCCGGTCATCTTGGCCTGCCTCGCGTCTCTTTTCCAGCCCATGTGTTTAGTAAGTAGCATAAAGCGAGGTTGCCGTTTCATAGCTTAAACTGTGCTCAGGGCCCCTCCTATTGGTTCCAGGGGAAAGCGTTTGCTTCGTCGGTTGGGATCGGACGAAAGTCTACCGGGACCGTGTTTCGAGCAGATCCCAGGCCGTGCTCGCAATGTAAATCCTGCCGGCGTGTTTCTGATTGGATAAAGTCGCAGGAAGAGGAAAACAGAGAGCGTCCGATGAATGATCCAAGGGGGGCCGGAGTGCACAACACACCCAAAGGCCCCAAATAGCAATGAAACGAGATGTCCGGAATGATGACCAAGATAATGAAATGACCGTATTTGCTGTCTATATATGTATATATATATCTGCTGATGTAACGCCTGGTCTCCAGTTCTGTCTATGGCCCGCCCAAATGCAACCGCGGAATCTCGAAATCGCCCCTCAAGCATCAACAGCTTCGTAAGATCCTGCCGCTAACTAGATGTTCAATGTGCCTCTGGAGATTCTTCTCCTTGCATCCAAACCGTTCCAAGAGACTCACGCGCCAGTGTTGCGGCCCACCTTGATGCCGACTTTAACCCACTTTCCAGTGTTTCTCTTCTTGGGTTCAGGTTCGGACTCGCCTAGGTCGCCGCCGGCCTTGCGCTTCTCCGCTGCTGCCTCGTTTTTCGTCTCATTCGCGCGTTTCTGGTTTCTTTTATTGCGTTTGTGATCCCTGGCAGCCTTTTTCCTGTAAAAGCCCAAAGGATCAAGCTTATCTTTGTCTTGCTCCCAATCGAGGCGACTGACGATGCTCTCCTCAGGGATGGAGTGCTCTACAAGGTACTCCTTGACAAATCTGGACTTGGCGACCAGGCCAAACTGCCGAAGCAGGGACCTGGCACTCCAGAGTCTCTGGATGTTATGATCCCAGCCTCGGCCGCTTGTCTTGAATTCGATGATCTCAACGCCTGGGATGCCCTTAGCAGCATGCTTGGCGGCTAGTTCGAGTGCTGTGCATCTTTGGGAAGTAGCCGATAGGAAAGGGCTTTCTTCTCTGCATTGTATGTTTAGGTGCTTCTGTAGATGAAGCTGGAGGAATATTGGATCGCTTCCGCTCCCCAGCCTGGACTTGGTGCCGTTGTTAGGCTGGTCTCTGTGGGTGACTCGGTACAGGACTCGCGGGAGGCTCGATCCTCCCTCAGTGTGGACATTGTGAGAGGTGGAAATCATTGCGGTTCCGTTGACCGCTCCGTGATTACGCGATGCGCTTATGAACTGCAAGTAACTTGGAAAGGCGTCCATGATGATTTGGTAGAACTCCAACTTTACTTGCACGACCCAAGGCATGTCGCCCGTGTCGCTCTTTGTCAGCCATCCAATGATCTCGGGAGAGTCATGGTCCGCGATCTTCTCGACTGAGGGTCTGTATTGGGCGACGGAAAGAGTGATGGAAGGAACCGAAGCCATGACTGCGATTATTTGAGATGCTGCGAGCAGTGGCGTTTGCCAAAAGTCGGAGGAATAGATCGTCTAGTATGATGGAGTGAACTGCAGATTCTGTTCATACAAGTCAGCATATGGTTCATGTAGAAGACCAAACTGGGAAAGATGTACCAAAAGATATTGACCTATTCTAGAAGCAGGTGTGTCGTGGGTGAGAGATTGCTGTTGTTGATGATGATGATGAGAAGATTGAAGCAACTGGGTTGAATGAGCTGCTTTATATATTCTATTTTCCTTCCGTAGATGGAAGAAGGAAGCAACCACGAAGAGCAGCTCTTTCCGTTTTGAATATTGATAAACAAGCCGCGCGAGGAAGGTATCAGTGAGTAGGATATGGGAAGTTGAAGGTCAGAAAGAAAAGATATTGTAGTTCAAATAGGATGTTTTGAAATATTCCAGCCTATATATAGACTTGCGTGATGGATGAGATAATCAACACCGATTTAAATACGAAGGTGTGTGACATGTATTCACTTGAGTCTCGAGACAACGAGTTTCGTGTTCGACAGCGGTTTGGTTGTTGATATGCCAATGTATTCCAGATATCAGCTCAGACTACATAACCATCCGCACCATCATTCATGGACTGTAATCTGAATGATCAGACACATCTACCAGACAAGGCCTTCCCTCTGCTCTCTCAGGCAGAAGAACATTTTTGAAACCTTACGACTCTCTCTCTCTCTAATCTCGGCTTCAATCTTATCCCAGACGCAGAGCAGCATACTGGACCGACAATCTCCATATGAAACACTCTGCCAAATGTCGATCCTCGAGAGGTATCCAACCGTCGAAAGGCAGCGTGTCGGGGTCTTCGGCCAAAATTTCGATTTGAACGAAGACGCGAGGCCATGGCCTTGAAAAGCCCACCTGCAACATGCGGCAGCCGATCGGGGGACTGAGCCAGCGGAAGCTAGCCAATGCAATATAGACCCTGCGGGACGACTGTGAGTATCGGAATCTGAAGTCGTAGTGAGTGCGGAAACGCAGCCCGAAAAGCGTCTCGAGATCGGCCTGGGGGATCGAAAGGCTCACGATCTGTATGGCCGATAGGTTGGGAAGGCGAAGTGGCGGGAGCCTGGCGACGCACAACGGGTCTTGGTCCAAGACGGTTTCTATGAAACTGGGGCTGACGCTCGAGTCTTTGACCTGGATGCTACCTTTTACACGGGCTACGAAATCAACATCGTGAAGTCGGACCGTTCGTATCTGCTCCTGAGCAGCCCGGCGCAAGACAGGGACGTCCATCATGTATCCAAGAGTGTACTGCTCCTGTTCCGCGGAAGCTACGCTGTGGCCAATGCTCGCCTCATAGCTGACGTGTACCCCGAGAACCATGCTTGGATTCATGTAGCCATGGCTCTGCAGGAATCTGTGGGCGGGGACTTGCGGGTCGAGGAAGCGGACGTAGAGCCGCAGGAACTCCTTTCGGCTCTCGCGAGAGACGGCTGAGACGACAGGGAGCCTGTGTTCTCCGCATTCGCCGCCGATGGAGAAGACGAGTAGAGCGGTCATGTGTCGCCGGCGCCTGGGTTGAGGCTCTTCGTGTTCGAGTGCGAATCCCCAGATCTTGAGGCGCAGCTCTGCCGGGAGAGATCCGAAAAGACCAAAACCCGCCATTTTGGATGAAATAAGGGCTGAAGAAGCCGGCGTTGACTTGGGTTGCGGAAACCGATGAGGTGTTCAAGCGGACGGGCGCCGATTCTTATTCCTCAAAGTGAGTTGTCGGCTTGACTGCGGCTTGGGGGTTCAGAATGGCACAGGAGCTTTCTCTTCCGAATGAAGCGTAAAGCCGGAATTTTCTTGCAAGAGAAAGAAACCGAAAACACGTGTGCGGGTGTGCTACGCCTCAAAAGACCTGACACGGCTGAGCTCGCTTTGTGGACGGCCGAGTTTCTAAGAGAGACCCGACTACATAAAACGTTTGCTTTGCTCTGTCTCAGGTCTGTCTTCCGCAACCAAGAAGGTATCTTGACTGAAACAGCAACGTCTTTCTACAGTACCGGCTCAAAACTCTTGTTACAGCAATAAGTATAACCCAAAGAAGAGTCGAAGAGAGGACCCATTAATAGCTCGAGGTCACTTCACAGTGCGTCACCAAATACCCTATGTCCTAACCACCTACTGTAGCTTTTGATTGGTTGTCCTTATTGCTGTAACAAGACTTTTGAGCCGGTACTGTAGAAGCCATCCTTCTCCCTTTCAGCAGATATTGTCGGTTATCATCAACCGATCGAAAGCACCAAGCAGAACCTTCAAAGCCAGGGGAGCCACCATAACCAATGCTTTTTATTCAATCACTATTTGCACGTCTACAGGCAAGAATCCGGCGCCTCTTGCCCGTCAAGAAACCTCCTACGCGAATGCCAGACGGCTCTCGCCCCATCCGGGCCTCAACGACTTACTGTCGAAGCCCATGTCGAAGCTCGAAGTGTGGACGTAGTCCACCTGCCACCCGATCGTCAGCTCGGCGCCCTCGGCGGCCTGGCTCCACACGGTGACGGCGATCGTGTTGTCCCCGCTGTAGTTGAGGATGCCCGCCGGGACGGGGAAGTGGACCTGGTTGCCGATGTACGGGCTGTACCGGCCGTACTGGTACCCGTTGACGAAGAGGAGGGCGCGCAGGCGGTTGCTGTCGTCCGACGCGGCGCCGAAGCGGAACGAGATGGAGACGTCGAGGCCGGCGGGGACGTCCAGAGGCACGACGGCGCGGAAGACGCGGATGCCGGCGTCGGGGACGGAGAGGGCGCCGTCGGCGGAGGAGGCGAACGGCTCCCAGTCGTCGTCGGGGTAGCCGGGGAGGTGGGCCCCCACGCGCTCGGCATACAGACCGCCCTCGTTGATGGGGCCGCGGACGGCATCGATCAGGTCGTTGCGGCCCGCGGTGCCGGCGATCTTCCACCCGGAGAACCTGTAGTCCCCGGCGCCGGGGCCGAGGAGGGTCGCGTTGGAGATGCCGCGGGGGGCGAGGGCGGCCTCGCGCAGGTCGTGGCCCGAGTTGTCCATGACCACAACCAGGACGTTGTCCCCGCTCTCGGCGAGGGTGGCGTTCTCGAAAGAGAACTCGCGCGCGTCGGCTCCGAGGTAGGAGAGGCCGAGGTAGGAGCCGATATAGTCCGAGTTCAGCCAGACGGAGTAACCGAAGGCCAGGCCGCCAGTCAGGTTGAGGAAGACGCCGGTCGGGGCGTTGTCGCTGGCCGGGAACGTGGCGCGGTAGATGTGGTTGCCGACGTGGATGTCGTACTCGTCGACGTAGAGGACGGGGTTGTTGGAGGCCGGCTTGACCGTGTTGGAAGTGTTGGTCTTGTCGGCAACTGAACACATGTCAGAGGCTGCTCTTGCAGCGAGGTTTGGTCGTTGGAGGGGAGAGGAGGCATCAGAAACGTACCAACCCAGCTGTCGGAGGTGGCCTCGTAATGTCCCGCAATCTCGGGCAGGCTGTCATGAACCTTCCAAGGGCCCAGAGGAGGGACCTCGAACTTCACGGGGCCCTCGATCTTGGCCGTGAAGGCGTTTCCGTCTCTCGAGATGATCTCGACCTTCTTGCCGTTCCAGGTTATGGAGGAAAGGGAGGCGGGAGCGAAAACGGTCATGGTCGTCTCCTTATCAGCGTCCCCGGAAAGGGCCAAGCTGCGACTGGCCTCGTCAAAAGAGGCGGATCGGACCAGGTACGGGCCTTGGACGAAAACTACGAGAGAGTCAGCAGTTTGGCCCCGTCGGACGCCCTTTTCTCACCAAGCTTACCGGTGTTGTTGACCGGGGCCAGAGGGTTGTTGTCGAGAGTCGGGACCCAGAAGAGGTAGGCGGCGCTGCGGTCCAGGAGAAGGGCGCGGGATCCGTCGCCGAGAGCCACCGAGGTGATTCCCTTCTTCTGGGTGTACGCGACGGTGACGTTGGCCTCGCCCGGGTAGACGTTGAAGTCGGCGACGTTGGCGTCTCGGACGATCTCGGCAGAGTTGACGCCGGTCACGGTGAACTCGCCGGACTCGCCCTCAGGGAGCCAAAAGGCAACGACCTCACGGCCGTCGAGGACGGTGTAGCTCAGGACCTCGGCGGTGGAGTACAGCAGCGTCTTCTCGCCGAACGCAAAGTCCGTGACGAGCACCTTGGCCTGGTGGCCGTTGATGGCGACGGAGCTGCCGTGCTGAGGGATAGTGACTTTGGGTTGTGTCAGCATAAGGAATGACATTCGTACGAAAGAAGAAGCAAAGCCGTAGAGAAACTCACAGGACCCCTGGGAGGTCTTGACCGAGAGCTTGAAGGCCTCGTTCGTGTTGGACGGCGTATATGCGTGGCGGACAACGTAGAATGCAGCATCGTTGTCGACGTTGCGAAGCTCGGATGTGCTGATTGCCGTGTTGGTTGTGTAGCCAGTGCCCTGGGTGCGAATTAGCAAATCATGGGCTTCTCTCTCTCTCTCTCTCTCTCTCTCTCTCTCTCTCTCTCGGAGTTCGGGCCAATTTTACGTTTCCCACCCTCTCCGTCTTTGTCAAGTCCTTGGCCACTTTGGAGATGTTAGTAATGCTCCTTTTGTACCTTGATTCGGGATTAAGAATAGGTACCTCTGGTGAATAGGGTCAGCAGCTTCGTCTCGTAGAACTTGTTGCCGATGATTCTGTTCTCGGACACCGGAGAAGAGTAGTCGTAACTCGATGCTACCCATCCCAGTTAGCATCCCCCGGGTGCCTATTCCCATCGCATGGGGCTAGCTGCACTCACCAACAACAGGGCAGGCAAGCCATCCCCAGTTGGTTCCGCCGAACATCATGTAGAGGGATATAGCAGTGACCCTCTGGTAGATGAGATCGCGGTAGAACATGTTGGCGAAGTCGGCACCGATGTCGGCGGGGCAACCCCCCTCGGGTCCGCCCCAGGGGTTGTACGAGCCTCCTTGGAACTCTGGCAGGAAGTTTGGTTGTGAGCTGCAAACATGTTAGTGACATGAATCTTTGTTTTGGTGGGCGAGGTGCCTACGGAGACTGGACCGTAAAGTAGCTTTTTTAACCCATTGTTAGTCGTGACCCATTAAGTGCCTTTCATCAGCAATCTTACGTGTAGTAGTCCTGGGTCAACTGCGGTCAAACTGGTTAGCCAAACCACGAGAGTGATGAGCGGAAGCACAACTCACGTAGGGGGTGTACTGCCCGTTGGTACCCGTACACTCGCTCAAGTTGCAACTCCAGCAAGAAGGGTAACTATCCACGCCGACGACGTCGACGTTTCCAGTAGCGTTGGAAAAGTCCTTGGACCAGGAGAAGCCTCGCTGGCATGCCGTTAGTCGACGCATGCAACGCTGAAACGTCTGCCTCGGGCGAGTCTTACCATGTTGGGCGCGTTGTGGGCCAGAGGGACGTCGATGCCGTTCTCGCGCGCGGCGTCCTGGAGGAGCTGCATGTAGTTGGCGATGGGCGGGTTGAGCACTCTGTCGGGGATGTCCTTCCACTGCCCGTTGAGCTCGTTCTCGATCTGGGTTCCTGGTCAGCGTATGCGGCTGCCACTGTGTGGGGACCCGGACTCTCCCCTTACCTGGAACATGAGAACGTTGCCGCCGTTGGTGACCAGATGGGGGGTGATGAGCTTGGAGATCTCGGACCAGTACGGCGTCCAGGCCTCGGTGTACCTGGGGTCGTCATTCCGCAGAGAACCGTGGGCGCCGGTCGTGAGCCAGAGGGGCAACCCGCCGGCGTTGGTTTCCGCGTTGACGTAGGGCCCGGGTCTGATGATGAGGTAGATGCCGAGCTCCTTGGCGACGGTCATGATGGAGGTGAAGTTGTGAGCCCCCGTGTCGAAGTCCAGAACGCCGGGTGTGGGGTTGTGGTAGCCCCAGTGGTTGTAGATGGAAAACGCATTGAAGCTGTTGGGCCATATACTCAGCTTCGTAATCATCAAGCCATCTCCCGCAACTATCTTACCCAGCCGCCTTGACCTTCTCGAGGAGGTCTCGCCAGAGTTCAGGACTTCACGGTGTCAGTCTCGCACATGTGTGACAAGGCTGGGGTACAAACACGGGTATACGCCAGTAATGAAACTGAGTGAGTGACCGGTCAGTCCGAGTCTAGTCTGATGGGGGGGAGGGGGCTCAGCAGCAGGGGGAAAGCGGCGGCCATACCTCGCCAGAGAAGACAAAGAGTCTCTCGCCGTTCACGATATAGCTGTGGTGGTCCCTGCATGAGAGGAGCCGCGCGTCAATAGAGCCCTCGACGCAGCACCAACCACTCACTCACTCACTCCCCCGGGGCCGTCTCGAGAGGTTTTACCATTGGACGACTTGGTTGAGGCCGTTATCGTGGATCGGCCAGTCAACCACATCCTGCGCCGAAGCGCCCTGCAACCCGCCCAGCGAGGCGGCGAGCCAAACAAGGCCGCCGACTTTCGAAGCAAGTCTCATCGCGTCGCTTTTCCCGTTGCTGGATCTTGCTTCAGATGCAGCGGCACGAGGAGGGCGAAAAAGGTGAACCCAATCAGGCGAGGCTGCGCGGGAGAGCTGTCACCGCACCGCACCGCACCGCGCCGCATCTTTAAAGACAAGCGTGCCCCCAGGTGACGGGCACTCATCACGATCTACCCCAAAACCAGCGTGACATCCGGACGGATGCACTCGGGTTTGAACAGGCCGACGACTGCGGGGAATCATGAGGGGGAATCCTCCCCTCCCCCCGGTCCATCCCCGCGATTCGGATAAGCGCGGCAATCATCGAGGCACGTAAACCCTGACATGATGGTGACTTGCAGCGCCCGCCGAATCCCTCAGCAGCGTGTTGAAAATCTCGACGGCTCATTTAACCGGTCTTCTCACCGATGAGGCTCGGCACGCCTCACTGGTCCGCGTAGTGGGCGTGAAGAAGACTTCTCTCTCTCTCTCCGCCCCTGGCGGCCAACACGGTCCGATCCTGCGTCGCAACATGGTGTGGGCCGATGACCCGCTTTGCCAATCATCCGGGAGGAGCCGAGACATTGAAACAAACCCGGGAAGTGATTGTACGTTCAAGGGTCGGGTGGCTGGCATCAGCCTCGCCAGCGATGTTTACGGCCGTGTCATTGATAGGCCCTGTATCAGGTCGAGGTGCCATCACGGCGAGCCGAGTGGGTTCACACCTACTGTGCCATCTTCTCCAAGTATCACATTCACGCAGCGCCTGGTGTTGTCATTGCACACGACGATGAACTCATATCATGATATAGGGAACTTGTCTAACGCAAACCCAGTTGGGGGCTCTATCCCTCCCCCTCTAAGAGTGTATGTAATATCAGCTGTGTAGCATCGGGGAATACCCCGCACTCAGAAATGCATGTCCATCGACCTCAGTAAACCCCGTCCTGCAGCCGATCTTTGATATACGGCTTGAACCCGTCTATTGAATAATGGGCGACTCGGTAAATGAACACTGTCAACCAGGCTCAAACGGCTGTCGCCACCAAAAAGAAGAAAGGGAAGAAGAAAAAGAAACCAAACGTCTACTGATAGGGTATACATGTAGTCACTTCAGACCGTCCACACTTGTCAGAGATCCGACTCATGGCCCCAGACAGCACTCGCCGGCCGACTGTGTTTTAGGCGGGCCCCGGTCCGCTCAGCACCTCCAGGAGGTGATGGCGTTATCGTACTCGACAGTGCGGGGGTCCTCCAGGAGGGAAACGGCGAGGTTGTAGTTGTAGTCGGAGCTGAGACCGGGGTCGTCGCCCTTGTCGTCGCAGCCATCGTGCCTATTTCGGGGGGAGGGGCAATGGTTAGCACGTGGATCGGCCAAGGGCTCATGTTATGTAGATGCATACTTGTAGAATTGGCACGCGCCGCCGGTGTTGGTGGACAGGGAGGCGACTTGGTTGTTGAAAATGTCGCTGATGTCGGTGGAGTTGGGGCTGTCGAAGTTGAAGTAGGAGACTGCACACAAAGCGGCGTTAGCAACCTCGGCGGTCCATGTCTCGGACATGAGCGTCTCGAACACTCACCACACTGGCCCGGGGGCGAGCCGAAAACGAGACAGTTACCGCGGAAGCCCTGAGATTGTATTTGTGTTAGCAATCTTGCCCTCGGCGGCCGGGGTGAGGGGGTTTGCCGTCGGGCCTTACAGGGTCGGTGCACTGAAGCACGAAGACGTTGTCGGGGGTGGTCACGTTGCTGTCCGGGTCGGTCTCGAGAATCTGGCGGGCTTTCAAGTTGACGCTGGCGTGGACGATCTGGGCGTTCTGGAAGCGGTCGAGGGCGGCCGAGTTTACGACGCTGTCGGCGAGCTTGAAGCTCGCGCCGGAGTCGGGGTTGACCACGGCGTGAGGGCTGCTGCCGATGGCGGCGGACATGACGCCCGTGGTGGCGGCCGCCGCGGCGAGGACGATGGTGGTGAAGGTCTTCATCTGGGAAGTGAGTGAGTGTGTGTGTTGTAAGTGAGTGTGTTGTAAGTGAGTGTGTTGTAAGTGAGTGTGTGTTGTAAGTGAGTGTGTGTTGCAAGTGAGTGTGTGTGTGTGTGTTGTAAGTGAGTGTGGTATTGGTTTCTTGGTTAAAAGACAAACTCCAAGAGCGGCTTGAAAGCGACTTATATCCTCATAGGCCTGGAATCAAGCTTGAGGTTCTGGCCCGTGTGTCGCGGAGCCGACGAGTCATGCCTGTTAACCGTGACGGAGCTTATAGACGTCGCCAACTCGCAGGATCCTTGATAAGGTTCTGCAGCGGAGGGGGGTGGACGACGGTGGAAGCCGGCGCATGAAGGAGCGGGGACGAACAGTCTGGGGACGAGCCGTTCGCTGGGCATCCCGTCCTTACCGGTATGGATACCGTTCGCAAATTGCAAAGTGCGTCTGTAGGCGCGTCCGTGAGGGAATCCGACTTTCGTCTGAACCGACGCGAGGATCGGACGGCGTCAAGGATGTCCCCCCTTACGACGCCCAACGCTGAGTTTCTGGCCGTGATGATCTCCGCCTGCCATCCCTGGCAGGTTTCATCTTACAGACTGGCAGCGCCCCCCCAGGAAGAAAAGTCAGTCAGTCAGTCCATGCTCGGTTTGTTACCTATATTCCATGTGCATCCTGGAGGGCTTGGTTCGACCGGAAGCCTCGCGGGGACAGCATGCTGTTGAAGCGCGTAATTGGCAGCAATGTTGATGCGTTGATGAATTGCTCGGTTGTGTGTGTAACTAACTGTCAAATGCAGCCAAGTTGGATGCGAATTGACTAGCGAATGCACGGGTTTCCCACGGCGGATCGTTGGGGAGTGTGTTGAAGCGCGTTTTTGGTAGCGATAATCTTTTGTTAATTGATTGCTCTCTTGTGTGTGTAACTATCTCTAGTAGTATGGCACGCGGCCATCGCCGATTGGCCGTTGAGAGGCAAATGCACGGATCATTATTTTGACCTTTACATAGTAGGTGTTGAAGCGCGTAATCAGTAGCAATAACTTTGCCTTGATTAATAGCCCTGTTGTGTGTGTCTAGGTTACCATCTCTATAGCACGCGGCCATCGCCGATTGGCCCTGTAACTGTCAAATGTGGCGGAGTTGCATACAAATTAAATTAACCGGCAAATGCACAGTTGCCCTAAACTAGGCATTAAAGCGCGTAATTAGCAGCAATACCCTTGCGTTAATTAATTGCTCTGTTATGTGTTGTAACTGTAACCGTCTCTGCGGCACGCGGTTATTGCCAATCGGCCTTTACAAAAATGGGGCAGCAAATACCCCGTACACACATTATTATTTTCCCTTTGTTTAGGTAGGGAAATCCATCCTAAAAATAACTAGCCTATTTCCAGCCAATTCCCTACTTATGCCTAGGCCGCGCGCGGCTAATTTGCCCACTTTGACATGATTACACACACGCACAACATAACAATTAATCAACGCATGAACATTGCTGCTAATTACGCGCTAGCAAACTAAAAGAAAATGCCTAAACACGCTTATGCTCTATTCTATTTTAAGCGCCTCGCAAGCCGGCAAGATGCGCGTGTCAGCATCCCGGCCAAACCAAGCGAGGATACGGCGCCCGAGACGGCCGCCGCTACACCCGAATATGTGGGGACCGGTGCCGCCCGTGCGTGTGCAAAACCCATCCGGCCCCCGATGACTCACCCGGTCGCAGGCCGGGTGGGAGAGACCGAACGGAGCCGAGGCGGGGAAAAGAGTCGCAAAATGTGTCCTCATCGTCCACCAGCGACTAAGTCGAAATAGGAAGTATGGGGTCGAAGCCGTTGATTGGTCAAGCAGCCAGAGTACACTCTACCCCCCCCCCCCCCCCCTGTTACCTGTCGACTCATCGAGCCGACTCCGCTCGCTCGCTCCGCGGCCCCCCCATCCGACCCCCGGTTGGACCATAGTTAAGCCTCAGGTACTCCCACGCTGCGAGTTTGGTTCGGTTGTTCGCGCTTCGGTTTCCCCGTCGCCTTGGTCCAACACACCGCCGCCGGTTCCTGTTCGCCAACATCCGTGCCGAAGCCTGCCCAACATGACCAGCATGAGCAGCAGCAGCAGCGGGACGGCGTCTCGGGAGCTTTCACACGTCGCCGATGACGCAGGCGCGCAGTGCTGCGAGGAACCCGGATCGCTACCAGGTTGGCGGGAGCGAAATCCCGGCCCCGGAGATGGCATCGCGTAAGTAGCATGTAACCAGCTCGACGAGTGTGTGTATGTGTGTGTGTGTGCGTGTCAGACGATTGCGACCTCGTCAGATAACATAACCAATGAGAGGTGCACAAGAACCATGCTTGTTTTTTTTCCCCCGGCTGACAGATGACCGGTATGGGTTGGGGGGAACCTAGACGTCAGTCACACGGCCAATTCCACGTCTTTGCCCTCACAAACCGGCCCAAACAGACCCGAAATAGAGCTCCGAAGACCCGAAACGGGTGTAAAGAATGCAGGTACGTCTTTTGGAAACCCCCGGGACGAATACATCGCACCCCCCCTTCAATTTGCTCCTCGAGCCGTTGGAGTCTGGATTTCCTGGTTGTACTAGACTCTAACCCCCGAGCTTGGACGGCAGGCGACGCCACGTCAAATGCGATCTGGCCACGCCGCACTGCATGCGATGCCTAAAGGCCAATCGACTCTGCGAGGGATACGACGACCAAGGCGCTCTGGTAGCGCCGCCCAAGAAATCTCGGGGCCTGGCGCGGCTCGCCCCTCGTCCGGGGGCGGGAAGCGCCCCTCAAGATGCCGACGTTCGCATCCTGATTAGCCCAGACCCGGAAGCGGCCCTGTTCACCGATCAGAGGCAATGGGACGCGTTCCAGCTCTTCGTCCTCAACCACGAGCAGGGCGACACCATTTTGAGGGACGGCTTGGGGGTCATGATGCTGCAGTGCTCCTACTCGGAGACGTCCCTCCGCGAGGTCTGCAGCGGCATCGGGGCCCTGCTCAGGGCACTCGGCCACCACATCTTCGACGAGGAGCCGATGAACGCCGACTTCAGCCAGGCCCTGGTGCACTACAGCCGGGCCGCCAAAGCCGTCGTCAGCGCCGGCACGGCGGCCGACAACCTGCCGAGCGTCATCCTGACGTCGTTCCTGTTCATCACCTTTGACATGATCGCCGGCAACATCGCGTCCGCCCTCAAGCACCACAACCACGCCGTCGCCATGATGGAGCAGCACATCGACGTCCGAGTCGAGCGCGAGAGGGTGCCGCTCGAAAGGCTCCGCTTCTCCCGGCTCGAGACGAGCATGTACGAGTGGCTGCTGCGGCACGACACCCACCCCTGGGCCATCGGCTTCGACGGCTGCGACGGCCCGGACTACCTGCGCATCATCGCCCCGGCGCGGAGGTTCCCGCACTGCCGCCATAGGCACACGATGCGGGACATCCCCGAGGCCTTCGACACCATCGCCCAGGCCATGTCCTGGTGGTACGTCGCCCAGCACTCCATGCTGCACTGCCTGCACGAGATCAAGATCAAGACCAAGACCAAGGCCAAGGCCATGGAGGATGAAGACGAGGAGGACGAGAGCGGCGCGGCGTCGTCCCTCTGGGGAGAATGCGTCGCGATCCTGCAGTCCTGGCGCGCGAGCTTCGCTCCTCTACTGCAGGCCGCCAGACGGAACTGCGACCGCAGCTACCGCCGCTGGTTCAAGGCCATGACGCTCGAGACGCTCTACGTCGAGACGCTCTCGGCCGTCCACGAGCGGTGGCCCGGGAACAGGAGCACCGACGTCCCCGTCCCCCCCGCTGCCGTTGCCGCGTCGCCGCTGCACCTGGAGATGATCCGGCACGCCGTGCGGCTGGCCGAGGCGCGCGGGCCGTTCGACGGGGTGAAGACGCTGGTGGAGGAGAACGACCTCGTCAGGCCGCTGGCGTGCGTGCAGTTCAAGACGCGGGACCCGGTCGTCGTGCGAGAGCTGACGGGCGCGCTGCGGCGGCTCGGCGGCGGCTCGGGCATCGCCGAGAGCTTGCTATACATGCGCGAGTTCCGGGGGCAGGGCCGGCCGCTGAAGGGGCTGGAGAGGGGCTGGGGCCTCGCCATGACCTCGGCGGGGATGACCATGGGCGCCGAGTTGCTCGATTACCTGGACTGAGCTGGGTAGGAAACGTAGATTTGTGGCCATCATATCGCGGGTAACGTGCAGGTTCCTTCTGAGGAAACACTCCACCTTGCTTTTCCGGCACGTAGGTGAACCTTTTTGTTCCTTGCCGGGGAGGACGGCACCATGTATATAGTACAAAAGTCTCGGAAAGCGCCTCAGCGCGACATCGGGAGGGAGCCAGAAATGATCTCAGTGGCGATACGATAGCCAAACATCACCCTGCGTGGGAGAAGGAAATGACGAAAGAGAATCACAATTTCACGCTGTTTCCAAATTCTCAGTGGGGGGGGGGGGGGGGGGGGGAACCGCGGGCATGCAGCGTTAGGTGCGCACAAGCCATAGCCGATTAGAGCTTACGGTCATGAAAGCACCGGTATGTTATGGGCGATATAAGTCGTTAAACGGATCTGCTGTCAATATATAAGTCAGAAGAGCTGAACGCCAAGCAGCAGCAGTTATCAAACGCAACAGTGTAGCCTTGTCTTAGGAGTAGTCAACACGGCACCGTGCGAAAATAGCAACAGAGGCTTGCCTCTAAGGCATGATCACTAGACAATTCGGAATTCGACAGTCCCCAGGGCGACTAGGTTCCTCCTGTTAACTCTAGTGACATCCGGTCCTGTGTACCTACTGAACATATTGTGTACCAGTTAGCTGTACTGCCGCGTATGACCGACTGCCTGTTCCTCCCCCGGTAGGGCGGCGCATTTTTTTTTTGGCCAAATTTCTCGGCAACCCTCCTTCGCGGCCCCTTTGTAATCCCAGTCGCCGGCACACATACAAGAGATGAGACTATGCCAGTGTTTTATGCATTCAGCAAGAGAATTCCCCGTAGGTGGGTGACCTAATTCTCATGGGGGGGGGGGGGGGGGGGGGGGGTGTTGACGATCCAAGACTGTCCAGGGGGTTCAAAAATGGCAGAGAGTGTCGGTCATGCTAGTTTCGGCCTGTCTGCCGACCGATTGGAAGACGTATCTAAGCCAATAGAAAGTAGTCTAGAGAGGTATGTCAGGATATGCAACCACTGATTGTATGTCCGGATACATGGCGGTATGTACACGATATGATGAAGGACGATAGAGAATATACATGGTTGCAGCAAGGCGCCTTCGGACTTCACCTCTCGACATGATCCGAAAACTTGGTTCGCCTTTGGGAGGTGATGTCCTCTTTCCAGTGCCACAGGATGACGGGCGAGACCGGGGCGGTTTCCCGGTCGCTGCCCAACTCTCGCCGAGTGAGTTAGGTAGACCGGCTTACCTCGCGGGCCTGCTGAGGAGAGGCTCCTGATCGCTGCCCTCACGGCTCACCTGCTGCTGCTGCTTGTCTCTCTTGCTGTAGGGCCAGTAGCCCTTCTCCTTGCAGATCATGGCGAAGAAGCCGGTGGCGACAGCGACCCAGTACAGGTTGTACGAGACGACGGAGCCGACGGTGGCCGAGTTCTGCCAGCCCAGGACGGCATTGAAGATGCCCCAGAAGCCGCCGCCGTTGAGGTCGGGGTTGCAACACTGGGCGGGTTGTCAAATGGTTGCTTCAGTATGGGAGTTTTGGGAGAGAGGAGTGCTCACGTTTACGTGCCAGACGCTTCTGCGGATGTCGTAGGAACCAGGGCCGGAGCCGAGCTCCGCCGCGTCGCCTCCGACAATCTTGTTCCACTTGACGGCATGTTAGCGTGCCCCCTCGCGAGCTCGTGGGGGAGGGGAGGGGAAGGACGAACCTCGTTTTGCTCGAAATGCCACACGCCCTTGGAGAAGAGGCCGGCGGCGATGAGGTACAGGAAGCAAGTCGAGACGATGAGGAAGACCTGGATGGGCGCTTTCTTGGAACCCCTGCGCGCGCGAAGAGAATGAGCGAGATGTTTGTTTACCACAGTGTCTGTAACGTCTAGCGTCGGGACTCACCTGTAGATGAAGTAGCCGACGACGGCGCCGAGAGCGAGGCCGAGGACGGCGGATGCAGCTATGGAGGCGGCGGTCTCACTCACGCCGACGCCGGCGATGAAGAGGACGCCCTCGAAGCCCTCGCGCAGAACGGTGATGAAGGGCAGCAGGAACAGGGCGTACTTCTCGCCGAGGTACTTGAGGCGGTCGCGGAAGGGGCCGGCGTGGCTCCCGCCGGCGTTAAGGGCCTTGGACAGCTTCAGGCGCCACTTGTCCTGGAGCTTGGTGACGCGCAGCAGGACGGCGCCCATGGCGGTGATAACGAGGGAGGCGCTGAGGGAGAAGATGCCTTCCCAGACGCTCTCGGCGGCGGCGAAGCGGTCGGCGCCGAGACTGTGGATGCCGCTGATGATGGCCATGGCGATGAGGACGCAGGTGAGGAGGCCGGCGGCGGTGCCGATCCAGACCTGCTTCTCCATCTTCTGCTGGAGGGCGGGGTCATCCTTGGTGGCGAGGGTGCGCCTGATGAAGGCGAGGAGAACCGAGACGATGATTGCGGTTTCGAGGGACTCGCGGAAGGTGATGAAGAAGACTGCAGGGTTGTTGTTAGTAGGAGAGCGACAACGAGGAGGCCAGGAGAAAAGGTTGGAGGGGGGGGGTTGTTCGTACTGGGGAGGGAGAACAGGTCCTCCATTGCGAATCGACTCGACGGCGTGCCACGGGATGGTAGGTCGATGCGTGAGTGAGAATGAGAATGAGAATGAGTTGAAAGTGAGAGTGAGAGTAAGAGTGAGAGTGAGAGTAAGAGTGAGAGTGAGAGTAAGGGTGTGGAGGTTGAGGATGAGCGGGTAGCGGCGGCGGAATGAACGAGTGACGGAATGGCCCAATCAGAACCAGAGACGGCTAGGTGTCGGTGGCTGCGACACGGCACTGGAACTCAAGGGGCAGCAGAGCCTGTATGCAAGGCACGAACCACGTAAGTGTATGTATGTATGAATGTTAACGTATGGATCGGCGTTAAGAGTGGTGGCAATGACAGGACGAAGATGGCTTCACCTCGGAGGGAGCATGGGCAAGAATAGGCGTATTACTGCGTATGTCATTAAGACTGTGCCGAGGAATCGAGACAGGGCTCAACCACAGGGATTCCTGCCGTGTCGGTTTTTTTCTTCTCCTTCTTCCCAGAGTCACGCTACCAAGGAAGAGAGGGGCATCGTACCTGCCATCAGATGCTGTCGGATCAGATAAAAAAGTAGGTACGCCCCACCCGACAGCGGGTCCACCTGCACTACTATGTACGGATAGGTAGTACATAATACGCAGGCAGGTACGTACCCCATGCTGGACGGCCCACAAGGAAGGCGCAAAGTGCGGCTTTTCCCTTATCAGATCTCGCCAAGTCGTCGTCGTTTCCACATGGCGCAATTTCGCCATCAGGCGACCCTTTCTCACGTGTGCCTTTTTTTATCTGCTGTCTCGATTCGCTCCTGCCATGTAAATCAAATGGCCAGGATTCTGCCCGTCCATATTTTCTTACCGCCACCGCCTTCCGACCTCCGTCCTCCGCCCTCCGCCCTCCACATTACCTCATCCTGCTTCGAGTGTCTACAGCGGGGCGGGAAGATCCGATCCGTCCAATGTCCTCCACACTCGGTCCGGTTCATATAGAAGCTGGTTTTTTTTTTTTTGTGGGATCTGACAAGTCTATGAATCACAATTGAACTCTCACTCCTTTGATTTCGACTTAACTTGATAGAGACAGAGACCCGGGCTGCACACGAAACAAGGGAGCCAATACACGCTCTCTCCCTCTCTCTCTCCCCCCCCCCGGCCACCATGGCCTTCTCATCGCCGCCCTCGGCCTTCTTGGCTCGATTCGCCGCCCTGGCATTCCTCGTCACATGCGTCCTGGCAAAGACCATCGAGCTCGACTGGAGCATTGGATGGGTTCTAGCCAACCCGGATGGCGCATTCGACAAGCCCACTATCGGCGTCAACGGCCACTGGCCCCTGCCTCTCATCGAGGCCGACAAGGGCGACAGGCTGCTTCTCACTGTACACAACCACCTGGGCAATGCGAGCACCAGTCTGCACTTTCATGGTCTGTTCCAGAACGGCACCAACCACATGGATGGTGCCGCCGGCATAACCCAATGCGCCATCCCCCCCGGGAACTCCTTTACATACGATTTTGAGGTGAGTCCTCGCCCGCCGTCTTAGACCAATCCCTCGTCCCCAGTGAGTTAGCTCATGCCGCTTTTCAGTTTGACCAAGTCGGCACCTACTGGTACCACGCCCACAACGATGGCCAGTATCCAGAAGGTCTCCGCGGTCCTCTGGTCATCCACGACCCCGAGGGCCCTTACGAGGGGAAGTACGACGAGGAGCTTGTCATTACCGTCTCCGACTGGTACCACCAGTCGACCCGCTCTCTCATCAAGAAGATGATCAACGTTGAGAACCCCACCGGCGCCGAGCCCGTCCCCAACTCGGCCCTCATGAACGACACCCAGGGCCTCAAAGTCAACGTCCAGCCTGGCAAGACCTACCTCGTCCGCATGGTCAACATTGGTGCCTTCGCCTCTCACTACGTCTGGTTCGAGGGCCACTCGCTGCGCGTCGTCGAGGTCGATGGCGTCTGGACCCACGAGGCCGACGCCGACATGCTCTACATTGCTCCCGCTCAGCGTTACAGCGTCCTGTTGACGACCAAGGAGGACGCGTCCCGCAACTTTGCCATCGTCGCCGCCATGGATGAGGACCTCTTTGACATAATCCCTGACGGTCTGAACGCCAACGTCACCGGCTGGCTCGTCTACGACGACCAGAAGTCCCTCCCGGAGCCTGCTGCCGTCGGCGACTTTGACCCCCTCGACGACTTTGGCCTGGTTCCCTTTGACGAGATGGACCTCTTCGATAAGGTCGACTACTCCTTCAGCCTCAACGTCAAGATGGACAACCTCGCCGACGGAGCAAACTAGTGGGTTACCGTCCCGCCCTCACGCGAACCGCCCTCGACTGACCATGATGCAGCGCCTTCTTCAACGACAAGACCTACGTCCTGCCCAAGGTCCCCTCGCTCTACACCGCCTTGACCGTCGGCGCCGAGCATGCCGCCGACCCCCGCGTCTACGGCGCCCACTCCATCCCGTACGTCTTGAGGCACAACGACGTCGTCGAAATCGTCCTCAACAACGAGGACGACGGTAAGCACCCTTTCCATCTGCACGGCCACCAGTTCCAGGTCGTCCACCGCTCCGACGAGGACGCCGGTCATTTCGCCAACGGCACCGCCGTCGCCCTGCCGCGCCGCCCCATGCGCCGCGACACCCTCCTCGTCGAGGGCAACGGCAACTTTGTCATCCGCTTCAAGGCCGACAACCCCGGCGTGTGGCTCTTCCACTGCCACATCGAGTGGCACATGGACCAGGGCCTTATCGCCACCATCGTCGAGGCTCCCGAGGCCCTGCAGGGGCGCAAGATCCCCGAGGGTCATTTGGACGTGTGCCGTGCCGCGGGCGTTCCGACGCGGGGCAACGCCGCCGGGAACACGAAGAACGTGCTCGACCTCACGGGTGAGAACAAGCCCGTCGGTCCTCTGCCCGATGGGTTCACCCCCAAGGGCTACGTCGCCATGTTCTTCAGCTGCGTCGCCGCCTTCTTGGGCCTGGGCATCATTTCATGGCAAGTCCCATCGTCTCGTTGGAACAGCAGTTGGCACAACGGAGCTAACTCTTTTGACAGGTACGGAGCCATGGACTCCGGCAAGGAGTCCAGTGTCGAAGAGAACCCTGCCCCCGAATACACTGACAGGGACGAATAGAATTTGTGGGTTACATAGCAAGACATTTACATATATACCAAGTTACGTTAGATTTTGAGTTGGACATAAACATTTCCAAACAAATGGCGTCGGTTTTAGTACTGATGACAATCAAGTTACAACGGTCTCCGAACCTTATTCCACGTCAACAGGGTAGGGGCCTGTTATAGGGTCGCAGGGATACGAGGGGGAGCTGGGGGTGCTTCGCATTTCCTGCGAGCAGGCTCTCTTCACGCGCCGAGCTGCCGTCCTCCAGCCGAGTTTGAGTACCACGATAGCTCCCGGCTCATGGGCGATCCCGAGTCCGGCCACAGCTGACAATTGCCCGGACTAATATTGACTCATTTATGTTCGGAGCATGATCCGCCGCGCTATAACACCCAATCCCCCTGTCATGCACACATGAATGTACCCGTATCTACACATACGCTGATTATGCAGCTTGAGGCCGGCGTCGCAGCTTAATTGTGCACAAACACCCTCGACCCGCCAGCTCAGAAAGCAGCAAGAACAACGCCGGCGAAAGCAAGACGGCGTTGTAATTGTTTTCTTTTTCTCGTCTCTCTTCTCGCGCAAGTTGTGTTTCTACATCAAGTACCAGGCCCAAGCGGCACATACCATGGCAATGCAGGTCCCGATGGAGTGGGCGGCGGCGGCAGCGGCGGCGGAAGCCCCGGTGGAGCTACCGGTGGGCGCGGTGGCGGAATCGGAGGCGGCACCGCCGGCCTGGGTGGATAGAGTGGTAGCGGGGACACCGCCGGCCGCGGAAGAGGAGGAAGCCGCGACAGCAGCAGAAGAAGAGGAAGAGTCCCCGGTAGGAAGGGCCGCGGTGGAGGTTCCAGTCGTGGTAGCGGTGACGTCCACGACGGCGGTCGTAGTCGGGGCCGGAGCGGCAAGAGAGGTGGCGGGCGCGGCCGTGGTTGCTGCCGCTGCGCCGGAGGGGCTCGGGGTCGGGTCCAGGCCGCACTTGGTGGCGGCGGTGGTGACGCTGCCTGAATAGTACTTCCAGATGTCGTACTCGAGGGCGCAGCTCATGCAGCGGCCGTAACGCTCTGTCCACTCAGCGGTTTCGCAGTAGCCGTCCTGGCGGCCGAGGGAGATGAGGACGCCTGCGATGTAGGAGGTTGGGTGCGTCAGCTCTATTGCATGGAGTGAGGGCCGCATCGGCCGGCGAGGGAAGCCGAGTCTGCTCACCACAGTCCTCGTGGCATTGGTAACGAGGGGTGCCAGGCTCCTGGCGCTTATCTAGGGGGACGGTGTCCGGGTACTCGAAGAGGGGGTGGCCGAGCTGGGCGGCGGCGGCGGAGGCGATGGAGACCAGGACGGCGCAGGTGACGAAGGAACGCATCTTGGAGTTGGGGCTGAATGGGGGTGGCTTGGAGGTTATCTGAGGGGGAGAGGAGAAGGGAGAAGAGGATTGGGTAGGAGAAGGGGTTTCGTCTTGATGCCGATCTGGTGGGATGAACCAAGCTTGCGGGCGGGAAGAGGGGGGGGGAATAGGGACAGGAATAACGAACGCCGGGAGAAGCGGTTGTTATATGCTTGTATCGGAGCTCTATTCTAGCAATCACCACCTTGGGAGTGGGAGCAGGAACAGTCCGTCTGCCACGCGTGCCGTGCGTCAGTCCAGACTTGCCGGGCTTTGGGGGGATATGGGAAGCTCATGTTAGTCCCTGGTATAGAAAGGGCCGACCCCATCAGCCGCCGAGAAGGGGGTCAGGGCCAAGGCATCGACCCTTGGTGCTCGGATTTGCTCCGGATCGCCGAACCGGACCCCAGCGTGTGTGTGTGTGTTTTAACCTGCGAGTTGCCGAAGAAGCTCGTACAACGGCGTGGAGGAAGCCGAGCAGTCCCGCCGGGGCCCAAGGCAACTATCAAAGTGTACATGCGTGGTACTGCTGCTGCTCCGTCATCGGGAGGCCTTGACTAAGAGGTTACTGATGGTGGACAGACGGGAGGAGAGGCTGGGGAGGAGATGTGAGGAGAAGGAAAAGGGGGGGGGGGGGGGAGCAGTCCGTACGCCCCGCTACTGCTCCTCTCTCGTTCTGTTCAGAGTCTCGGAAGCCATAGAACACCTGGTGGGCTGATGCCAAGAATCAGAAAAGCACACTGGCCTTTCCGAGAGAGGCTGCCCAGCCCCGGTGGCTTTCTCCCCTGTGCGTCGCCGACGTTCGTCGAGGCCCCTGGACTGTCTGTGGACTGAGCTGAGGGGGGGACGACGGTCGGTTGACGCATCGAGATGCCTGTCTTGTCTGCGGGCGAGGGTTCGGACGGACTAGGGACACAAACGCCAATCCTTGTCTTCAAAAGTGAAGAGCGGGGTGGGGTTGGTGATGCATCTAATCTTATCAATCACATCAGTTCACCACCAAGACAACCCGCACCCACACACACACACACACACACACACACACACACACACAACCCATCGGCCATCGGCCATCGGCCAACGAAGGCCGGCGAACTATTCCATGTTCGGGCATGCCGCGCCTGCTGCCAAGAGAGACGGCGGGGCCCGGCGGACGTGTTCCCATTGGGCGAAGGCATCTGATAAGCCGGCATCCCGGAAAGAGACTCTTATTACGGATATTGTTATTATCGTTTTGCGTTTGGAGAAGCCGTTCCCGGGGTGGTATGTCTCCATCGCACCACCACCTTTGAAGCCGCGCCCGTCCCCACGCTACGTAGTACTCTTTCGTCCTGCGTCTTTGCCAACGGAGAGGCCTTTATCCGACGGCCAACCTGTAGTCTCGTATATTGACCGAGACTTCATCCCGCTCTACTGAGGCCGCGGCGTCGAGGTAGAGCCGACTCCCCTTTCGGACGGCCGAGGAGGGGGGGAGGGGAACACGTCGTGGACATGAACAGTACCTCCCAAGAGTTTTTCCAATATACGCTGTCGCCACCTGCACCACCATCACCCCATCACCCCCCCCCATCAGTGCCTCCGTCCAACAGAAAGCCGGCCGGCTGATACGTGGGCTCCCGCGGATGGGTTCCCAACGCTCTGGGCCGCATCTGTAGAAGCCCTTGCGTTACTGTGTTTGTTTCTGCCGCTCTCGCTGCTCGTCTGTCCTGCGGCCGTCTCTTCGGAAGCATGTGCGAGCGGGCTCGGCGGGGGTGGCTGGTGAGAGGTTGTTTGGGAAGAGAGTGAGAAACGGGAAGCATGCTTTGTACGTCGGATAGAGGGTGCAGTAGTATAACTTGACCGCCGCTGCCGTCCACTTCGTCTCCCGATATAACACACACTCCCCCCACCACTTCATCCAGATCTCTTCTGTCACCTCCCGTATCATATCCCAGCCGTGGTCCGTCTGTCTTCCCCGAACCGTCTTTCCGGCGGTTGAGTAAGAACACAGGACGCCCAGCGTCGACGATGCAAGCCTCGCTGAAGAGGGTCCTGGCCCTGGGCCTGGCGTGCGCCGCCCTCGCCCAGCACGACGACACCGAGCCCCTCGACGACGAGATGGGCCCCGCCGCCTTCATGTGGCCGGCCGACCGCGTCTGGAGCGGCGACATGGACAACCAGGAGCCCTGCGGCTCCCGGTCCGGCGTCGGCAACCGGACCGAGTTTCCTCTGGGTGAGTGACAACAAAAAAGGCCTGGCAGCTCTCTTGCCGGCTGGAGACGGGCCTTTGTCGTGAACTGACGAACAAAACAGTCGGCGGAAAGGTGGCCCTCGTCGCCCAGGACGACTACTACAACACCAAGATCTCCATCTCTTACAAGAACGGTGAGCCGAACCCTGGCATCCTTCAGAATCCATCGCACCATCACCTCAACAGCCAACCCCGCCCCCATCGCACTGACTGACTAACAAACGAACCCCCCCCCCAGATCCGACCTCCAACAGCGACTTCACCACCATCATCCAGGAGCAGTCCGTCGCGGACCTCGACCCGGGCCACACCTGCGTCGGGGTGCCCGACCCGCCGGCCTCCGTCGCCGCCGGCTCCAACGCCACGCTCCAGATCGTCTACCGCGCCGACTGGGACGCGCCGCACAACCAGACCTTCTACGCCTGCGCCGACATCACCTACGTCGAGGCCGCCGCCTTCCGCGCCCGCGTCCCCTGCTTCAACGCCACCGAGCCTGGCGAGGATGACCGTGTCGCCGCCACCTCGTCCCCGTCTCCCTCGGCGAACAGCCCATCCCTCGGTGGTGGCGGCGGTTCGTCGTCGTCGTCCGGCAGCGGGTTGTCCGGGCGCGATCGCCGGCATCGTCATCGGCGCCGTCGCGGGTGTCGGCCTCGTGGCAGGTGCCGCGCTCTTCTTCTACCGCCGCAGCCGGCAGAAGAAGCGCAACTCGAGGCTGGCGCGGATGGAGGAGAGCGCGAGGCGGTCCGAGCACTGGTCTGCGGGCAAGGACTCGACCTCGCGGGACACCCTTTAGCTGTTTCCCTGAGGGGCAAAGGGCGGTCGGGCCTCTCGAAGCGTCTCGGTGAGATGGGTGTGACTGAGGTAACGTATCCGAGGCGGTTGGTCGCCTACCCCTCCCTCTTAAAGTCGCACAGGTACACACTATGATTCTATGAGCTAAAATGCGCGAACGGTGAATCTACTTTTCAGGATGACTGGCGGTAAGGCGCGCCTCCGAGTTATGGTTGCCTTAGAACGCTAACCTGGGGCCCCATAAGGCACCAACACTGATGCCCTTTGAATGCTGCCAGCCTCCAGGAATTGAATAATGATCGAAACGAATGTCTATGATCTCCAACATTATCTTCTCTACTGAACATTAGAATGATTATTAGATCCTGCTTACAAGATGCCGCAACTACGTCATCGAAACTACAACGAAACCTGCTTCTATGGACTGGTGTGGCGGGATTCAAATGTGTTTGCCGTAACTTACCCTAATTTATTAGCACATATACCTCGAACCCGGAGGTCCACCATGAATTAGACTTGCAGGCTCTTTGTCTTGATCTAGGTGATATTGCTCTAAATAACTCCGTCCAACGGCCGACGTTTGAGGCTGCTTAAAGTGTTGCGCGTTGACGTAAATTCGCGCAGCCAATTTCACGGAGCATTAATATGCCTTGACTCCTAAGCCAATAGACCTCCTCACGCCCTCGGGTCGTATAATAACACTAGATTCACGCGGGAAATGGTGGTGCTGTAAGAGGTGTTTGCGATGAAGGGCAAAGGACCACTATCTCCGCTTTTTCTTTGCAGGCCACGCCTACGCAAGGCCGAACCAACGCCATGCTTTAAGACCGCCAAGGGGGTTGTAAAGCAAGTAGAAAAGCGTGTTACCAGGGGGGGGGGGGGGGGGGGGGGGGATGATTCGTGTTCGCTGATGGGTGGACTTGGAGGGTAATGTGCCATGTGCGATGAGACCATGTCCAGATCTTGCTGAGTTAGCAAACGATGTTATGACTCCAGTACGGGAATGATGCTTCTCGCCTGCGTGAACGATTACAAATTCGCCATGTTTTTGGTGTCGATAATGATAAAGGCACCCAACTCGTAGGAGCATCTTTTTTATTACTTTGAATCACTCCTAGATGCCGCATCGCAACACCAAAAAACACGCAATGAAGCACAAGAATAATCATGCCCACAAGCCGATGACCATTATTAAAGAAAAAAACACCGATTCGACTTGTCAACGTTTCGCTGGACACGTCGAAACGATTGTGTATCACTCCGCGCTCCCCCGTCGTTCCACCATTACGCACACACACACACGCACACACGCATAACATTGATAACCAACTCCGGGAACACGGGTCATTCGGGGGATAAAATAACAAAAGAAACCGTCATCACGGCGGTCTCTGCCTCGCTGGGAACGCGCGAGGCAGGTCATGATTCCGGAAAGCAGCCCGCATCATGCCGCCCCCAAGCTCCTGCGCTTCTCGGCCTTGGACGCGCCGCCGAAGCCCAGCGCCTTGTTGACGATGGTGTCCACGATGGAGGATATCTCGCCCTTCTGCCGCTTCTGCTGCTGTTGCTGATGATTCTGGTCTTGTTGGCTCGTGCCGCCGTCATTGCCCCCGCCGACGTTGCGGTTGGCCGCCGCGGCCACGTCGTACGTGTCCGTGTTCCTGTCCATGCGTGTTTAGCGTCCGATATTTTCTTTTCCCCAGACCCTCACTTATGCGGGCAAAGGGGAGGGGGTGAGGCCAGCAAGGACGGGACGTACTGCAATTGAACGTGCCGATCTGAGCCGAGGGGCGTCTGATGGATGCCGCTGTCACCGGCGTGGACACCGGGCGCGGATTCGTTTGGTGCTGTTGCCGACATATTTCTGGCTTGCTTGGTGCGATGGCCCCGTTTGCGGTCTGTGTTTGTCCCTTTCTCTTGTCTGCTTTTGACTGTTGGAGTAGCCACGACTTTATAGTGTATTCTTGATAAGTCGACCGCCATCACCACGTCTCGGCCACGAACATGTGCAGCCGCTCTCATTAACCTTTACATATAGCATCACCCGTACGTCATAGAGACCCCAAGGAGGCTGTGCCGACACCGAGGTATAAATACAAGGCGGTGCCCCCGCCGGAGCGTGTGCTTACTACACCTCATGGACAAGCGGTCCGGCTGGCTATAGGGTTGTGTTAAACATCAGATGGTCTGGGTAACTTTGGCATAGATGACAAGCAACAACCGACATATCGTCAGAAACCGTTAATAACCATCAACAGGAATACGTCAACAAACTGTCGCCGCCGCCCCCTCCTGCAGGCGGGCGCTTCGAACATGGCCAGTGTTAGTATCACAGGGATCGCAATCAAGGTAGCCACAATAGTATTAATTAACTATTAGTAGCTAGGTAAAGATGTTAATAAGGGAAAGAGAAGAGGTTACTGCCGTAGGTATTTATAGTAGTATAAGTAAGCCGCTAGGGTGAGTTACGTAATAGTAAATCATGTGACTATAGATTAGCTTTACTATTAAACAGTTAAATATCCTAACACTAGTAACTTTCTAAAGTAAAAGAAAATTGTTATAAATAGCCTAAATACTGCCTAGCAGCTAAAAAGCTTAAAAACGTAATAAAAATTAAAAGCCTAAAAGTATTTAATACTTTTTATCTATATAATCTGTTATATAGCTTAAGAAACCTATCTTTTTATACTAATCTAAACTATCCTGTTTCTAACTAGTTATTCTAGTGCCTTATTAAGTAATAATTTAGTAAATCTATTAGTATGATTATTATTACCTTATATCTATTATACTTTATAGACCTTATGTTACTTATATAACTACTAAAGGGCTATAATATTAATTATAAGCCTTTTTTTTTATAGTCTTAAGCTTAATAAGGTACTTATAAAGTAAGTATAAGTTAGTATAAAGGATTATTAGTATATATAGTAACTTAAGGTAGTTAGTAATTATTATAATAGTTATACTAAGTGTATAAGTAATATTAGTACTAGTAACTATACTATAGATCTTAAAGGCTAGTATACTTTAGGTAACTTACTTATACTTTATTAAGCTAAAGTAAATAATATTACTAGTTATAGTAAATCTATTACCTATAGTAGTACTTATAAGTGCCTTATTAGTAAAAATAATAATAAATCCTAGCTATAAAGTAAAGTCCTTATTATTTATAAATAATCTATTTATAAAAATAAAAAGCTTTATAGATTTAAGGTTAAGTAAGTAAAATAATAGACTATAGTTAAGGTTATTTATTTACTATATAATATAATAGTTAAGTGCCTTAATCTTATTTATATTAGGTAATTAGTATTATACTATAATAAAGTAGTTAAAGTATACTTTAGGCTAGTAGACTAATATAATATACACACTATAGGCCTATTACTTAACGTACTACTTAAGTGCTTATAGAGATTCTTTATTAATAGGTTAAAGTCTCTTACCTTAGCCTTTTTATTAGAGAAAAAGCTTTCCCTTAGTAGTTAGAGATACTACACTACTATTAAAGGTAAGTAAGTTATTAATAGTAAGGATTTACTTCTCCTTAGTAGTAAATATAGCCTTAGTAAGCTTATTAGCCTTATAGGTAGAAAAAGATTTATCTAAAAAGGTAATAGTATTATTAGTTTATATACTAATAATCCTAAAGTCTAGGCTCTTTATATTAGTAATTAGTAAGTATAAATTAAAAGTTAAAGTCTTTATCTAGAGCTTTTTTTTATAGTAGTAACTATATATTACCTACTAGTAAGTGCTTACCTTTATAATACTATATAACAGCTTTACTACTTATATAATAGTGCTTTTTAGATAAAGGTCTTATATTTATAATAAAAAGTATATAAGAATTATATAATTTAATAAGGTAGTTAACTATATATACGCCTAGGTAATATTATATAACTAAAGTAAGAAATTATTATTATTATAAATAAGGGATAAAGTAAAAGTAAAAATAAGGCACTAGCTAGCTTATTAGATTATAAGTAACTAAGTAAAAATTACTTTTTTACTATTATTAGTATATCTTTAGATAATAAAGCAGGATTTCTTATATAGTTTTTTATTTTAGCCTTTTACCTTATTAATAATCTATAATTTAAATATTTATATTTTAGTATACTTATTTTTATTATATTAAATAAAGTAAAATACCTTATAGGTAATAAGCTCTTTAATCTTAGTAGTAGTTACTTACTTAAAGGGTTTCCCTAAGGTAGTAATAATACCTTTTTTTTATAGCTTAATTAATAATAGTTAGTTAGCTTCTTCCTTTATTAAGACGTATACTATACTTATAGTAGTAAAGAAGGCAGTAGGCCTAATAGTAAAGCTAGTTTTATTAAAGAAATTAATATACCTTTATAGGTAGCTAGCTTTTTACTTTAGCTATAGGTGTATAGTAATAGTAATACTATTATATATTTTTTTAGTAAGCATAAGGATATTAGTAGGTAATAAGGCTACTACGCTGTTATTATTATTCTCCTTATTACTCTACCTACTTACCTTAAAAAGTAGCTATTATTACTTATTATAAGTATCTTTAAGGTATAGTTTAATAATAGTTAAATAAAAAGTTTATAGGCCTTAAGAGAAGTTAATAGTATAAGTAGTCTTATTACTAGTAATAAGGTAAAAAAGGCCTTACTAGCCCTTTTTTTTATACTAGACGTAGACTATAAATTAAAGTAGAAAGGCTACTATTATAGTAGTATCTAGGCTGTTACGTATAGTTACTACCTTATTAACTTACCTTTTTATATAGATCTAGTAAATAGCCTTTATTACTTTTCTTACTGCTTTAGCCTTTTTAAGTAAAGTTAGTAAAAGTAGTAATAAGTTAAAGATTTATAGGTAGGCGCTAAAGACTAGTAGTATAGGTACTAGGCTATTTAGGCTAGCTATATTATTAATTACTTTAATAGCTAGCTAAAAAGTAACCTTAGGTATATAGCCCTTACTATAGAGGATATTATATATATATTAGAGGGGTATATAGTATCTTTTAACCTTACTAATACTATTATAAGCTTTAATTAGTATTTCTTTAATATTAATATAAAGTAACCTTACTAACTACTTAAATTTACTAGTATAAAAGTTTAGGCTAGTATTAGTAATAATCTAGTTAGGTAGGCTAAGGTAGATATTAATCTAGTATATCTAAAGTGCCTCTTATATATACTTTATAGTAATATTTTTAAGTAAACAGGCTACTTAAAAAGATATTATAGTATTAACTATATATAAGGCTAGGTAGTTACTATTAAGGTAAATAATATTAATAATAATCTTATAGTTAAAGTTATATTTATTATTATATAAAGTAAATTTAAAGTAACTAGGCGCTTTTATATTTATCTAGTAGTAGTAGTAGACTTTAGTTAATTTCTCTAAGGCTATAATCTTAACTTTATTACTAAATTATTAGAGGACGTAATAAAGCCTTTAGACTAATAAGTAGCTAAAGTAATAATAAATTTACTATAACTTATTATTTATAAGATAGTAGTAAGTAATACTTTACTTATATTAATTAAGTAGTATCTATATATAGCCCTATTTTTAGACAGTAAGTATAATAGTGTTACCTTAAATTAGCTTATTAGTAAGGTTATTAAATTTAATACTATACTAATCTATATCTATAAGGTAAAGTAGAAATAAGGTAGTTAATAGTATTATATAAAAGGTTAATATACTTAAGGGGGTTTATATATTAATTACCTCTTATAATTTAAAGTAGTTACTACTACTAAAGTATATTTTTACTTTACCTGCCTATAACTTATCTATAGCTAGATTTCTTTTTATTTAGTAGTAAAAGGTAAAATACTACTTATATCTAGCTGTTAAATGTTTAGCTACGCTAGAGTTAGGTATAATACTATAGAATAAGATAAATAAATATTACTTATTAAAGGTAAAGACGTCTATATTAGGTAGCTTATTATTATATAAATTCTTATATAAGGAGTTATCTTTTATAAGAAAATAGGTTATAGATTAGTTATATAGTAATAAAAAAAAAGCAGGCCTATTAATAGTAAATAAGTTAAAAAACGTTATTAATATATAAAACGTAGTGCTTAATTCTTTATCTTTATTACTTTTTATATAGTTACTTTCTTTATCTAAAGTAAATAGCTTATATCCCTTAAAGTTAGTTATAAAGTAGTTAAAGGCTTTAAGTAAAAAGTCTATTAAATACTACTTTTTATACTTATAGTAAGCTTATTACTTTTTATCTTTTAAGTGCCTTATTAACTAATAGTTAGGCTTACTATATATATAACACTTCTTTATAAATAATAATAAGGGTAAAAAAGGTACTTATTACTATAAATTACTATTAAAAAGGCGCTATAGTGTAAAGTTACTATAGCTATAGTTATATTAGCTAAATTACTAGTAACTTTACTAGCTGTTATAAGTATAGTTAGTCTAGTATTAATTATTTACTTTTTTAGTTAGGTATTAATATATAGGTTATTTAAATTATATTATATTACTAATTACTAATTAAAGCTAGCTATATATACTAGTAAACGTTAAAAATAGATTAAAAAAGGTAAGGGAGCACTCTTTTATCCTATAGTAAGAGTTAAGTAATTAGTTATAGAGGGCTATATTAAATAAGGTACTAATCCTTATAACTATTTTTATAAGGGTAGTTACTCTCTTAATAAGTAACTTTAGGTATTTAGCTTTACTTTTATCTAGATTATTTAAAATAGTCTTTATTAAATTAGTCCTTTATAGCTTAGTAAGGTAGGCCTAAAAGGTCTTTTTATTCTTAAAATTACCTCTTATCTATATAACTATAGTAATAAAGTTAATCTAGTTATAAAGATAGTTAGTATAGTACTTTATAGCCTTACCTTTAAGTATAATAAAGAAGGCGCTTATAAAGTGCTTTTACTAGATCCTAGCCTTTATATAGTAGTTATAAAAGATTATAAGCTTTAATTTAAGTAACTTATATACCTCTTTACTATACTTTATCTTATTAAGATATAATTTAATAAGGTTAGTAAGCTAGTAAGTTACTAATAAGGTAGTAGTAACTAGTATAACTAATAAGTAAAAGTAAGTGTTACTTACTTACTTAAATAGTAAAGAAATAAAATTTAAGTTATTATATAATAAGGCTAAATTAATAGGCTTTTATTAACCTTTCTAGACTTAAGTAACTTATACTAAAGGGGTAATAATATAAGAGGGGCCTAGTTAATCTTATATTAATATTATTTCTAGTAGTAGGTCTATAATATCTCTTATAAAGTTAGGTTTATTAATCTTTAAGTAAAAATCCTTACTTCTTTTCTTTTTTTTTTTTAATACCCTTAAGTGTTTATACCTTTAGATTATTAGCCTTAAGGGTATAATAGATTTATTTAGTAATAGTTAGTAACTTTACTATTAATACTTATATACCCCTATATATTAAGTAGTTTTTAAATTTAATAATAGTTTTATAGGTAGTACCCTTAAAAGTATTAAGTAACTATTTTTTAAAGTCTTTAGTAGTATATCTTTATAGCTATTAACTATATAGCTATATAAAGCTATATTATATTATTTAAAGTATAATAATAGTGCTTAAGGCGTTATATTACTTAACTTAGGTAAGGCTGTTAGGAATATTAGCTAAATTAGTTATACCTTATAGTTATATAATAATAAAAGGCTAGCTACGCTTTAAGATAAGATATAAATCCTTAATATCTTATAAATAAATATACTTTTTTACTTTAGCTAGTGCCTATAGTTTACTTTACCTCTTACTTAGTCCTTCTTCTACTATTATTACCTTTTATTAGCCTTACTAACTTCTTAAATATAAGTACTTACTTTTTACCTATAAGGTTAAAGATAAATCTATATATTAGAGGAATTACTACTATTAGTATAAATAATAATAAGATAAGTAAATAAATAATATAATATAAAGAGGTATAAGTAAGATAAAGTAAATAAAAAGATAAAATAATAAATAAATAGATAGTAGTAGATAGCTTTAAGGAGGCCTTACGCTTTAGTAATATAAAGAGATAGCTTTAGAGAGGCCTTACGCTTTAGTAACGTAAAGAGATAGCTCTAGGGAGGCCTTACGCTAGATCTTACTTAAAGAATAAGAGGAGATATATACTATCTCTAAAAAAAGATATATATAGACCTTACTTTTTAGTAAGCAGGATACTATAGTTAAAGATTTTTAAAGGAAAAAAAGTAAAAAGTTAAAGTAATATACCTTACTTAAGGGTAAATAATAAGTAGTTTTCTTAAATTAATTAAGATAGTAAAGTTAAGTAAAAGTTATATTAGTTACTAATAACTATACCTTACTTAAAAAAAAAAAAAGTAAAGAGGATAGTATAGTTATTAATAGGTATTTAAAGGATAAAAAAAAGTAAGTAAATTAAAGTAATATAAGTAACCTTTACTTTTTTTACCTTACTTAAAGAATAAAAAGAGATATACTTACTAAAGGTAACACTTAGCTACTAATTATCTAGTTAAAAAAAAAGTTATAATTACTATAAGCTACACCTAGCTAATAATATAATATTAAAAGTGTATAAAGGTAAAATTAGTAAAAGCTATTTACTTATAAATACTATATTAAAAGTAGATTACTTAGGTAGTTCTTACTTAACTGCTTTATAACTAGTCCTACTAGTAAGATCTTATTTAAATAAAAACTTATAGAAGTCTATTTACTTATAATCTTATATAGGCTGTTACTACTATAGTAAGATAAAAACTTAGTAAGATAAAAATCTTAATAATTAGAGAAAAAAAAGGTTAAAAAATAAAAAAAAAAGAACTTAAAGAAACTTAAGTATAAAAAAAAGATAATTATACTAAATACTATAAAGGTTATTAGTAAGTAAGTAGTATATAAAGAAAAAGACTTCTCTAAAAGTAATAAAGTTAATAGTAGTAATAGTAGTTATTATATAGTAAACATAAGGCTTAAAGGGTTATTTACTAGGTATTATAAGATCCTAGGTACTAATAATCTTTAGGCTAGGTAGCACTTTAATACTTTAATCTAAGCTGCTATAGTAAGTAAAGTACTATAGTCTCTTCTAATAATCCTTACTAATCTATAGTAGTAGTAACTATAAAGTTAACTACTAATTAGTGTTAGTATTATAGGGATTATAATTAAGGTAGCTATAATAGTATTAATTAACTATTAGTAGCTAGGTAAAGATATTAATAAGGGAAAGAGAAGAGGTTACTGCTGTAGGTATTTGTAGTAGTATAAGTGAGCTGCCGGGGTGAGTCATGTGATGGTAAATCACGTGACCATGGATTGGCTCCACCATTGAACAGTTGAATATCCTGACAGCCAGCCTTCTCTATCCTCGACCAGGAAAGCAGGAATACGAGCCATATGGAACCCATGTTTGTTCGCCCAGACTGGCAAGGGATCCAAGACGCCTGTCCCCTCCCCTGACTGTGCCTCCGACGCCGTCATTGTTACCAAGAACCCTAAACATGATAAGCTCATCCCGTTCCACTTACTAACAGGTTCCATGTCCGTGGCAGAACGACCACTCGAAAGTGTAACCACTCACAAGCGCTAAACACCCGCCTCGGAAGCTTCAGACACCCGAGCGGCTCTTTCCACCGCCCCCCTCCTTGCCGAACGGAGCGGCGGGGGTACATGATGGACGGGGCGAAAGGGCTACACGAGTTGAACCAAGGACGCTTCTCATGCGATGAGTCAGAGGCGAAAAAAAAGAAGGGCTTCTAGTACCATAGGAGATGCCCGGATACTTGATAGTCTCCATCAGGGGTATTTCCCGATCAAGGGAGACTTTGTGATTCCGGTACTTCTTTCATGACCTGGCTCCCTCATGTAGGGTAGGGCGTCGCCGTCCAGTCTGGTGATACACGATCCTTTTCTCGGCTTCTGCCTCGGACGATGTTTTCGGATCCTTTTGGCGTATGCTACGGAAATAACCCCGAGGGTTGCATCGTTTCGCCAAGAATGCTTGCTTCCTGGGTGCTGCTCTCAATCTGCTCTCGCACGCCTCTTGTACCGTGTCGTTTGATACCCGCATCGTTGCTGTTGCAGGACCACGGGAGGTACTCACGCTCAGACTGGATCAGTTGGAAAATCGAGATTCTGACTGACAGCCACATGTTATCTTGATATGGCTGAGCCGGAATGAAACTGAGCAAAGACACTGTTGTGCGCTGCGTGGCGGCTCTAGTTGATTAACATCATCCGAATCGCAACTCGACGCCGTGGGAAACATGCCAACTGTATGTGCACCCTGCGCATCTTTCATCCAACCAGTCCCTCAAAAACCGAGCTGTCGTCTTGCACCATGGACTGACTATATCATATTCGCGTGTGCATCAATATGGCCTCGTACTAACCCCACATCGAGATCGCCGCATCATCGAGGAGCGGGAACGAACGTGCCGGTACTCCCGCCGTATTCCCGGGCAACTAGTCGGCATCTGGTTGGCTCCCCGACCGGTACCGGCCGGGAAACGCGAACCGCGAGTGGGTTCAAAGGGGAGACTTGAAAACGTCGGACAGACAATCTCCTCGGCATCTTAATGACTAATACGTGATGCGAAACGAGGCTTCTCCAAATGCCGTCTACCTAATCTAGCCCGCCTCTCACTTGCTAGTTTCACGCGAGTACGGATATAGACTCTGGTATTTCCAATCCTTGCCACGCCGCTTATAACCTCGGCAAACCGACGGGACGCGTGTGGTGTTGGATGAGTCAAAGAAACCAAACATTCTGAACATCTCCGGCGCGCCAAGTCAATAGTAAGATTCTTTTTCGTCAGAATGCGGTAGCACTGCAACCGACCGAACTGCTCTCCGCTCATCTCCAGCATAACGATTGTGGCGACGTCTGACTGTTGTGCCCGCACGCCTTTCCATCCCCCGCCGGCCGGCAGCAAACAACCCGCGCAGGCCGAACGCTTGCCACGATGGACGGCACCGACAAGGAGACCAGGTCCGACTCATCCCGGGACGACGGCGTCGGAGGAGAGCCCGTCCGAACCGGGAGTCGTGTCGGGCGCGTGTTGAGCCGCATCGCGTCCACGCCCACCTCGGACCCCGGTCCTCCGCCGGACGGAGGATACGATGCCTGGATGGCCGGTGAGCAGGCGTCAAACATGTCTTTTGTTTAAACGAGTGGAGCTGACCATGCCTCTCTATCTCTCTCTCTCTCACAGTACTGAGTGCGCACTTCATCTTCATGGACACATGGTGAGCACACACACACACACACACACACACAAACATGCTACCTTTTGGTGCTGAAGGGGAACCCTCCCCGAAACTGATCGTCACATAGGGGATTCGTCAACTCATTTGGCGTGTTCCAAACGTACTACGTTCGGCAACTGGGCAGGCCGCCTTCGGACATCTCCTGGATCGGGTCGTTCCAGGTCTTCCTCCTCTTCTTCGTCGGCGCCTTCTCCGGCCGCTTCACGGACGCGGGCTACTTCCGGCACCTCTTCCTGTGCGGGTCCTTCCTGGTCCTCCTCGGCATCTTCGCCACCTCGTGGTGCACGCAGTACTGGCAGATCTTCCTCGCCCACGGCGTCTGCGTCGGCCTGGGCTTCGGCCTCGTCTTCTGCCCGTCCCTGGCGACGCTGTCGACCTACTTTGACAGGAGGAGGGCGCTGGCCATCGGCATCGCCGCCGTCGGCAGCGCGTCCGGCGGCCTCGTCTTCCCGAGCACCGTCCGCCAGCTTCTGCCGCGGGTCGGGTTCCCCTGGGCCATGCGCACCCTCGGCTTCATCCAGCTCGCGACGCTGTCCGTGGGGCTGGTCTTCCTGAAGCCGCGGATACCGCCGCGCAGGGCGAGCAAGCTGGTCGACTTGTCCGCCTTCAAGGAGCTCGAGTACACCTTCTACACCGCGGGAGGCTTCTTTGTAAGTCCGGGCGACCTTTGCTTTTCCGAGTATGGGAAGGAAGAAAGGAAGGAAAGAAAGAGGAACAGATCACTGAGACCATTGCTAGTCCTTCATGGGCGTATACTTCGCCTTCTACTACCTGGCCTCGTACAGCCGAGACGAGCTCGGCTTTTCGTACACGGACTCGCTGAACCTGCTCCTGGTCCTCAACGGCATCGGCTTCGTGGGACGCCTCGGGCCCAACTTCCTCGCCGACAAGGTCGGGACCATCACCGTCTTCACGCCCATGGCGCTCCTCTCGGGGCTCCTGATGTACTGCTGGATCGCCGTCGGGTCCGCGACGGGCCTCTACGTGTGGACCGTCTTCTTCGGTGTCGCCGGCAACGCCATCCAGTCCCTCTTCCCCGCGGGCATCAGCGCCCTGACGACGGACCCGAGCAAGCAAGGCTCGCGCATCGGCATGGTCTTCACCGTCGTCTCCTTCGCCGTGCTCACCGGCAACCCCATCGCCGGCGCCATCGTCTCGGCCACTGGGGGTCGGTACCTCGGCGCCCAGGCCTTTGCTGGGAGCTGTCTGATGCTCGGCGCTTTCTTCCTGGCGCTGGCCCGCGTGGTCAAGACGAAGAAGATAGGACACGGGTGGTTTGTCAAGGTTTAAAAAGCTTGGCTTTGCAGCCCCATCAGTCTGGCCAGGGCCCCGGGCACGAGCTCACACGTATTCATGTACAAATCTCTGAAGCTGTAAAGCTGTAATTATAAACGTCTTCTTCTCTCCTATCAGAGACAGTGACACGGACCGTTGAAGGGTGACGGCTGGAGTCGTATTGGCCAGTCTCATGGTCGGCTATAGAGCGTGCAGCTACCACCTAGTCATCAGACTGAAACTATATTGGAAGCTCGGGTTACATTAATGGCATACCCGAACCCCTTTTGACACGGGCCCGAGTGCCCGTAATATCATATATTCATGCGAATTAACACTCCGATAGCTATGTTTCACGGGGCATAATTAAGAAACTGGGGACACATGGCTCGGAAGTAAAAATCAAGACCAGGCATATCAGAAACCGTTATAGCACACGTTTACTGGCGCCGGTCGTATGCGTTTTCAAGTGTGTGAGTTGCCTCGAGATTGATACAGCAACAGACCGAACCTGTTTTCGTCACCTCGACGCACGTCACGGTGAAGACCGGCCTTCCGGGAACTTGATGATGCCAGGACACTTTCCCATTATCGTCGTCAAGACCCCTTCGGTGCGTGTGCTATCTGTGATGTCGGCATTGACCTTGAACTTTGGATGCAGTCTTTGAGCGTCCGACAGATCACCGCCAAACCCACCCAGCCCCCATCCAACATGGGGGCGGTGAACCTCGTCGACTCAAAATGATGGACCCCTTGGCTGGTCTGGATGAGGAGCCCTGACTGCGCTGCAAAAGTCCTCGAGGACTGCACCGCAGTGTTCGAGTCCTGACGCTAGATCGGCGGCGTCGGGTGTTTTCAGCCTGTCGATCATACAGCAATAATGCGGCTGTCTCCCCGAGCACCGAGATGAGAATTTTCCTAGAGCACAGGTAATCGCTTCGGGGTAGGGGGTAGGCGTTCAGCTGGAGTTGGATCAGTTGGTTGAGCAGATTGTTAGTGATATCTCCGAGGCGACTCTGGTTCCGGACCCCCTTTCCACCTCCACGGAAGAACCGAACTTGTCTCTGATTCACGAATGTTTGCGGCTGGCGACCTTGACTAACACGTCTAACCGACCAAGAAACATCTTTGCAACGTCGAACATGCAGAAACGCCCCCTCGAGACGAAACGCTGCTGTGGATGCCCAAAGTCTTGATTCAGCTCCTCGCCACGTTGTGTGTGTGTGTCTGTAAAACCAGCATCGCCGGTCTGGTCTCGTCCTCGAAGACGAAGGTGGCCGGCAGATTACGAGAGACAGGTCCGACGGACGACGTTTTACCAATGGCACGCGCCGTCGCCGCGGAGAGTCTCAGTCGCGTGTGCCATATTCTGACTCGCTGCTAGCCCAAGGAGATACGGCGCAAGGATATGCGCTCAGTAAACGGTCAAGGGAACACGAGTCTCGGCAAGAAGAAGGTCGAAGGCCCATCCCGAGCGAAACGAACAAAAGTCACCGGCTTCTCCGAGAGGTGCGGTTCATCTTATGAGGCCTGTCATCCCAGAGTTATATGGGACAGGGAGTGCGGGGAATCGTTGCAACAAGAACTCTATACTGCGGGTAGCTGATACCCTGAATGTCTGGGTGGAGGACGCTGGTTCCATCGACGAGTTCAACTTCTGCTGTTTGGACTGTTGGACGAGTGTGTCCGTCTCCCGGGATGGCCCCTATTGCCTCGAAGCTTTTTAAGTTCGCAACCTGGAACAGCAGCGTCGCGCGACAAAAGGAACCAAAACCCCGTCTGAAACCCCCCCCCCCCCCCCCCCCCCCAAAGGCCCCCAGTTTTTTCACGTAGGTCAATCGGGCCTACGTTAAATAAAACGACTGGAAATGGTGCGCAGGACAGCACCCGCGTCAAGATGGCGAGACGAGAAGAGCGGAAGTTCTGCCCCAGTTCTGCCAAGAGAAGCCGTATAACAGACGGCAAAAGCCCACCACAACATCGGGTTCTTATTTCAGATGACAGACGGTGCTCCCTATTCGCCGGCGGTGCTTGTATTGGTCCATCACTTATTGCTACTTCATAATCTAGTCTGTAACTTGCGTCGCCATGCCTTCCATCACGCAGACCCTCGTTTCTCTTCTGTCAGCCGCATACGTCGGCCAAGTCCAGGCGGTTGACCCGTCCGTCGATCTTGGCTACACCAAGCTGCGGGGCGTCGCCGAGCCGGGCGGTGCGACGCGATGGTTGGGCGTCAGGTATGCCGCGCCGCCGCTGGGCCAGCTCCGGTTCGCCGCGCCGGAGGACCCCCCGAGCACGACCGAGGTGGTCGACGCTTCGAGTGTAGGCAGCCCGGTCGCATATGATGAATACCAGTGTAACGGTTCGCTAACGGGGCTTGCAGTTCCGCCCGATATGCCTCGCCCGGAGTGCGTCAGACTTCACGATGAAGCCCAACAAACGCTTCACGCCCGACGAGGACTGCCTGTACCTCAACATCTTCGCGCCGTCCAACGCGACGTCCGAGTCGAAGCTGCCGGTCCTGTACTTCATCCAGGGCGGGGGCTTCCAGTCCCTCTCCAACGCCAACTTCAACGGCAGCGATCTGGCCGTGTTTGGAAACATTCTGGTGGTCCAGGTCAACTACCGCGTCGGGCCCTATGGTTTCCTGCAGAGCAAGGAGGTTCAGGACGGGGCGAGCTTGAACAACGGCTTGAAGGACCAGATCCAGGGGTTGAAGTGGCTGAAGAAACACGTCGCTGCTGTAAGTCTTTTCTTTATCCTCCTTGGCATGGGTCAACCCAAACCTTTCTAGATCTGTATCAACTGACCGAGAGTTCCCACAAAGTTCGGAGGAGACCCGGATCACATGGTCATGTCGGGCGACTCGGCCGGCGCGACGTCTGTGGCCATGCTCCTCGCCGCGTTCGGTGACAACGACCCGGGCTTGATCAAGGGCGCCATCATGGAGTCGGTCTCGGTCGCGACCATCCGCACGCTCGAGGAGGGCCAGGAGCAGTACAACTGCCTCACCAACGCCACCGGCTGCGACAAGCAAGCCGACACCCTGGCCTGCCTCCGCAGCGTCAACGCCACGGCTCTCCAGACGGAAGACTGCCAGTTCAACCCCAACTTCGACGACGACCTCGTCAAGGCCTCGACGTTGCAGTCGTTCGCCGAGGGTAAGTACCTCAAGGTCCCGACCATCGCCGGCACCTGCACCGACGAGGGGACCAAGAACGTCGACCAGCAGACGGACACGATGGACCAGGCCCTCAAGGCCATCAACGACCAGGCCACCCAGTCCCTCAGCAACGCCTCCCTCGCCCTGCTCCAGGAGACGTACCTCGACAAGCCGGAGCCCGTCTTCCCGAACTCGGGCAAGCTGTGGCGCCAGCTCGCCAACGGCTTCGGGGACTTCAGGCTGCACTGCATCACCAAGGCGTTCCAGGACGCCATGGCCCGCGACGGCGTCAAGACCTTCAACTACCGGTACGGCGTGCTCGACGAGGAACAGGAGGCCCTCGGCTTCGGCGCCTACCACACGGTCGAGCTCAACGGCGTCTTCGGGCCCAACAACACGGACGGCGACCCGCCCAAGAGCTACTCGACCACCAACGCGCCCATCGTGCCGCTGACGCAGGCCTACTGGGCCAGCTTCGTGCGCACGCTCGACCCCAACGCCGCCGCCATCATGGCCGGCATGCCCGAGTGGAAGGCCTGGACCGTCGACGGCAAGCAGAGGCTCCTCTTCCAGAACAACACGGGCACCATGGAGGTCATGCCCACGACCCAGCAGGACAACTGCGCGATGCTGGGGCCCATGATCCCCTTCATCGAGACGCCGGCCACCGACGCCCAGAAGGCCTCGGTCCAGCTGCAGAAGGTCTCCGGGTCGTCGTCCGCCGACGACACGGGCATGGAGTCGGAGTCGCCGAAGGGCGCCGAGGGCAACGGGACGAAGCACGACGGGGGGGGCATGGAGTCGGGGTCGCCGAAGGGCAACGGGACGAAGCATGACGGGGACAAGGGCGAAGGCGGGAAGGGAGGCGGCGGCAAGGGGGCCGGTGGGAAGAACGGCACCGGCTCCGCCCCTTCGGGCACGCCGCCGGCCGCGCCCAGTTCCGCGACGAGCATCGGTTACGGGTTCTCGGGGGTGTTGTCCGCCATGCTCGTCGTGTGCGTCGGTCACTCTTTGCTGGCTTGGTAGTGGTGTTGTATCCTTGACGGGAGGATATGTACTATGTTTCCTGGTTATAGACGCCGACGGTTTCGTCTGTCCTAGCCGGTATTTTAGATCCATATAATTCTTTTTCCTTTCCTGACCCTGTTCGATTCGCCTTTGTTGCTTTAAGAACCCTGCTACAATGTTTCACAGTTTGTTATCATCATTACTCTTCTTTCTCCTCTTTCATAGCCGAGACTTTGACACCCCCGACTGCGCGATCAAGGCACGGTCGAAGAGCTCCCCCCGGTCCGCCAGCTGGGCTACCAGCCAGCCCTCGACCGCAGACACCAGGCCCTCAACCTCGTCAAAGGTGTTGGCGGCATGAAGGCATATCCGCACCCGCTCGCCCCCCACTGGAACCGTAGGCGCAACAATGGGTCGGATCATGAAGCCACGCTGCTGGCAGTGCCGCGCGAGACCACGCGGGTCCGAGGTGAACAGTGGTATGATGGGGGACTTGGGCCTGCCCGAAGCCAGGCGCATCAAGGTCTTTTCTGGCCGGTGACGGTCCAGCAGCGTCAGCAGAAGGTCGTTGGTGCGGTCGACGAGAGACCAGAGATGGCGGATGAGCTTCTCTGAGTGGCCGTCTCTGATGAAGTCGTATGCCGTTTGTATGCTCGCCAGTGTTGTGAAGGGCATGGCGGTGGAGTAGATGAGACTACGAGCGTAGTTGATGAGGTACGATCGAGTGGTATGGGAGCACAGGACAATTGCTGGGCGGGGTTTGTGAGATGGGTATCGTCAAAACCTCAAAAGGCAAGGGATCGGGGGGAAATACCTCCAGAGCAACCCATTGCTTTGCCGAACGTGTGCACGCGGGCCCAAACACGGTCTTCAAGTCCCAGCTCGCAGACGAGCCCTCGGCCTCTCGCCCCGAGCAGGCCCGTCGAGTGCGCCTCGTCAACGACGACGAGACCGTTTCCGCGAGGCAGATGCCGCTCGACGCACTCGACAACCTGTCTCAGGGGAGCGACGTCTCCGTCCATGCTGTAGACCCCCTCGACGGCGACGAAGACGCGCCTGGAACCGTCCCTCACTTGCCGGCCGCCGTCGCCGTCGGTCAGTCCCGCGAGCACCTCGCTCAGGCTCGGCGGCCATTTCCGGGCTTCCGCGGGTTCCACCGTGTTGTGCGCGAAGGCCACCTTCTTGCCGGCCCGGCTCAGCCTCGCGCCGTCGTGCACGCTCGCGTGGATGAGCTCGTCGTAGACGATGACGTCCCCGGGCTGCGGGGCGCAGCCGAAGAGGCCGGCGTTGGCGTCGAAGCCCGAGTTGAAGAGGAGCCCGGCCGGAGCGCGGTGGAAAGCGGCGACGTCCTTCTCCAGCGACTCCGCCTGGGACGCGTTGCCGTCCAGCAGGCGCGAGCCGCCGGAGCCGAGGAGCCGCGGATTCTCCCCGGCGCCGTTGGATGATGGATCGGACGACCCCAGGTGGGCCTCGATCCAGGCGAGGTACCGACGCCGGATGTCCGGGTGGGCTGAGAGAGACAGGTACGCGTTGGACGAGAAGTCGACGGTGCCGGCCGGGACGAGCGTCAGTTTCCGGAGCTGGCCCTTGGATTCGCGGCGGGCCAGGACCGCCGCGAAGAGCTTGTCTAGACGGTCGTTCGCCGGCATGTCGGAGATGAGAATTCGCGGGTTTCTGTTTCGAATTACGTGAGAGGAAGGGAAACGCGTGCAGAAGATGAGAGGCACGAATGAACAAGACCGAATACTCGGCATTGCCGTAGACACACACGCACAAGGTTCTCTACGCTTTCTTTTCCCCCCTCTCCTTTGCACCCCTGGCCTGGAGACCTCGCAGCGCTTCTAGCCGGAAACGAACCCAGATGCAAGATCCATGCAAGGATGAGCCCACCCACACAGACTACCGGTAAACCTAACCTCGGCCGAGCCGTGCCGTTGGGAGAGGCTCGAAGCCGACACACTCCCCTTTGATAGCCGCTGCCCCGCCAGGTTTCCAAGACAAATGCCGCAGCTGTCAGGTTCCCCGCCTGTTGCCCTGTCCACTCCCATGTCCTCGGAGCTGCCTGTTCGGTGACCCCTGTATCTGCTCCCTAGAACTCTAACGGAGGAGGATAAGACAAAGAAGAAGAAGAAGAAGAAGAAGAGGCCGGCTCATTTCTAAGCAACCCAAACCTGGCTGCGTCTCGAGCGGCTTGCTCTTTATTCCAAGGTCACCACAACTCTCTAATGGCAGCTTGAACACCTCCAACGAGCCCCCCCTCAAATGGCACCAGTCGGCGCTCTACTCTGGCGTTCGCTCAGGACGTACCAGATCTATGGCGCCAACACCGACGTCGGCAAGACCGTCTTCGCCTCGGTCCTATGCAATGCCGCCCGCACGTTTTGGCCGCGCGAGAAGACGGCGTTCCTGAAACCCGTTTCCACCGGCCCGGCTGCTGAGGCCGACGACGGGTGTACGTTGTTGTGAACCCCACCGGGTCACAGCTAACATGAGAGATAGAACTACAACGTCCGGCTCGATTCTGTCGTGGTTCTCTCGCTGATTCCCGCTCCCCCAGTCACATCGAGCGGTTCGCGCCCGCCGTCGCGAAGAAGACGCTGTTCCAGTTTGAGATGCCGGCGAGTCCCCATCTCGCCGCGGAAGCCTCGGACCAGGTGAATGGTTCTCCGGCTCGCATCACACAAGTAAGTGTTGCTGTTTTGCTAACTGACGTCTGACCAAGCCCACCCCGAAGGACGGTCAAATCCTAAGAAGCATTCACAACTACGCATCGCGCCGCGCCGCCGAGGGTCCGGGATGGCTCTTTATCGAAACGGCCGGCGGAGTCCATTCGCCGGCCCCGTCCGGGACCACGCAGGCCGACCTCTACACCCCGCTCCGCGTGCCGGTCGTCCTCATCGGCGACGCCAAGCTGGGCGGCATCTCGCAGACCATCTCGGCCTTTGAGTCGCTCAAGCTCCGCGGCTACGACGTCGAGAGCATCCTGCTTTTCCGGGACGACCGCTACCGGAACCACGCCTACCTGGCCGACTACTTCGCGCGCGACCGCGGCATCCCCGTCGGCGCGCTGCACCGGCCCCCGGCCCGCGCCGAGGACGTCGAGGCAGACGCGGAAGCCATGGCTCGCTACTACCGGGATGCGGCCCCGAGCGACGTGGCCAGAGACGCCCTGGCGCACCTGCACGACCGCCACCTCGCCCGCGTCTCCCGCCTGGAGACCATGGCCCGCGACGCCCACAGCACCATCTGGTACCCCTTCACGCAGCACAAGGGCCTGACGCCCGACAAGATCACGGCCATCGACTCGGCCTACGGCGACGACTTCCAGACCCTCGTCCCCGCGGGCCGCGATGACGACCAGGCCCTCCTGCAGCCTTCGTTCGACGGGTCCTCCTCGTGGTGGACCCAGGGCCTCGGCCACGCCAACCCGGAGCTCACCCTTGCCGCGTCGTACGCCGCCGGCCGCTACGGCCACGTCATGTTCGCCTCCGCCGTCCACGAGCCGGCGCTCGCCCTCGCCCAGTCAGGGCGATTGGACTCGCAACCAGGTACAGACTTTCAGCACTGCACGTGGTTTTCGTCTTATATGAATGCTTACAAGGTAATTTGACCGAAGACCGCCCTGAGGCGGTAGTACGTTTCCCCCTCGAATCCGTGACTGTTGCGGGCGGATTCAAAGTAGGCTCACCCCAAAGGGCATTGTGCAGGAACAGTCGACTGGAGTAACTCCGAAGGCGCTTCATAACGAGCGCGAAGCCCGGATGGCAAGTTAATAAAGAGTTTCTTAAACTTCGCTTCAGCTGCGGCGACCTAACAACAAGTTACCTCGTTTTCACTCATTCGTCTTCAAGTTCTCGGGCGCACGCGCGGACTGCCGAGGAACAGACATTCCAGGGTATCTTTGCATTAGGCGTCAAGCTCGACAGTTGGCCCAAGATGACACATGATACGCAGGAACATTCAACATCACCCCTCACGAGTGTTCGACTAATCCTGCGTCTATATACGGTACGCCGCCAAGGGCTTCTGGTTCGACTACCCCTCCGTCGTGTGCAAGGGCGGCAGGTGGCGCGTCCGCGTGCCCGAGGCCCTGCGCGGGGACCTGGGCGCCGGCCGGGAGTTCGGCGCCTTGTCCGAGGTCTTTGATGTCGTCGGAAGGGAGGAGGCGGGGCAGGCCAGGCTGTACGAGAAGTACATCGCCGAGTCCCTGGGTCGCCTCCGCGACCGAGGCCGCAAGTTCGGCGCTTTGGTTATGGAGCCCGTCGTTCTTGGGGCAGGGGGCATGATCATGGTGTAAGTGAAGGAGGAGAGGAATGAGAGGGAGGATGGGGGAGTTGTGTTGAACGGAGAAGATTGCTAAACGACATTGCAGCGACCCTCTGTTCCAAAGGACGCTCGTCAAGGTCGTCCGCCGGCACCCGGAGCTTTTCGGCACCGCGCGCAATGACCCCCCGGCCGAGACGACAGACGCCAACGGCTGGACCGGTCTCCCGGTCGTGTTCGACGAAGTCTTCACGGGCCTCGGCCGCCTCGGCCGGATGTCTGCCGCGTCGTTCCTCGGCGTCCAGCCGGACGTCGTGGTCAACGCCAAGCTCCTCACCGGGGGCCTGGTGCCGCTCTGCACGACGACGGCGTCCGACAGCATATTCCGCGCGTTCGAGGGCGACGAGAAGAGCGACGCCCTGCTCCACGGCCACAGCTACACCGCGCACCCCGTGGGATGCCAGGTCGCCCTCAAGTCGCTGCAGGAGCTGCAGAAGATGGAGGAAGACGGAGAGTGGGACTGGGCCAAGACCGGGGGGTGGGCGCCTGTCGCGGCGTCCGGTACGCGCGCCTTGCAGTCTGGCGGCGGCGGCGGTGGCAACATCTCTGCGGCGTGGTCGGTGTGGTCGCATTCCTTCGTGGACTGGGTCTCGAGGCAGACAGGCCGCGTGGATGGAGTATGGGCTCTGGGGTCGGTCCTCGCGATCCACATGGAGGACGGCGGAGGCGCCGGCTACTCGAGCACCGCGGCCGCCGACGTCCAGAGCGCTCTGCTCCGTGGGGAGGACGGCCCGGGGGGCGCGCGCTGGAATGTCCACAGCAGAGTCCTCGGAAACGTGCTCTACGTGATGACGAGCCAAACGACGAGGCAAGAGGATGTCCAGAGGCTAGAGGCTCTTCTTCGGAAGGCTCTTGGCTAAGGGCTTCTCGTGTTAGTGTAGGGCATGGTAAAAGGATCTCCGGCTCTGTCCACGGTTGGTATCAGGGCTCTGACGTTGTGGTGGACGATTGATAATTGTTCACGTGGCGACATCCTCTACTCACTCATCATGCGAGACCTTCCTGCTGGTTGGTCTACTTGTCATGTTGGGCCCGTTTAGACGGGACGTGACGATGCAGTCATTGGAGTCTTCGCAGCCATAGCACCCAATAATACGCCAAGCACACCGCAAGCTATCACATCGAGAATTACGCTCTCTCATTCCTAGTCCCACTGGTGCGAGATATCACTGCGGATCGCTGTCTGAGCCTGGGGGGGGGGGGGGGGGGAATGCTGCTACTGGGCAATATTTCCCTTCCATATCGCGCACATGTAGTATACTACACTGCTTACCCCCCGCTTCATTACGTCTTACTATTCGAGCTTAATACCACGTATATCAATAAGCTACTTTTTTGGTATCCTTGCCCCCGAAGAAACGCTCTACCTATGCTACTCCAGAGAGGGGTGACGGTCTCTCCTGTGCCAGAGTGATGCATGTCCGAGGCCTCGGAACGCTATGGAACTGCTCGGTTAGACTTTAACAAGCTAACCCAAAACAATCTACGAAACCTTCCTCACTGATGAACCTGTGATCTCTCCGCGACCTTGCTGCGGCCAGTGCTTCGGTGAGCCCTTTTCGGAGTCATCAGCCATCATGGTTGCGTAGTGAACCCCATCCGGCGCGCCCGACATCGGGGGGCCGAGGAGCAGGATGTACGCGTTATTCATGTGTTTTACGTCTCTCTGATGACCAGCTGCATCACCCGAGGTCCCTCTCGGAGTAATCCGTCAGCCCTGTCTCAGACGGCGGCCGTCCTCGACACCACCCTTGGGGTTTTTGTCTGGGGGGCACGGCTGTTATGTATGCCAGCTTGCTGCATGCACACGCACGGCCTCTTCCAGCCGGATTTAACGCTGAGTGTGCTGGCCATTCCCGAGCCATGTGTGACGTCGGCCCAAAGCTACAACAGAGTTGGATGATGCGATCCGACTTACAGGGCGGTCATAACTGACAGTGACAGACGACGCGCGGGCTCGGGGCTCGGGGCTCGGGGCTCGGGACCCAAGTGTCCTCCGAAAGGACCGAAGACGGGTTTCGTTGGCCACTTGTTTTTCCAAGCGGATTTCAACAGAGTACGCGCCATCTGCGAATTGGGGAAATATCTAAAGAAACCATCATCGACTTGGGCACACGGAGGCCATCCCGCAGGGCTCAGCTATATCTATCGGCGCAGAAGCCCCGGGTCTTTGTCACCCTTGGCTCCGTCACCGGCGTTCCCTGCCAAAGGAGTGCCGATCAGCAACTAGTGAAAGTAATGCATCGGACCGGGAGGTCACCTGGAACTTCTTGAGGAGATCTTCAACGATATAGCCTTTGTTTACTTCCCACCTAAGCTTTTCCCGCGGCGGGGCTGCCGAGCGCCACTCTGCGCTGGCTACAAAGTTCCATGATCTGCGTATGGCTGGCTATATCCCACGTGCCTACTACACTAAACCGAGGGCAGATCTATAATCTCATCGGCTGAGTGCCGGCCCGCCCGCTATGCCGCTTCAACTTTCACCAACTGGTGATGCGTGTGTAAGATCTGGATGTGTACCGACCAGCCAGCCACTTATCCAGCCAGTCGGTCAAGGAACATATCCACTATTCACTCTGTATAGATACACTATTCCATCATTACTACTGTTGTGTACCTGTGCGACCTTGAGAGAGATACCACCTTGGTAACGTACATATACATAGTACCTGAGTTCCCACAGCTGGGAGCCGAACCAGTCACCTTCTTTGTTGTGTCGGAGCAAGTATTGGGTATGACGATAGAGGGACTGCCTTGGCAAAGTATCATGGTTCCCACACCATGGCCAGTTTTTCTCCGAGCCTACCGAAGACTAAAAGCGCGTAACCCGGGCCCGTCTCGGCATCGAAAGCTTGACGTCGATCCTCCCTTGATCAACCCCGCAGGCAGTACTACATCGCACTATGACACCAGCAAGACAAAACCATCATGTATAATCCACGAGAGAGCCCATCCCCGGCACACCGGCCAAGGGGATCAGGCCATGCCCCATCTACCGTGCCCACACGTGTAGTGGACTTCTAGAAAGCCCCGTCCGGCTGTTCGGCAGTCGTGGATGCCACGCGCGGTGAAATTCCGCAATCCTTGAGCAACAAGAGAGACAGACAATATGTATACCAGACACCCCTTCCCCACCACACGTAGCGGTCGAATTCCATCGGCATCTGTACGAGGTCGATGACCGACTTCGCGCCTCGCCCCTTGCGCTCCCCGTCCTGCTGTGCATATGATGGGACGAGGGGACGTGAAACAGGCCTTCGCCTGCTTTCCCACACCCGGCGCCGGCACACCGTTAAGCGCCGAACCGACCATTGCCCTTCCCCAAGACCCGTCCTGCTGTCCATGATGGGACGCGGACCAAGCCTTTCTGCTTCCCCACACACACGAGGCACCGACACGCCGTTGAGCGCCGACTGGCCGATGGTGGGTCGGTTTATATTGCAGCACGGTGGATTGCGGCCATGTGGGCATGACGCCGCCGTCTCGACTATCCCCGAACTACATCCTGGCTGACGGACGGACTTTGCCATCGGCAAAAGCCGTGGCGGGTGCCAGGGCCACAAACCACGTTTGCTGGTGAAGAAAGCGTCAAGGGGAGAGCTTCCCTCTAGTTAGAATATAAACACTCGGCATCGCCTCCGTCCGCTCGAAACGGAAAAAAAGGCACTCACTTTACACCCCTCACATCCCACATCTACATCGCCACAATCATATACTACCGTACACTTTGCCTAACTGCTTCATACCTCCAGCATCAGATATACCACCCATCACCGCCGCAGCATGGCACAGCCCCAGTTTGGGAAGCGCTTGATCCCCCAAATCATCGACGAGACCGCCAGGTCGGAACCCAACCGGGAACTCCTCTCCGTCCCACGCTCCTCCGACCCCAGAGATGGCTGGAAGCCCATCACCTTCAAGCAGATCGCCAACGCGGTGAACCGCGTAGCCCGGGCCATCATCGAGAAGTGCGGCACGCCCGAGCCCGGGAGCTTCCCCACGCTCACCTACATAGGACCCGGCGATGTGCGGTACCTCATCATCACCGTCGCCTGCATCAAGGCGGGCTACAAGGCCCTCCTGACCTCCCCACGGAACTCCTTCGAGGGCCACATGAACCTCTTTGAGAAGACGGACTGCCACGTCATCTGCTTCGACGAGTCCTTCAAGGACGTCGTCCAGCCCCTTCTGGAGGAGCGTCCCATGGACACCATCGTCGTCACCTCCGCCGACGGCTGGCTGTCCGACGACGAGGTCCCCCACTTCCCCTACGACAAGACTTTCGAGGAGGCCAAGTACGACCCCGTCGTCGTCCTCCACTCGAGCGGCAGCACCGGCCTGCCGAAGCCCATCGCCGCCCGCGTCGGCATGGTGGCCATCGCCGACGCCTTCCGGGACCTCCAAGACTTCCAGGGCTCCGAGACCAGCCTCGCGTCCGCCGTGTTGGGCAGCCGTCTCTTCTTGCCGATGCCCCTCTTCCACGCCGCCGGCTGCTACATGCTGCTAGCCGCCACCGTCTTCTGTGGACACCCCGTCGCCCTGGGCTTCCCGGACCGGCCCCTGACGCCCCAGATCGTGGTCGAAGCCGTCGAGCACGCCCAGGTCGACAACGCCATCCTTCCCCCCTCGATCCTGGAGAACATGAGCGACATGCCCGAGGGCATCGCGGCGCTTCGGAAGCTCAAGCGCGTCCACTTTGGCGGCGGTAACCTTGCTCGCGACGCCGGTAACAAGCTGGTCAAAGAGGGCGTTTTTCTTGTCAACATTATCGGCTCTACAGAGTACGTGTTTTTCCCCTCCTTTTTCTGTGCAGTGCTAACACCAGACGGCGTAGGGCTTTTATTCTGCCATACCATGTCCAGAAGAACCTGGAGCTGTGGCAATGGTTCATCATCGACCCGGAGGTGATGGACGTCGACTGGCGCCATGTGAGCGGCGAGGACGACGACGTCTACGAGCAGGTCCTCGTCCGCAAGGAAGGGAACGCCCTCCAGGGAATCTTCTGGACGTTCCCCGACATGGACGAGTACAACACAAAGGACATGTACCGCAAGCACCCGACGCTGCCCAACCACTGGATGTACCACGGCCGCTCCGACAGCATCATCGTCTTCAACAACGGCGAGAAGCTGAACCCCGTCACCATCGAGGAGATCGTCACGGGCCACCCCCGGGTCAAGGGCGCCGTCGTCGCCGGCGCCATGCGCTTCCAGCCCCTGCTCATCCTCGAGCCGACCGAGCCGCTCACGTCCGACGAGGACAAGGAAAAGTTCATCGACGACGTCTGGCCCCTCGTCGTCAAGGCGAACAAGGAGACGGTCGCCCACGGCCAGATCGGCCGCGCCTTCATCGGCGTCACCAAGCCCGAGAAGCCCTTCCCCCGCGCCGGCAAGGGCACCATCCAGCGGCCCTTGGCCGTGAAGCTGTACGAGGATGAGATTGACGAGTGGTACGCCAGGGCCGAGGAGGGCGCCGACACTACCACGGTCGACGTCGACGTCAGCTCCCAGGAGGCCCTGACCGACTCCATCCAGCAGCTGTTCCAGAACACCCTCGGCAGCCGGCCCCTATCGGCCGACTCGGACTTCTTCGGCGCCGGCATCGACTCCATGCAGGTCATCAACGCCTCCCGCCTCCTCCGCAAGGGCCTCGAGGCTGCCGGCGCCGCCATCGCCGCCGACGCCATCGCCGCCCGCGCCATCTACGCCCACCCCACGCCCCGCCGGCTGGCCGCGTACCTGATGGACCGCGTGGGCAGCAAGGACGCCCCGACCCGGAACGGCCACGGCGACCACCACGACGTCCACGTCATGGAGGCGCAGCTGGCCAAGTACACCAGCGACCTCCCCCAAAAGAACGCCGCCGCCGCCGGCAAGCCCGCGCCCGCCGACCAGGGCCAGACCGTCCTGGTCACGGGCACGACGGGCGCGCTGGGCTCCTACCTCCTCGACTTCATGGAGTCCGACCCGGCCGTCGCGAAGATCGTCTGCCTCAACCGCGGCGAGGGCGTCGCCGAGCGCCAGGCCAAGATGAGCGCCGAGCGCGGCCTCGCGACCTCGTGGACCAAGGCCGAGTTCCTCTCCGCCGACCTGTCCAAGAGCGACCTCGGCCTCGGCCCCGCCGTGTACGAGCGGCTCCTCCGCGAGGCGGACCGCGTCATCCACAACGCCTGGCCCGTCAACTTCAACATCTCGGTCGAGACGTTCGAGCCGCACATCCGCGGCGTCCGCCACTGGGTCGACTTCTCCCTGCGGGCGGCCAAGAACGTGCCCATCATCTTCGTCAGCAGCATCGGCACCGTCGACGGCTGGCGCGGCCCCGGCCCCGTGCCGGAGAAGCGGCTCGCCGACCTGTCCCTCCCCGGCACCGGCTACGGCCGCTCCAAGTTGGTCGGCTCCCTGATCCTCGACGAGGCGACGCGGGTCTCCGGCGTGCCCACCGCCGTCGTCCGCGTCGGCCAGGTCGCCGGTCCCGCCTCGCGCGACGGCGTCTGGAACCGCCAGGAGTGGCTGCCGACCATCATCGCCAGCTCCAAGCACCTCGGCGTCCTGCCCGGGGACTTGGGCGGCATGTCGACCGTCGACTGGACCCCCATCGAGGGCATCGCCAACCTCCTCCTCGAAGTCTCGGGCGTTGCCGCTCCCGTGCCCCTCGGGGCCATCAACGGCTACTTCCACGGCGTCAACCCCCGTACTGTCCCCTGGAAGGATCTCGTGGACGCCGTCAGGTCCTACTACGGCGACAGTATCAGGGAGGTCGTGCCGTTCGCCGAGTGGGTGCGGGTCTTGGAGAAGAGCGCCGGCTCCACCGACGACGTGGACAAGAACCCGGGCATCAAGCTGCTCGACTTCTACAAGGACCTGGCCTCGGGCGGGGGCCAGCAGAGCCTCTGGTACTCGATGGAGCGGACGGTCAAGAGCAGCAAAACCATGAGGGAGATGCAGGCCGTGACGCCCGAGTTGATGCAGAACTGGTGTAGGCAGTGGGCGTTCTAGACTGGGTTCGGGATGGGCAAGGCGGGTGGAAACGACTAATGACTCACGTTAATTATCATGTAACAAGCCTTTGTTAACTTTCAACTTCTACGAATAAAAGCTGTCTATGATCTTGACGTCCTGTGAATCTTGGCATGACCCCGCGAGTATACTCTTTTCTGACAGTCAACGGCGTCTGACTGGTTGATAGCGCCCGGGGTGTCAGCAGGTGGAAATGCACGTCAAATTATCGCATACAGGGGAGGAGGGGGCTGTGTCGCCTATCTCATGAAATCGGTCGCATCGTCGGGTGAGAAGACAACCGTGACCATGAGCTTCCTTGAGCTGCACTCCGATGTGGACGGAACCCCGAGAGAGGAACGCCTACACACTTGAGCCCCTTTGGGAGACAACCATGAGTTTGCCCACTGCGGACTACCGGTACCATGCCCTTTCAGCGACCGATTCCATCCGCCTCTTGACCCTCTCGCGAGACGAGTCCCAGCCTCATGGCATGCTCTTGTCCCTCGCCGAGGCGCACTTGAGCGACCGGCCAGAGTTCGTCGCGCTCTCCTACACATGGCGTCTGCCAGAGTACGCCGACGCCCGAGACAGAAGCGACCCGGGGGAGGAGGGCCGGACGTTCGAGGTCGCCTGCGACGGCCGGCTGATGCGCATCTCGGAGAACCTGTTCAGCTTCCTCGGCAGCGCGCTCGCTGTCCGCGGCGCGGGCGCCAAGAAGAAGACGACGGCGACGACGGTGTCTTCGTCGTCGTCGTCGTCGTCGTCGACGGGGTTGACTTCCCTGACCGCCGAGCTCCTGAACGGGCTCCCGATGTGGATCGACGCATTCTGCGTCGACCAGGGGAACAACAGCGAGAGGCAGCACCAGGTTCTCCTCATGCACAGAATCTACAGCTCGGCCCGGAACGTCGTCATCTGGATGGGTCCGTCGGAGCCGGAGGCGGACTTCCTGTGGATCCACGACAGGTTCATCCCCCGGCTGGCCAGGCTGACCCGGGAGAAGCCGGAGTTCGTCGCCCAGCACCTGAAGAAGGACCCGCTGTGCCTGTCGGCCGAGGTGGCTCTCGAAATCGGTCTCGATACCTGCAGCCGGTGGACCACTGCGTGGCCCCTGTTGGTCCGGTTCTTCAGGCGCCGCCGCTGGTTCGACCGGGGCTGGGTGGTCCAGGAGGTCACCATGGCGGACCCGGCCCGCGCGCTCGTGCTGTGCGGAACGACGGCCTTGTCCTGGAGGCGGCTTGCGGCGCTGTCCCAGTTTCTGCACCAGTCCAACTGGGGCGTGCTGCTGACGAGGCACCTCGTCTACCCTCTCGTCGCGGCGGCGAGGTCCGGTTTCCCGTTGTCTTCAACCCTTGACTTCTCCATCTCAGCCGAAGTCTTACTCGGCGCCAGGGCGAACACGCAGGAGAGGCTCCTCGACATCGGCGACAAGATACGCCAAATCAGTCTGATCCGCCCGGTGCTGACCAACACAGCCGGCCGGACCAGCGTGGTCGACAGCGCCGGCAAGTGGCACCGCGACGCCGAAACCGCATGGTTCATGTGCGCCAGTCTTCTGGTCAACTTGCTCCGTTCCTCGCAATTAGGTGATAACCGCGATCACCTCTACGGGTGCTTGGGTAGGATGTCGACGCTGCTGCCCTTGAACGTATCGAGCCCCATCCTTCCCGACTACGGAAAAAGTGTCCAAGAGGTCTATATCTCGTCCGCAGCCCTAATACTTCAAAGGACGCCCTTGTTGTTCCAGCTCTCTCTAGTCGAAAGCGAGACGGAACGAAACTACAAGGAGCTGCCCTCCTGGGTGCCGGACTATTCCACGCCAGCAGTCCGACATCCTTCATGGGATAAGGGTCAGGGCATCACGATAGATGCAAATACCAATTTCGAAGTCCTGTATAGCATACAACGCAGCATCTGGAGTGGTAGCCTTAGGAAGCCCCAGTGTAGAGGGTCGTCTCTATTTCTGTATGGGACCCAGCTGGCCACCGTCGTCAACACGGATACCTCAAGCGCGACGCAGGGGAGGGCGATGTGGAACCTGGTCCAAGGAACTTACGTCAAGCTCCTTGAAAATTCTCAGAAAAGTTTCTGGCACGCCGTGGCGGCGGCGCTGCTCTACGAGAGACTTGAGAGCTGTGCCCGAGGCGATGGCCTTGCGAACGATCTGGAGAGCATGAGGCAGCTGGCCAAATGGTTTCTCCCAAGAATCTTGCCGACCCGCATCAACCAAGATATCTGGAGGGATCTCAGGCACAGATGCTTGTACGCCACGGACGACCACAGGCTCGGGTTGGGCCCGGCTGCCATGGCGTTGGGCGACGCCGCCGATGTGGCCCGGAACGAGGTGTGGCTTCTGGAGGGCGCCCGTACGCCTTTCATCCTGCGTCGGACCTCGGAAGGTGCCCCTCGGGGGACGGGAGAAGACGTCGATGACTGTGTGACATTCAGAATAGTCGGGGAAACCCACCTGCACCAGTTCGATATCCGGTCGAGCAGCCTGACTTTGCCGGAGAAGCGGCATCTCTTTCAGAAGATCCGGTTAATATAAGCAGGGCAACATAGCCAAAGTGTGTTGCCAAGGTGGTTGCCAGGGGGTAGAGTTGTAGAGTGGAAGATTCATGTGTCGTTTAACAGTCCAACACAGTCGGGAAGAGTACAGTATCACGCCTAATACCAAATACAATAGGAAAGAACCCCCATACCAACTAAGGCTGCCAGAGCTTCTGGAGATGACTTCCTAGTTACTGACTGTCTGGCTATCTGTGCTACACCTCAAACACATTATACTGAAATCTGGCACTCCAGACGTCGTATAACCACACGAACCTTCCGGCTAATCACGGCTTGGATGCAGCACAACATGAATATGACGGCGTAAACAAGCTATTGCACTGCAGTTAGACACGAGAAAAAAAAAAAAAAAGAGATCATACGAGAAGATGCAAAAGGTTATTACGTGCGCCGAGGGGGAATCGAACCCCCGGCTCCCCGACGCTGCTTGATGGCAACGGAGAATTTTACCACTAAACCATCGGCGCTAGTGATACAGGAAATGCTCAAAATTCCGAACATCAAGGCCGGGCTTGCGCTCCCAGAGCGTTGCAGCCTTGATTGTCCACCTCATGTAGCACCCAGACAAACCCAGATGAGGGACGGTAGCGGGGGACCTGGCCATCGTTAGGTCTTGTGGTCCGCAGCAGATCGAACTGTAGACGAGTCGGCTCAAGACCCGTGGACGAGATGGACCTGTGCATACCTAGGAAGAAGTGAATCCATAGCGGCGACGGTATATAAACATGGCAACTCTGCCTCACATGAGTCGTCGCCAAGCAGCTGGCTTCCCGTGGCATTCGCAGCAAATAGCACCTCACGTGGGGCTTGAAACACCGCTCCCAACGGGCCCAACGGCCAAGACCCACGTCATTGAATCATGAAGAAAAGCCATCTATCTTGTAGTTGTGAGTTCGTCAAGGCATAGTGCATTGGTCTCTCTCTCTCTCTCTCTCTCGCGCGCGCGCGCCCGGAAAAGCAACCGCGATGCACATCTCAAGTTGGTAGCTTCCGGTTCTGCATCGTCCAAACCGGACCCCCTCTAATAGTTGGAAAAAAGAAAAAAAAAAAAGGTCCAAAGTTTGGGATGCCAAAGAAACCGTCGTCATAGTCGTTGTCGTCGTCTTTGCAAGATTCACCCCAAGAGCGATCGACCCAGGGAGCGCACGTCCGCCCAGGCATCTTGTCGTCATCGCCCTCCTCTGTCGTAGTCGTCGTCCACCTCGCGGCCCGTTGTCCCTCTCTTATATAAGAAAATCCCCGTCACCTCACGGGTCCCGAGACCCCCACCATCTTACTTGGGCACGGCGAACTTGGCGGTCCACTCCTTGGCCGTCGCGATGGCCCCTTGCTCGTCCTCCTTCCAGCTCTTCGCAACGTCGGCGGCAAGCGGGTCGTCGGGGTTGGGGGCACCCAGGAGGGCCTGGATGGAGAGGAGGATGGTTCGGATCTGCAGGGCGGGGGACCAGTTGTCTGTAGTGGGGGGAGAGCGTTCTTTGTCAGTGTCTTTATTCGCGCGGGATAAGCCGAGACTGTTGTGGGGAACTCACTCTTGAGAACGTCAAGGCAGATGCGGCCCAGCTTGTCAACGTTGGGGTGGAAGATCTTGGTCAGGAAGCGGATCTTGGGAGGAGTCATGGGGTAGTCGTCGGGGAGGAACAACTCCAGCTTGAAGACACCACCTGCAGCACGCCGTCAGTTTTGCGGGCCCATCCAAGTGTACATGTGAATGCGCACCCTCATACGGCGACTGTGTAGGGCCGTGGATCTCGACATCGAAGTAGCGGAGGTTGTCCTCGTGGGGGATGGCACTGATACCGGGGACGCTGGCAAAGGGCCTCTGTTAGCGAAATGTCGCAACAGCCATGGCGGGGTGGGTGGGAGTGAGTGGAAGTCATACGGTTCGGCCATGAGACGCTCGGTCTCCTTGACAATACGCTTGGGCAAGGCCATGGTGGGCGACAGGGCTGAAGTGTGTGCGTGTGTTTGTGCGTTTGTGAATGTAAACGAAGAAGAAAGAAAAGCTGTTTGTGTTTCCCCAGAACGTTGGAGGTGGTCGCAAGATGACGGTGGGTATTGGAGCAGCCGGGCCGTCGGCGGGGTCTGAATGAATGGGGAACCGGGTTCTTTGGTTTCAAGGCCGCCTAGAAGGATAGGATGCAAGGGTTGGTGCAGCAGTCGTTCGTTTGCTTCGATTCGTACCGGAGGAAGAGGAATGTCGCAAGAGCATTTACGGTCGGGATGTCCGGAGAAAGATGTGAACGGAGCAGCGGCGGCGACAAAGGCGACGTGACGAGGACTCGGGGGGCGGAGTGTTTCGAGGGCAAGGCGGGCAAAAAAGACGAATGACCCTGTGCTGGGAAATCGGCTATGGTGGGCGTAGTAGTATGCCTCCGTGGGAGAGCCTTGCTTGCAATTGCCCCGCGGAAGATGCCAGAGGAGGAGGGAGAGGGCAGGTACGTACCCGAGATATCCGAAGTACCTAGGTACCTATGTACCTGGGTACAGATATGACAGAAGTGGGGAATTGCGCCGGTGCAGAGAATTTCATTGGTCAGATATGATGATTAGTGCAGTAAAGTACACGTCTAGCGTTTTTGTATGTCGCGATACATCAGGTCCGATATTGGGGGTCTGCAGCTGTCGTCCCGTCCATCCACAAGCAAGTCACTTTTGAGCTTCCGAGCCTCATCCGCCAGGACGACGATACTGTCAGCACCATCAAATCAACCCGCCTTCTCGAGTCGCTCGCTACGCCAGCAAACGGGGAAAAGTTCTCGTGTCCATCTCTTGTCACTGAGACATACACTACGCCCGGTTTCCATTGGATCATGGCAAAGGCATATCGCTGACAGATGCCCTCATGAGGCGTCTCTCTCACTCTCACACACACTCTCTCTCGCTTCTTGAGCTACAACCATTTACACCATGCCGCACTTCGACCGGCTCGACGCCCCCAAAAAGGGCAAGCCCATCAAGTCCGCCTTTGACAGTGAGAGCTTCGACGCCGACGGCACCATCCACGTTGCCGGGCTGGTCGGGTCCGCCACAATCTCACCCTCTAGTCGGGATGTCGCATTGGCATCGTGAGTTGACCCAGAGTCCCAAACCCGGTCCCCAAAACTCGACTCGACCAGAGCCGTGCTGACACGCCTCGTCAGGCCCGAGGGCTTGTCCATCATTGACTTGGACTCGCCCTACAACCCTCCGCGCCGGCTCAGCAGCCATGGCTCGCCCTGGCTTGTCACCGACGTGCAATGGTCGCCCTTCGCCGCCCGCGACTACTGGGTCGTCTCCACGGCTAATCACCGTGCGCTCGTGTGGAATCTCAACCTGCGAGACGACTCGGCCACCGGCGCCATCGAGCACTCCCTCCACGGCCACAGCAGGGCCATCACCGACATCAACTGGTCCGCCTACCACCCCGACCAGCTCGCCTCGTGCGCCGTCGACGGCTACGTCCACTGCTGGGATCTCCGACGCCCGAGACAGCCCGTCTTGACCTTCTGCGACTGGTTCGCCGGCGCCACCCAAGTCAAGTACAACCGGCAGGATCCCCACATCCTGGCCTCCTCCCACGACAGGTGGCTACACATCTGGGACGAGCGACGGGCGTGCGAGCCCCTCAAGTCCATCAGCGCCCACACCTCCAAGATCTACGGCATCGACTGGAACCGAACCAGGTCCACGGGTATCGTCACCTGCTCCCTGGATAAGCACATCAAGTTTTGGGACTACGGCAGCGACCAGGATGTCCCAGAGCGCGTCATATGCACCCAGTTCCCCGTGTGGCGGGCTCGCCACACCCCCTTTGGCCACGGCCTCCTGGCCATGCCCCAGAACGAACCGGGCGATCTGTACCTGTACGACCAGCGACCGCCTCCCGAGGGCCCCGGCAAGGGTCCGACGGAGCCGGTCGCCGTCTTCCCTGGGCACGGCAACCACAAGGCCAAAGAGTTCCTGTGGAGAAGCAGGGGCGGCATAACCGATGACGGGCTGGACGAGAGAGACTTCCAGTTGGTCTCCTGGGGCGAAGACAACGAGCTGCGGCTGCAGCAAGTCGACCGGCCCATCCTCGAGTCGGTGGGCTTCGTCAAGGGGATGCCGGCGACCAAGAACCTGGTCCTCACGCGCAAAGGCGCCGCCTACAAGACGTTCCGGACCGTCGGCGACCACATCATCCGAGACCGGAGGAGCGGGACGATGAGCGACCCCCGTAACAGCGCGCAATATCGGCAGAGCGCCCTGACCATGGGGATGCGCTCGGGCCCGACCACCTACGCCAAGCTCGGCGCCGCCTGGAAGGGCTCCTCCATGAAGGCCAAGAGCGTTTCCAAAGAGATGGACCGCAGCCAGGCCCACATCGGGTGGATGAAGGGCATCATGATGAACAAGAGGAAGGCGTCCACCGACAGTCCCCGGAGGGCCGACTCCAAGGACTCGACCATGTTCAGCCCTGGCTACATGGACGACGACAAGTGGGGAGACCCGGAGACCATCCAGGAGGAGTTTCTGCGCATCAGCATGCAGCTCCCCAAGGTGAAGTGGGAGCACATCGACATGGACAATCTGACGCTCAAGGCCTCCCTCAACGGCCCCTGGGGCGCCAACGGCGAGCCCATCTTCATCAAGGTCACTGTCGACATCCCGTCCAACTACCCCAAGTTCAGGGCCCCGACCTTCTTCATCGAGAAGACGGGCTTCATGTCGGCGAGGACCCACAGGAAGATCGAGCACGAGATCCACGAGCTCTGTCAGCAGTTCCTGGAACGCAAGCAAAACTGCCTCGACGTCGCCTTCTCCTACCTCCTGGGCGAGATCGACCTCGCCGCGAGCACAAACTTCTTCAAAAACGTAAAGGACCTCGACGACCCCCTCGACGGGCTGGGCTCCGAGAGCTCGAGCGAAGACGAGAACGACATACCGGCGGGCGGGTCGGCGTCCATGTCACAGGAGCTGCCCCCCCACGCCGAAGCCGACAGCACCCTGGCGCCAAACAACCGGCCTACGATCCCGCCGCTGCCGCGCTTCTGCGGCGCCCGTTTCGCCAACGATGGCCGGCTCGTCTGCTTCTTTCCGACCAAGGAGGAGAAGGCGAGGGCGCTGTTCTCCACGTCTGTCGAACCGCTGCGGGAGAGGGCAAAGGGCGAGCCAGTGTTCGCCGGCTTCGGCCGTCTCGCGCACGACTCGCCGCCGGGTAAGAGATATGGCCAGGACGACATGTCGGCGACGGACGACCAATCTGACTCGGACGACTCCACGGGGTCCTCGTCGTCGTCGAGCGACTCGGGGTCGACGTCCATCAACAAGATGAGCTTGTGGTATCAGCCTCGGCACCGGTTCAAGAGGACGTGGAGCGACAACCGGTCCGTCCGGTCGAGCGGCGGCGGTACGGGAGTGGGCACGGGCACGGGCACGGGGTCCTTTAGGAGGCGGCCCGGCGCCAAGTCTAAGAACGTCGTATCCCTCCACGACACCTCGGACCTCCTCCCCGCCAAGAAGGAGTTCGCCCGAGAATATGCCATCTTCGGAGACGGTGCCCAGGTCTGCGAGCACAACGCCCAGGTCGCCGAGAAGCACGGATGCCAGGACCTCGTCGACGTCTGGCGCTACCTCTCGCTGATCCTCCGCAGGGACATCCCGCTCGAGTTCTCCAACATGGACCCCCATCACAACTCGATCCTGATCATCGCCCGCGACGCGCTCGCGCGCTTCCGCCACAAGGACTCGCCAGGCCTCCAGAACGCCAGCGGCAAGGACACGGCCGTCTTCAGCGGCAGGGTGAAATGGGGCAACCACCCGTTGGCGAGGCACTTCATCAGCGACCTCCTCGAGTACTACGAGAAGACGGCCGACATCCAGATGCTGGCCATGCTCTCGTGCATCTTCAGCGAAGCCTTCACCGAGGACAGCGTCGCATATGCCGAGTCGCACATGACGCAGCCCGACACGCCGCTGCCGATGAAGACCCCGGCCTTCTCGCTCGACTACTTCCCCACGGACGCGTCGCTCTGGAACCTGGACGGGAGGAGCCAGACCAACTCGGCCATCGCCACGCCGGGGACGCTGCACACCCCCATCCGCTATTCCGGCTCCCAAGGATCCGCCGAAGAGGTGTTCTGGGCCGGCGACCCGGGCTCCAACTCGTACTCGTGCGGCGAAACCCCGCCCAACAGGGGCTTCAAGGAGTACCTCGGCGGCGAGGGCGACCAGGTGCCCCCGAGCCTGTCGACCTCGCCCAGCGGGAGGGCGCTGTCGCGGGTCAACTCGGGACTGCCGTCGAGCTTCGCCATCAGCCTGCCCCGCCCGTTCAGCGGCGTCGCGACGGGGACCACAACCGCCGCCTCGTCGCCCCCGAACCACGGCCGCAAACGGCCGAGCCCGGCGGAAACGCTGTGCAACGACGTGTGACCTGAACCTGGAATTGGGATGCCGTTCCTAGACCGCCAGCGACGTCCGTCCCGGACCCTACCAGGTAATGCCTGTGTAAGCCAATACCCACTCGCACCAAACCTTACTCGCGTCGTCAATACGGTTGACGACTCAGGCCTTTCTAAGGAGCATTGTGATTGAACCAATGCGCAAACAGTAAAAATTTCTGCGGCTAGTTACGCCGGGGACGC